AAAGCATAGACCAAGGTCAACAACAGGGACAGGGTCAGGGACAGGGTCAGGAACAGGATCAGGAACGGAGACAGGGTCAGGGGCAGGGACAGGAACAAGGACAGGAACAGGAACAGGATGAAGATCTGGAGCTTCAGCTGAGGTCATTGGCACAGAGAGGTAAGAAGGCTCCTCCCTCCTGGGATAATATGGAGCCACCTGAAGGAGTCGACCCACATCAATGGCAGATTGATATAGCATTGAATGATGAGGAGCGAGCATCACATGAAGCTGTAACTGTTGGGGGTTCAAGCAAGAACATCACGCCGAAGCGGAAGACTGCAGCCGTTATCAGGACTGAAAATGAAAGAGAACAAGGTATGTAAAGATAACCATGTATTAATATATAAATTGTTATACAGTACTGGGATCCAAACCTTTGGGAAGGCTCCGCCATCACGCGTACCCCAGGTGACAAGACACCATGGCCGCAACTCAGTGTTAATTATCAATATAAATAGCCTACTAAATTATGACTTAATAAACCATTCCTTAATCCTGCATCCACCTTAATGTATCTTTGATTGTTACAATTTACACTAATGGTTGATACTTTTTATTATACAATTACTTTTTTTTTTTTTTTTTTTTTTTTTTTTTTGGATATACTTTTGCGTTTGTAGTTATCCTGCAAGCACCAGAGGACAAACATGGCAGCAAAATTGTCTTTGTTCCTCTCACGCTGGGGACAGTCGCAAATGTTAAGAAGGCTTTGCAATACTTATGGAGGCAACAGTCTTCTTCGACAGCTCCGTATCCCAATCCCGCCCCAAACCCAAGAACGGATGTACCACTAGCGGAGGCGATCAAAAATTATGGAGAGAAACTTGTCCATCACAAAGTAACGACAGGCACCTTATCCCGCACTGCCACCTGTGCCGTACGAGAACCGTACAACACTAAAATGTACCTGCGTATGTTGGCCTTTACATGGCGCATGCTTCCGACGGTTGGAGTAAGCGGCAGGCGACCTTACGACAGTGTTACAAGATTTCAGTATATGAGGGAGAGGCTATGCCTCCTTGCACGCCATCATATGTTGCTGCGGGATGAGGACATCCGAAACTTGAACCTGGCTAACACATTCAATATTCAGACCCGTCACCCCGCGCCAGGGTCAAAGCTGGCGTCGGGGCTTGTCTTCTGCATCACACGTGGAAAGACAAACCATAAAGGTGTCGAACTCTATGCGACAGCTTATCGACATAAGCTGTTCTTAAGGTGCACCGTGGGCGGGTTTGCATTTTATATGCTAGAACGGTTCCAGGTAAATGATGCCGTCAGTCTTGACGCGAGCGTATGATTTTTTCTCATTCAATTACACGAAGTGACATATATCCTTATTTTTTTTTTTTATTTTTTTTTTTTCCCTATTGTAGGTGTTCAAGGAGCCTCTTCCCAATTTTGCGGACCCTGACGAGTGGTACAGCATCAAGGTGCTAACAGGGGGTGGCACAAGCCAAGAACGGTTAGAGAACCGAAAGGAAGCGCTTGTTGGCCGAACCCAAATGAGCACTACGGCGGCTGTAATGCGTGCCTGCGACGTGCATTCGGCCAAAATTACGCACTCTGGCCGACATGCAGGGGTCTCGGAAGCCTACGAAAGGGGCTTAAGCCTGGACGATATTCGCCACTTGGGAAGGTGGGTCATGGGGCAAATGGAGAACTTCTATGCTCCAAAAAACCCAACCAGGGGCGCTTTTTGTATGGCTCAGTTTGGACCGAATGAGCCTTACTTTATCGAGCGTGATTTGGTCACCCCGCCCTTAGAGCTCCAGCGTCTGGTCTTTCCTTGGATTGAGGAAAATTTTGATAAAGATATGCCGGAGAGAGCTGACTCCTGGAGAGAGGAGTGCGCCAAAGAAATGCTGGGGGTCGATCCAAATGTCCCGACAGACGAAGACATTTTTTGGACGCCAATCGAGAAGAAGACGAGCTCGAAACGATTGACCCGTGCCTTCAGCACTGACTCCCTTGTTACACGCATTGGGTTCCTCAAACTTCTTGTGCGTATGAGGCGAGTAATCCTTCAGGATGCAGTGCTCTTTTTGAAGCCGAATGACAAGGGGAAAATGTTGGAGAACAAACTCCTCGAGTCGTTACCAGAAATCTTTGGTTGCCAGCTCTTTCTGGATTTCCAACATCAATTGCTTCGGGCCATCGACGTACATCGCCGACAAGCAGGCATCATCCAAGCGGATGTGCCAGTTAATGCGCAAACTATGGTAAGCGCCATTAACACGTTGTCGGTAGAGGCGCGGGTCTTTCATCAACTCCAGCATGAGACGGTCCAGAAGCTCGAGGCCCTATCCACCCTTGTGACAGAGCAACAGGAGCAACAGAGGCAGCAACAGGAGCAAATCCACTTACTTCTCCAATCGCTGCAGCAGCAACAAAGCGCAAATGTGCGGCAGCCTTTTCCATATCATGTGCAGTCTTGCCCGCCCTTTGTGTTTAATCCTTCTCCATTGGCGCCAGCACAGAGCCGCCTAGCTTCTTTTCCTTCGGTTCCTCAGGCTCCTACTACGCAGGGTCTATATCAAGCTCGCCAGGCCGCTCCACCGCAACAGCAGCCATTATTTTCCAACCAATTGCCACCATGTCCTCAGCAACAGCCATATCAACATAGCCATGTGCAGGCTCCAATGACCTCAGAGCAGACACAACGATTGCCGGAAGATGAAAGGTATAAAGGCTACCTCATGAAAGGCGATGGCAAGCAATTGACGGTCAGGGAAGCATGGGATGAATTCCGTGGGCCCGTTGCTCAGGCAAAGCAGGAAAATCACAAATGGCCATTCACAGAGGCGCGTCACAAGGCATTCAGGCGCAGGCGTCAAATTTTCGATCTGATAAAGAATATTGCCGAAAAACAGAAGCGAGACTTCGAAGAGGTAGTAGACGCACTGACAGCTCAGTACAAGGGTCGGACAATCAATTCCATTCGACTAGAGCTTCTGAAAGACACCGGGAATGACGAAGGCTGCCACCAAGATGCGGACGAGTAGATGAGTAAGGGTAATTTTTTTTTTTCTTTTTTTTTTTATATATACATATATATATATATCCTCGGATACAAATTTAAGCAATAAAGCACAAAGTAGTGATGGTGTCGGAAATACCAAGACATGAACTGAGCTACAAGAGGCAGAAAACTGTTGGCTGCATCCTTGAGCCAAAAGAGGCTGAGAAAATACAATGTACAAGCAATCCATTGTCGTGAAATTTGTGATATTCCAAGGTGTTTAGCATAAGTATCATCCAGGAAAAAGCATTATCGTCAACATTATTAACAAGACAAAACACCATCAAAGCACTATCAAAGCATTTTTGACTCGACTCGGCTACCAACGCACTATAACAGAAATAATTGAATACTTCATCAATATAAAAACTGTCATGTTTAATCATTAACACTGTCTCTACCATAAAAAGATTTTGTCTATTTCGCTTCACAAATCCATTTTGTGGAAAAAGATTTGTGAAGCGAAATATAAAAATTTTGTGACTTGGTATCCTTCTGTGTCCACCTGTGTCCGCCTGTGTCCATCTGAATGGACACAGGTGAGCAATTTCGTTTCACAATCTATTTGACAACCCGGGTTGTCACTCTTATTTGACAACCCCCCCCTTAATTATTTTTCTCAATTTTTTTTCTTTGCGTGACAACCCGGGTTGCCAAATAGTAAAATATCTAATTTGACAACCCCAAGCTCACTATTATTTGACAACCCTTTTTTATTGGCAAGATTATTATGTGAAAATCGTTTCTATTGCTATCCCTCAGCAACATGAAATCCCTCCAGCAATCTAAAAGCTTCCATCAAATAACAAACTTTTTTTTTTTGGTTACGAGGTGTTGTTTTTTTATTACAACTGATTTCTAAAACAAGGGTTTGCTTTTATAGAAAATGTGCCTATACGGGTAACATGCACTAAGGGGTTTTTGGATATATAAGCATGCATAAATTCGGAGTGGTTATGCGACGCTTGATGGCGCATGCGTAAGACGCGGAAAGGAAAAAAAAGAGAGACAGAAGAAGCTATAACCACAGTCATGATAATGGAGTGTTGCCACCATTTTAGAAATCCAGCTGAGAAAGGCCCTCCAAAAGTGCAAGATGGTGAAGACTTGTCATGTGACAGGTTGAAAAAGACAATTTTTCTTCTTTTCTTGACAACCCGGGTTGTCAAATAACAAAAAAGTGAAAATTGAAGACCTGGGTTGCCAAATAAGCCGGTGTGACTGCTAAATTAGGGGGGGGTTGTCAAATAAGAGTGACAACCCGGGTTGTCAAATAGATTCACCCAAAAACTATCTTCAGTATATTTATATACATATACATGTGTACATGAAAAAAAAATTTTTTTTTTTGTGCAACGGTTTCTTTAGTCAGATTCAGATGTTCAATTGCTGCAAAGTCGTTTTTGTATTTGATTATTTGATTAGACTCATCCATAAACACAGATGTAATATAATAAGAATGAATACATGTATATACAAATATAATACATGTAGTATATATATATATATATAATAAGTATATGTAAATGCACACATGTACGATGTTGGGATCCTTTTTCTCTTTTGATGTCTTTTACAAGGGTATGGGTTAAACGGATAAATGAAATATTCCGAACCAACGAATTCAGCATGGGGACTTTGTTTGACTAGAAAGAAAAAAAAAAAAAAATTTTTTTTTGATGGAATGGCTCATTTTATATCCTACTTTCATCATTCTTCATCAATTTTTTTTTATATTTTTACGATGGATTCCTTTCTTTCTTTCTTTTGTTCTTTCTACTTTGTAAGCATTCGCCGCATGTGCATGGTTCTCAGCAAGAGAAAAAGTATTCATGCATAAATAAGTAAATAAATATTAATTTATATATATATATATATATATATCCCTTCCACCGAGTCGACGTTTTTTTTTTTTTTCCTTCTTTTGTTAAATGCACTTAAACTTTTTTTTTTCAAAGACAATCTTCTCCGCTCCATTCCTTTTCTTCCTGTCCTGTCAGTAACAATTGCATGTTTTGCCGGGCAGAAGCACCCTTTTTCTTATTCTCTCATTCTTCTCTCTTTCCTTCCTTCTCTCTTTCTTATTTATATCCCTTCCTTCCTTCCTTTTCTCTTTCTTTCTTTCTTTCCTTTCTCTGATCTCTTTTCATTCACACATTCATATATATTCATTCATTCATTCATACATACATTCATACATACATTCATTCATTCATTCATTCATACATTCATTCATACAGACATTCATTCATTCATACAGACATTCATTCCATCTTTGTACACCTCCATAGCTAGATATATCACACCTTCGCATTCAATCCAATTCAAATCAAATCAAAACCAGGGCATTCTATTCCATCTATCCATTCCCTCTCCCTCCTCTTTGAAGAAGAAGAAAATAAAATAAATGATGGCGCAGTTTCCTGCATTGGAGGCCTATGTGAGCAGGATGACGGGTCAACGTCATAACCCTGATAAGCTCAGAGCTCCTCCCAAGGCCCCTCCTTCTCGCCTTGCTGTCCTACTTTCTTCCTTCATCGGTTCTTTTGTCGGCATTGCCATCGTTTCTTCCCTAACCTACAATGCCCAATGGTTCATCGATCGAAATGTGCCCGTCATGGCTGGTTCCTTTGGTGCCTCTGCTGTCCTCATCTACGGTGCCATCGAAGCTCCCTTGTCCCAGCCTCGCAACGTCAGTAAGTTTTTTTTTTTTTTTTTTTTTCTTTTTAATTTAATTTTTTTTTTTTCGCAGATCTGTTTTTCCCACATGGTGTACAATCAATCCACACTTTCTCTCTCTTTCTCTCCTGGCATACATTACGCTTTCCCCTGACTGACAAAAACGTCTAACTTTCTTTTTCTTTTTTCTTTTTTTTTTTTAAAAAAAAAAAAAAAAAAAAAAAGTTGGTGGCCACATCATGTCCTCATTGATTGGAGTTTCGCTCTACAAGTTATTTAATCTACTCTCTCCCGAGACCTTTGCCAAGCTGCATTGGTTACTCTGCTCCCTTGCAGTCTCCATCTCACTCTTCTGTATGCAGTTGACCCACACAGTCCACCCGCCTGCCTCTGCTACTGCCCTGATCGCCGTCTCCGGTGGCCAAACACTCTACGATCTTGGCTATTGGTATGTGCTCTGTCCCATCGGCCTCGGCGTTGCTCTGATGATGATCGTCGCCCTAATCGTCAACAACGTCGCAAGAAAATACCCGACCCATTGGTGGAATCCAAAAAAGCAAAAGATCGCCGTCATCGATCAAGACATGGCCACCTCCATTGCCGATTATGTCCCCGATAATGATGACAACGACGACGATGAACAGGCAACTCGAGATGGCAACTCTAGCATAAAACAGCAGGATGCAAACACAGCCGTGCCCGCCATCGCCATCACCGGCTCTTCTTCAGCCTCGTCTACAGTCAATGAGCTAGCAAACACCTCTTCGCCCACCATCAGTCCTTCTCATCACCCTAGATCTCCCTCACATTCTCACTCTTCTTATCTTCATGAACCCCAGTATGCTGTTTATTATGGGGGTGAGCATCACAGGATTCTAAGAGATGGTGAACGTCTACATCAAGATCAAACCGACTCGGATACGACGACACACGATCTGGAGCACGGTCCAAAGAACCAACGCCACCAGTCCAGCATCTTGATCAGAATGCGAAGTTTTCCCAATTCCCCTCACCTGTCCTCTGGCACTCATAGTCATGGTAGTCATCATACAGAGGAAAGCTATCGCTCAACCATTGAGCGTCTTCAACAGCGCATTCAAGAGCTCGAGAATCAACTCGCTGCTGCTTCACCTGTTCCTGATGCCTCCAAGTAAAAAAGTTTAAAAAAGCTTAAAAAAGTATAAATATGAAAAAAACAGTAATAATAACATTCATCATCAATCATTAACATCATCATCATCATCATCATCATCATTATCATTATCATTGTATATAAATATTTATAAAGTCCCATATACATACCTCTTGACTCTTGACCTTCTTTTTCATTTAATAAAATACCATATATATATATGCGACAGAAAGGGTTCATTACATTTTTACATTTTTACTTTTTTACTTTTTTACTTTTTTTTTTTTTTTTTTTTTAACTGGGTGTGGTCAGGTGGATAGACCTAACGATCAGATAGTAAACACGGATGCGCCAAGAGCCATATGACGGATCATACCCTCCACCTCATGATCGCGATCTCTAAAGTCTACACCCGGAGACACTGGAGGTCCTTCTGGAGATTGGTCTCCTGTTCGCTTAGTCCGAGTATCCAGATGTTGTGAGCGTACTCCTGCCTCGACTTGTGTAGGAGGAAGAAGCTCACTCTTACTATCGATGTTTGCCTTCTTTCCTTCCTTCTTCTTCTCCTTTTCCTTTTCCTTCTCATGCTCATGCTCATGCTCATGCTCATGCTCATGCTCCTCTGAATCTAACTGTGCCTTTTGATCACGATATTCTGCAGAGTACTGTTGTGCTTGTTGCTGAGCGGTCTCCAAGGATATCTTTGTACGTATGGAATGTCCATCATGACCAACACGACCTCCACCCCTGCCATGAATACCTCCGCGCATCATCCTGGCTGCCATCGCTGGTGGAGGCATACGTCGTGGAGTATTCTCTGGCGATGATGACAATTCTTTCTTTATGTCTTCTCCCTGCTGACCCTTAAAGTTCAAATGTGGCTGTGGCTGTGACGGAGATGAAGGCTCAGAATCCACAGAAGCAGTAACCTCAGCTTTTTGCTTCTCTACACCATCAACAAACAAAGGGTTTGAAGAGCCGCCACTGCTGGAGGAGGAACAAGAACTAGAAATGGCGCGTATGTGTGTTTGAGTCGGGTGAGGTTCATCTGTTGATGATGTCGTTGGGAAAGAAGTAGTCAAATGCTCTGCTGAATAATCATTGTTGTTCCCCACAGATGCCTGCACTGGAGAGACAGAATCTTGGACTGCGGAGGCCCTTTCCTGCTGAACATGCTCCGCGGTAGTGCTCAAATCCTTCTTTTCTGATGAAGTAGATGATGACAAATTGCTCTCTTTATGCTTTTTCGACTCTATCGGGCCTTTTTCCTTCACCTTCGCTGATCTACTTGCTACCCGATGTTGCATAGGATCCTTTGGCAACCGATGGAGGTATCTGTCTCATCGGAGGAAAAAAAAAAAAAAAAAAAAAAAAAAACAGATAAGGATCAAGAGATCGAGTCGACAAACATTGTTCATGAGATAGCCTATTCCTTACCCGTATCCTACATCACAGCCCAAGAGTCCTTGACCACCCCAATCATTACTGGGGACAATAATGACCTAAATACAGCATAGAACATAGTCCGGACAGAGACGAATGAGAGAACGTTAAAAAATATTGGAAAGAAAGAGTCAAGGAAGGATTTTTTTTTTTTTTTTTTTTTTTTTTTTTAAACAGAGCTTTTACCTCCCGGACTTCATCAGCATCGAGATTATAGACATGAAGTGGTAAAGGCTCGTCAACATAGTCCTCCACAAGGTCATACAGGTCGCTTTCAGCCCGCATGACTCCTAATGAGGTTCCGATGATATAGTCCTTATGAGCATCTAAACCTGCGCGTTCTGCTGGAGAATTTGGCATGATATCCTTTTTCATTCAAAGAGAAAAAAAAATAAAAAATGCAATCAGTTCCAATCTGGTCAGTCTGTTGGCTTTTTTTTTTTTTTTTTTTTTTTTTAAAAAAATAATAATAATAATAATAATAAAAATAAAATAAAAAAATAAAAAAAAAAGACTTACCAAAATATGCCAGACAATGTCGTTGATTGTATCGAAAAGAGTAAATCGAATACTACAGCCAATTAGTCCATCTTTATCATCGCCCCATGTCCTCGTAGGAATCATCTCGACCTCTATCTCAAAGAAAAAAGAAAAGAAAAGAAAAGAAAAGAAAAGATTGTCGAGATGTAGTTGGTGTCCGTTAGAAAAAAAAAAAAAAAAAAAAAAAAGATCCGCCATTGATGAATCCAATATGATATATATATGTATTTCATACTTCGTAGTTCCTGTGCTCTGGTGGAGTACACATCCAATGTCATCGTTTTGTTCTCATATGCTTCCAATTGCTCTTGAAGAGTTGTATTTTCTTTATTCTAAAGTCTCCAAAAAAAAAAAAAAAAAAAAAGGATAAACGGATTAAATTCCAAGTTGATAGAAGGGGTGGGAGTTTAAGAATAAACAAGTAAGTAAATGTGTATTACCAAACGAATGCCATTGACAGCAACGATGTAGTCAAAGAATGGTCGTAGTCCTGCTTGAGCAGCAGGTGAGTCGTTTTTAACCTAGAGGAGTGTGTGACATGTTACGCGTCAAGTTCAGTAATGTCATCTCATGGTGAGCATTCCATGCATCTTTTTATTTTTTATTTTTTTTTTTTTTTTTAAAAAAAAAAATCTTGTCAATACCCTAAGAACATGGTATCCATAGCGATACCTGCCCTTGTCCCCTGAAGGCGAGTTTCCCATTTTGGTTTCTTTTTTCTTTTGTTTTGCTTAGTATAATGTAATGTAAAATGTAATGATGAACTGAAGCAAATTCGAATAAAATAAAATAAAATAAAAGTCAGAGAGTGTGAGGAGGGCCTGAGCATTAAAATCGATGTGTGAAAATTCTATTGGAATAACAAAAAAAATCCGGGCAAATGACATTGCCAATGAATTCCATGTCCCAACTGACCCCATTCATGTAAATATTCTTTCACAACACAACAACACAACAACAACAACAATTCTTAGCTCGCCCCACATCGCATTGGACTTTTTTTTTTTCCTCACTGAGTAGGTTAGTAATGATACATATTCATGTACATGTACCCCCCAAGCAGTCGTTGTACAAATAGATAGAGTATTACTCTTCCAGAGAACGCGTCGTGATCTCATTAAAAAAAAAAAAAATAGATAAACAGTTGGACATTTGGAGAAACGTTTTTTTTTTTTTGTGAATAAATTTCTGATCATCAGCAAGTCAAGGGCGCAGTTTCGACGGATAGAGCAGCATGTACAGTACATATTTGCAAAGCATTGATGTGGACGGAGCTGTTTTCTTTTAAGGTTGCAACATTTACACTCTGGATGAAAGCGTCGGCGTGTCAGTTAAAACAACTGAACCTAATGTAGGAATGTTGTCCGCATTGTCCCAGCAAAGTTTTCTTTTTACTGCACCAAGAAAAAGACACGCTCCAATGATGGTTACATCCCTGGTTTCAATGACGCCTTTTTTTTTTTTTTTTTTTTTTTTTTAATAAAGTCCGCATCCATCAAGGAAATTCTAGCCACATTGGTGTACATGTACTTGGCCACAAGTAAGTCCTATGCATATTTGCATTCTTATTAGTTGACTTTTCATTTGGTTGCAGAAACACATCTCTCTTCATTTCTTTTTTTTTATTTTTTTATCCCCCGTCCTTTCCTCTCTCCCTTTTTTTTCCGTCGGTTTTTTGTTTTTCTCTGTTCCCTTAGCCCTCAAGATCCTCGTTATTCCACCTGTCTTTTCTTCCCCCCCCCCCCCCCTTCTCTCTCTCTCTCTCTCTCTCACTGTCTTTTTATTTTTATTTTTATACCTTCATTAACCATCAAACCTCTTTTTTTTTTTTATATATATCTCTCGTACATTCTTCAGCTTAACTGCCTAGTTCCTGATTTTCTAAAAGCACCATTATCCTCGCCATGCCAGACTACGGCGAGAAGCAGGAGTACTCGGTGGATGACCCAGTGGAGGATGCGTTTCAACAAAACGAGGAAAACCAGGAATTTGGCGCAGTCAAGCGTGACCTAAAGTCTCGCCATCTGCAGATGATCGCTATTGGAGGCACTATCGGCACAGGCATCTTTTTGTCTTCAGGAGGATCAGTTGCTGCTTCTGGACCCCTTGGAGCCTTGATTTCATACACCATTGTTGGTGAGTTGAATGCTCAACAAAAAAAAAAAAAAAAAAAAAAAGAAAAAAGAATAGTTTATCATCACTTATTCGTAAACCTTAACCTTATTTTTTTTTTTTTATGGAACATGGTGTTTGAAAAAAAAAAAAAAAAAAAAAAAGGAATCATGGTTTTCTTTATAGTCACATCTCTAGGAGAAATGGCTGCCTATCTGCCATTGCCTGGTGCATTCACAACTTTTGGCTCACGCTTTGTCGACCCAGCTCTGGGCTTTGGCCTCGGAATTGGCTATGCTTTTCAATGGACCATCACTGTCACGATCGAGGTCACCTCTGCAGGACTTATTTTACAATATTGGTGGCCAGATCTAAAGATGTGGATCCCTGCCCTTGTCTTCATCCTAGTCCTCGTCGCAATCACCCTACTGGGCGTCAAAGCCTTTGGCGAGCTGGAGTACTGGTTGAGTATGATCAAGGTCCTGACCTGTGTAATCTTCATCATTGTAGGCATCCTAGTCTGCACTGGAGCTGTTGGAGGTGAAACCATCGGAGGAAAAAACTGGCATATTGAGGGCGCACCCATCGTTGGAGAGTCTACACGCGATAGGACTGTCAATATCTTTACCACCTGTGTTTGGGCATTCTTCAGCTTCGGCGGCACAGAGTTGATCGGCATCACCGCAGGAGAATCTGCCAACCCCGGTAAGGCTGTTCCCAAGGCCATCCGTCATACTTTCTGGAGAATCTTGTTGTTCTACATCCTCTCAATCACCGTCATTGGCCTGAATATCCCATGGACAGATAAAAACTTGCTCAATTCAGCTCAAGCTGATGTTAATGAGGCAGTGCCGATGGCGCCCTTCACAATCATCTTCAAGATGGCCCGTCTGCCTGGCGCTGATCATGCCATAAACGCTGTTCTCTTGACTGCTGTCCTCTCGGCTGGCCAGAGCTCATTCTATGCCTCTACACGGACCCTGATGGCTATGGGCCGTGAGGGCAAGATGCCCGCCATCTTTGGACGCGTCAATAGCCGTGGTGTTCCCCTATACTCCCTTGCTCTTGTCACCCTCATCGCCAGTATTGCGTTTGTCTCTGACGTTGTCGGTACTGGTGTTGTCTTCACATGGCTTGTCAACCTCACAGGCATGTCAGCCTTACTCACTTGGATGTCAATCTCCATCATTCACCTGCGTTTCCGTGCTGCGCTCAAAGCCCAAGGCCGTTCCTTGGCTGAGCTACCATACATCGCACCACTGTTCCCATTCAGCTGCTACATCTCTATCCTGTTAGCGCTTATGATTGTGTTTATGCAGGGCTACCAGGCAGTTACAGCGGAGCCGTTTGATGTCGAAGGAATTGTCGCAGTCTTCGTGGGTGCACCAGTCTTTTTCTTGACGATCATTATCTGGAAAGTGTATCATAAGACCAAGCTGGTCCCTTTACTGGAGGTCGACCTTGACTCTGGACGACCTACCATCCTCCGCGGCACAAGTAACGCTGTTGCTCAGAAAGGACAAGAGGGTGGTGATGAGAATGTTCACCTTCCCTTTTGGAAGAGAACTGGCCGCAAGATCCTTCGTCTTATTGCCTAATAATAGGCGATTTGAGCTTCTTTTTATTTTTATCAACAAGACAAGACAAAGTGGTTGTCATCCCATCATCTTGCTATTCGCATGTATTATATTTATTTATACCATTGCAGGAAGTATATAGTACCACAGCATTACCTGTTCACATTAAATTTGCCTAGATTTTGAAGTATCGCGAAGGCGCAATAGAGATTTGAAATATGGCAGGAGCGCTACGTGTCAACATTGCTTCGCCCACATCTCCTTTCACTGTCCTTTTAGATCATAATCCAAACTGGCTGCTTCGTTCTCTATCACCACCGCTATCACTATCATCATTATTTTTTTTTTTTAAAAAAAAAAAAAAAAAAAAAAAAAAAAGTTTTTTACCAGCTGCATTGCACAATGCCACTCGGATAGTAAGAAGCCCAGGATGGAGGCTATTCCTCATAATCAAAAGAGCAAACAGGCGGCCGCCTCTTAAACTCATAACGAACCCGCAGCACTCTTGTCTTCTAACTATTATCATTTCAAACCATATTGTGCCATGCCATTCAATGATCTGCCATCAACACTATCACAATTCAATGAATGCCTATCAACTTGCTTTTTACTTCTTGGTGCCTTTTAAATCAACTTTTTTTTTATTTTTTATTTTTTATTTTTTATTTTTTTATTTTTAAAAAAATTTACTCTTTATTTAGTTATTTGTTTGCTACCTGGCTACATACTAAGCTACAAAAGGCCAGACTCTTAGCCACCTTGGGATGTCTTGATGTTGTCCGGAGCACACGTGGTCTGGCAAATCGTGCTCCGTTGGTCAGGTCCCATGGCCTTGCAAACGCCCGTGCACATACCCATTAACCCATTAACCCATTAATCCAGCCGAAGGGGCTCCGCCATCGCATGGCTCATGAGAGCCAGCTCAGGCTCATGCCCGTCCGGGCCTACCTTGGATATGCGTTGTTGCTCTATTGGAATTTGAAGTGTTAGTTCTGTTTTTTTTTTTTTTTTTTTTTTTTTTTTTTTTTTTTTTTTGATTCTTTTTTTGGTTTTTTTTTTAGGATTTTTTTCTTTGGAATTTTTCTTAGGATAAGTTTTTTTTCTTTAATCTTTTTTTTTTTTTTAATAAGTTCTTTTCTTTTCTTTTTTTTTTTTTTTTTTTTTTTTTTTTTTTAATAAGCTCTTTTCTTTTTTTTTTTTTATAAGTTTTTTATTCTTTGGATCTTTTTTTTTATGTTTCTTTGGTTTTTTTTTTTTTTTCTTTGGGTTTTTTTTTCTGGATTTTTTTTTCTGGATTTTTTTTTCTGGATTTTTTTTTCTGGATTTTTTTTTCTGGATTTTTTTTTCTGGATTTTTTTTTTCTTTGCTTTTTTCTTTGATTTTTGATTTTTGGTTTTTTTAATATTTGTTTTGACGTTGGGATCGTCCAGTTTCTCGTTGGTTTTGTTCTTTAGATAGGGGACGTCCAGAGCACACCAAGGAGGGGCAGCCTGGTCGCCATGGCTTTGAGCTTGCTCGAGAAGGTGATCAAGCTGCTTGAGCGAGGCAGCGACGGCATAGCCCGGCTGTTTGGACAAGGAGGCAGCCTAGCTGGCTGAGTGAGAGGGTTTGGCCTGGTCGCCTGAGTGAGGAAGCGGCCTGGCTGTTTGGATGAGATGCTCTGGCCGCTTCAGCGAGGAGGATGGGGCAGGGCGGGTTGGCACTATATTGTTTATGGAGGCGCCAGTTGATCGTGGAGCTGGCTCGAACTGCCAGGCTCCGGTTGGTTTAGGAGAGGATTCATATCATCTGTGGCCTAAGGATGACATGAAAAGAGAGAGACAGGCAAGAAAAGATAAAGTTAGAACAAGAGCGATGTAGCATGGGATGAGAGGGCTGAACATTTCAGTAGGTGTGGATGTTTGAGGAGTGTTGCTTACCATTCTAGCTTGATCAAGAGGGCCAAGGAGGCCGAGGAAAAAAAAAAAAAAAAAAAAAAAAAAAAAGAAAAGTTGAGATTGACCCTTTTATATTCGTTTTCGGAAGCACTCGCGAAGGAAAAAAGATCAGTGATCAGGAGAACAAAAGTAAGTGAAAGCCATTATGCGACAGGAAAGAATTTGACTGAATAATGAATATATCAAGTACTTTGCTTTTTGTACGTTCAAAAGCGAAACAAAAATTTATGAATGGTGGCAAAAGAAGGCTAATATGCCTTGATGCCTTTGCCAAGCCTTGAAGAGGATAGTGAATAACGATGATATCATCCATCCCCTTACAATAAAGAAGAGGAATAAAGAAGAGGAAAAAAGAAGAAAAAGTCTCACGGGTGGAGGTGAGAACAATATCCTATCCTCAAGATATTAGACAGACTTCACAACAACCAATCTACAGACATTAAGCTCAAGTAGCTTTTGATCCATAGTAGAGAAGCACATCTGTCAGTCAAGCTTGTTTATTCTATTCATTTACTCTCTCTCATCTATTGAGGGAAGGGGTGCTGTACTGCGGCAGGTTCTATTCAAGCTGCCTTTTTCTTTTTCTTTTTTTTTAAGACTGTGTCGACGCCCTAGTTTGCTTTTATTGGTCAGATAAGGATCTGTTTATACTTTTTGTCTTGCTTATTTTTTCTTTTGCTTTTTAATGACCCTGAACTGCGATATCATCGCCGGATTGATTTGTAGAATTAAGGAATATAATGCATGCTTTTTATGCGTATGCTCCGTATGCTTTGTAATATAACATTAAAGGAATATAATACAATATTATAATATAAAATGTCTTATAGTATTATATGTATCATACAAGACATTGTCGTCTATATACACAATAACAAAAATGCATATGAAATATTCACATGGAAGCTTCGATAGACAGAAGGGTCCTTACAAACCAACATGGTCAGATAATGTAGGCTAGCAGTCTAAGAAAGCTGCACACACATGTACACTCTTTCATAATAGGATACATGGGCAACGTAATGCATCCAACGCTTTATTGCATTACTTGGTATTGCGACATTAAATGAAATAAAATAAGTAAAAAAAAAAAAAAATTTACTTTCGCAGTGATATCTTCCGTTGCAATGACAAAGACAAAAGCAGTGTGAAATAAAGACATGCTTGACAGCGCCATAATGTAGTTCCTCTATTGCAGTAAAGACACTCCTTGTGGACATGCATGTATGAATAATAGCATCCTCTTTATTACTTCTATCACACCGTCTTACTTGTTCTTTGAATAAATAAATCTTTCTCCACATTATTGTCGCACCATCATCTAAGAGAAGGCAAAAAAAAAGGGACTGTTGATGTATGATCACCTCCTATTAGCAACGGATTATCCTCGTCTACACCCGCATTTGGAGATGAAAGACTTCTCTATTTTCTTTGTTTTACCGAAAGTGGACAATGTCTGTCTACTTCCTTTGTCTGCTGTAAGAACGTCAAAGAATCCAAGCATGTTCTGGTTGGTTAATTTTTGTCAGAGCCCATTTTAGGTGTTCGTGCAAACATTGGACTGCAAACGCATTTGGACGCGTTGACGGCCTAATCAGAGTAACAAACAATGGTTTAACACTGGGCGATAACGATCTCTCTGGTAGTTTGACAACCATCTTTGATTTTTTCTTTTTTTATTATTGATTCATTTCGCTTACTATTATAATCTAGAATGGCTTCATTACAACTACCATCAGAGGTATTGTATTTTTTTTTTTTTTTTTTTTTTACTTAATGTTTGCTCTTCATCCACCCTTAACTTTTCTCTCTTCACTTTCACAAACCATATAAGACACATCCAGAGGCTATAAAATGCTATGTCCCCGTCGCGAGAAATGACCAACTATGGAGCCATCCTCAACTAAGTATGAAATATTTACATGGTTTCACTTTGACTTGCTTGTCATCATTCACTGTTTAGCTGTCACCAAATTAATTCAGTATACTTACTATCTCGTTCTCATCCTTTTGCCTTCTTTCTTCCAGGGAACGCTAGCCTTGGACCCTTTGGGTCCTCAGCGACGGCTATCCCAAAGGCTTTCATGAGCTTATCATAATAGAATACGTACTCTTTCTTGCTGAACACTTTTTTTTTTTTTTTTTTTTTTTTCTTCAATCGTGTCAGTATTTGCTGCGCAATTGCCCACATTCTAGAAACAGTCAATGGGCTTTGTTCAAATTGTACCGACAAGGCTTCGAACACAAGAGTCAGCTGAAGAGCCTCAGAGACAACTATCAAAACAAGGCCTGTTCTACCAAAATTGTTGATCCACAAGACGTCGAAAAAAAAAAAAAAAAAAAAAAAAAAACCTTTCAGCTGGCGTGAATCGCCGGTGCTTTTTCGGGTGATTTCTGATGTGGTGTACCAGCGATGAACCAGAACACTTTTGTGCTTTTATATTGGGGAATACACCATACCGCTACTTGTAAGCGAGCGTAAGCCTCGTGCTTAGCTAGTGACTGTGGCCATATAGTCTATCATGACATTTTTGGCGTAGCTACAAATATGCATAGATTGACCTATTACACCTATTAGAGTAACTCTCTTCAATAAACATTTGCTCCACTTTTACCGCCTTTGGTTCCTACCCACCGCCTAGCCTGCATCGTTGGTCCTTGACATTTGTCTTTCCGAGATGATGTAGGCAGGGACGGCTAAACGGCAAAGGCTCTTGCAAGATTTGTGCTGACGAAAGATGTATTCCCAGGTCTAATGTTGTCATGTAGGGAGGACCAGGAATTGTACTTCATCATTGACCTGATCCTTTTCATTGAATCTTCAGTCAGTGACTCAAGGGTTTCGAGGATAGAAGCGCACGGCACAGCTGGAGCAGCAGTAGAGCTTATCTTGATCACCTTGCATTGAGTTCCAGTACTGAGCAAAAATAGGCCCATCATCATCTGTATTGAGATGCAGGTATAAGGAGAAGATGGAGGTCAAGGGCCATGCGGACTATAAGCGATAGAATTAAATTTGTTAGGCCGTTAAGAATTGGATCAAAGGATCAATACCCTTTTGTCTGATCACATTAATGAAAGAGACCATGCGATCATTCTTGAAGACTCTTTGGAAGAATAGGATTAGTTTTTGTGATTTTTTTTTTTTTTTTTTTGCTACGCATTGACATTCATCCTTACTTGATTTATCGAACATTGTCAGACCCTTCATTTGGGTGCGCACTGTTCATTGTAAGAAGCCTTGTCCTTAATCACATCAGCTTGCGTGGAGAAAATAAATAAAAAAAAGACATGAGAGATGGGCCAATCAGAATAACCTTTTTTTTAAGTTTCCGAACAGTGCATAAAAGATGATTACACATCAAAAAGACCTTCTTCTCTCTGATTCAGTCATTTCAAACTCCATTACACTTGGGGCTTTGTTCCCTCCCTCTTTCTCTTCACCTCCCTCTTTCTCTTCACCTCCGCTCATTCATCCTCTGTTCTTCATTTGTTCATTCATCCTTACTTGGTCTCTCCGTCTTTTTTCTTCTATCCCACCAATCCTTCGGAGAAAAATAAGAAAAACAAAAGTTTTCGTCATCACTGCGCTTGTTTGGATAAAGCTTTGAGGGTGTACGCTATGGACACTTTATCAGCCACAAACCAGCCACATGACCACAATGAGACAGAGTTGTTGGTACCCCTGGGACTCCTCTCCTTCACTATTCTTGCTGGCATCTACAGGTGAGTGAAAAAAAAAAAGCGTTAAATCAGATGTCATTGTTGTTTAATTCCTTAACGGCTCTGTGGAGATATAGAAAAACCAGACGGAAAAAAAACTGATCGACCCCCTTTTTTTTTTTTTTTTTTTTTTTTTGATGAATGCAGGTACTTTTTTGTACTCCGAGTAAGGTCATACTACCGCCCACTTCTTTCCGAGGTCAGTCCAGATGATCCATCATCAGAGAGGACCCAAGAGTCCAAGTTGTCAAAGCTGGGTTGGATCATAGTGATCATGAACTATCTTGTTGGATGCACGTTTCTAGCGAGCTTGGGTCTGATTTGTTTGCGGGCCATGATGGATCATATCTGGTCGGGGACCTTGGTTGTTCTTTATAACATCCTGTCATTTGTAGCCATCGTAGCTAACTTGGCGTTGATGCACATTGAGGCGGAGATGAACGTCGGTCAATGGAGTTGGGCTAACTATCTGTTTTGGTGGCTAGCCCTGGCAGGCGAATCCTTCATTGGATGGTTTCATCTTGAAGGCATTCCCGATGGTAACGTTGCTTGCTCCTTTGGTTTCCTTCTTTTTGTGCGATAACAATTACATCAACTTGTATTCATTTTCTTTTTTGTTTTCTTTTCTTTGCCCTATCCCCTACAGATTCTTCCTCTGGATCGGAGAATTTTAAACACTTCAATTATATACTAGTTGGTCTCTTTGCAGTTCGTTATGTCTTGCTGTGTATCTTGGCATTGCTGTCAGCTGTACACCATAAAAGAGAATCCAAGGAAGATGATCTCGAAGCCCTTCGCGCTCTCGACCCCGGTGCGCCTGAAACTGTAACGACTGTTGCTTCATCATCTACAAGGGTCGGAGCTTATGGCACGTTTGCAAAGGCATTTGGCCCACGCAAGGAAACAGACGATAACAGTAAGAAGAAGCCAGCAATGACTTCATCTTCAGATGATGAGATTGAAAAAAAACTCAAAACTGAACAAGAAGAGCGAGCGAATGCATTCAAAGATTTTTGGCCCAAGATCAAACGACTTATCCCATATGTGTACCCCAAGAATGATTCATGGTTGAAGTTCATGATCTTCTTGACTTTTTTCTTCTTGGCTCTGGGCCGTGTTGTCAACGTGTTGGTTCCTATCCAAACCAACCGTATTGTGAAGCGTCTTTCAACTGATGATCGTAAGTTTCAGAAAAAAAGAAAAAAAGAGGGAGAGACGCATGTGAATGATTTACATGAATGAACATATTTGCGTTTACATAGTATCTAATACGTCGATTTTCCCTTCAACAGCGTTTGATGTATGGGGCATTCTCCTTTACATTCTGCTCCGATACTTGCAAGGCGGTTCAGGTATTATCGCTGCAGCCCGAGGATGGGCATGGATCCCCATTGACCAGTATAGTAACAGCACCCTCACCATCCGATTTTTTGAGCATGTTCACACTCTATCACTTCAATTCCATTTGAATCGAAAAACTGGAGAGCTGCTGCGGATTCTGGACCGAGGAACTAGTTCTATCATTTCACTAATAAGCACCGTCATGTTTCAGTTTGTACCCGTTGTGGCAGATGTGGCCATCGCTGTGATATACTTCTGTCTACAATGGAGCTGGAAGTACGCAGTGATTATCTTTATCACAATCGTGGCCTATATTCTGGTCACAGTTGTAGTCACTGAATGGCGAACTCAATTCCGAAGGGCTATGATCTCATTCGATAATGATGCTCGTGCTAAAGCGGTAGATTCGCTACTGAATTTTGAAACAGTCAAGTACTATACTGCAGAAGAATACGAGATCAACCGGTACAGAGCCGCCATCGGCAAATACATGATCGCAGACTACAAGAGTCAATTTACCTATCAGTTACTGAACCTTGCGCAGTCGTTTGTCATCACCATGGGCATGTTGGCAGGATGTATGTTGTGCGCATACGAAATCTCGCTGCGCGAACGTGATGTTGCTGATTTCATCACTTTTATCATTTATTTGAATCAGCTCTACGTACCTGTAAGCGACCTTACTCAAATACCCGTTCTCTAATCAGTTGAATATGTATCTTTCGTTATAAACAGTTACTAATGCTAATCAATTCTTTATTTTATTTTATTTTATCATTATTATTTTTTACATTTGATCCTTATGGATCTCTACAGTTGAACTGGTTCGGTTCCTACTATCGCATGCTTCAACAAAATTTCATCGACATGGAAAAGATGATCAAACTATTGGACCAAAACCAGACCGTCAAGGATATTCCTGGAGCAGATCGCTTGATCGTGCATGATGGCGAAGTTGTCTTTGACAACGTGAGCTTCCAGTATGATTCTCGACAGAAAGGCCTACAGAATATCAGCTTCACAGTCCCCAAGGGCAAGACTGTTGCCTTGGTGGGCCCTACTGGATCAGGAAAATCGACAATCTTGCGTCTACTCTTCCGATTTTACGATGTTGCCCAAGGTCGGATTTTGATTGACGGTCAGGATATTTCCAGAAAGACACAGGCGAGTCTTCGTGAACAAATTGGTGTAGTTCCCCAGGATTCAGTTCTCTTCAACGATTCTATTTATTACAACATCAACTATGGACGAACCGACGCTACTAAAGAAGAAGTGGAGTTCGCGGCAAAGGCGGCTCAAATCCACGACAAAATCTTGGATTTCCCTGAGCAATATGATACGAAAGTGGGTGAGCGTGGATTAAGATTATCAGGAGGCGAGAAGCAACGTGTGGCAATTGCGAGAACTATTTTGAAGAACCCACCGATCGTGTTGCTGGACGAGGCTACCTCTGCATTGGATAGTGTGACCGAAAGTCAGATCCAGACTGCATTGGCCAGGATGACAGAGAATAGAACGACACTTGTGGTCGCCCATCGTCTGAGCACTATTGTCAACTCGGACCTGATTATTTGTCTTAAAGATGGTGCTATTGTCGAACAAGGAACACATGACGAACTTGTTGAGCGTGCGCTTGCAAATGGAGGGAACGGTAAAGAAAAAAAAAAAAAAAAAAAAAAAAAAAAGCTTTGTTTGTATAATTTTGTTGGTGCAGATAAAATAACAAAAACTTGTTTGTTTTTATTTTTTTTAGGCGTGTATTACGAGATGTGGAGACAACAGATTAGGGATGAAATGGGCGATGATTCGACTGTAGATGGCACTGTGTCGGATGATTCGGACTCGAAGAAAAAGGGCAAGGGTCGCAAGGAACCAAGATCTCGCCAGCCATCAGCGCCAACTGAACAACAGGGAGAGGCCTCGTCTGCGGTATCGCCGTCTTTACCAGCTGTAAAGCCATCCGTCCCTACTGCTACTCCTAGTGATGTTCAAGAAGTGCTACAGGCTCAAACATCTAATGACCCAAACGAACTCACACAAGTGATTGTGGAGCCCTCAAACGTTGCAATCACAGCTACTGCTGTTGCTGCAAATCCTCCACCGAGTGATAAGATGGGTACTAAAGAGGCCGTTGTGGTTATTAGCGATCCAGCAAAGGAACAAGAGAGCAAAAACGAGGTTGTTCAGAGCCAACCTAGCCAACCTAATCAACCTAATCAACCGAGCGTAGCCTCTGGGTCCGGATCGCAGACAGCCTCTAATAAGTCGTCCAAGTCGCGTAAGAAGAAGAACAAGAGGAAATAATCGAAGTTTAAATGTCCTTTCTGAAATCAACTCCATAAATGTTATCCATTAAACTAAGAGCACTTGATAAAAATTCGCCACAGTTGATCACTTGGCCTGAGATTTTCCATCTTTATTGTACCACAACCTATAATTAAGAATCACGCGTCGCGCGTACATTTTCACCCCAACACCTTCGCGAATTCTTCCATTGTACATCCAGATCAATTATTCTTCATCCTCATCGCTTAACTGTACAAATGGCATCCAACACTGAGAAACTCCCATTCTACGCTAGTTGTGATGTTGCCGATGCATTGTTGGCGTTGAAAGTTACCAATGCAGGTTATATCCCTGACCTCCATCTCTGGAGTCCTCAGTTTAAGGCTGGCTATACTCGCAGTAAGTTGCCAAGAGAAAAAAAAAAGAAGGTAAATGGTACCGAAAGATCGTATCCTAATACTTTTTTCGTTCTTTTTGCTATTAGTCTTTGGTCCTGCTTATACTGTTAAGGTAACTTTTTTTTTTTTTTTTTTTTTTACAACAGAAAGCTTCGTGATACATGTCATCATGGCCTTTAAAAAAAATAAAAAAATAAAAATAAAAAAAAAAACAAAGAAAAAAAAACAACTGGACCTTGCTGTTTATTTCTCAGCTTTACTTAACTTGACAAATCTTGCGAAAACAATGTATAATAGATGGTCCCTGTGTCAGATACAGAGGCACCCAAGCCAGACCAACATTTTGTTGACGCTATTCCTGAAGGAAGCATTGTTTGTATTTCGCAGCCTTCAAATTTGGTCAATGCCGTCTGGGGCGGACTAATGACAGCACGCGCGCAGATCAGAGGCGCACTCGGTGTGGTTGTTGATGGACGTATCAGAGACTTGAATGAACAGCGTGAGGCTGGATTCCCAGTAAGTTCATTGGACAGTACCTAGTTATGTTATGATAAAGATGTCGAATATTAATATATAATGTAATGTATCTTTTTTTTTTTTTTTTTTTTTTTTTTAATTTTAACATTTCAAATTTCAACTTCTTTTGGTGCTAGGTTTTTGCAAAAGCGACGTCCATCATGGGTGCTGGCCCTTTCACGCGTGCCACCACTCTTAATATCCCAATCACGATGCAACCAAACCCTGACCATCCTGCCGTGACCATCCATCCAGGAGACTATGTTGTTGCAGATGCAGACGGCGTTGTAGTGATCCCCAAGGATTTGCTTTCGCAAGTAGAGGCTCAATGTAAAAAGTCAACAGCTGTAGATGATCAATGCATGACTGCGCTCAAGTCTGGTGAGAGCATCGTAGACACTTTCAAGAAATATCGCGGATAAAGAATAAAGCATTTGTGCTACATGTTTCTTCGTCATGGGCAACTGATAATGCTTGTGCATGTGACATACTCCAAAAAAAAAAAAAAAAAAAAAAGGTTCTTTCCAGCCCCTATTCACATTATTTCATTCGTTATTCATTTCGCTGATTCATTCATGGCACAGATCACATCAGCGCGTTCACTTTACCATGAGTGTCAAAGTCAGGGGCAGTGTGGCAAGGTACTCTTTTATTTTTATGGAGTGACCAGACAGAGGTGCTTCGCCTGGAGTGAACTCATAGAAATCTAACATGTACTTATCCTTATTTCTCTCGTTACATCGAGTCTAGCATACACTAAACAACTTGGTACATTTCTATGATTTTTTATCTTACCAAAAAAAAAAAAAAAAGAATCAGTGAATAAAACATCCTGTGGTTAGAAATGTTTAGATCGTGTTCATTGACTTATATGTTTTTGCTCGCTAAAATGATATGATAATGGACGTGTCATCAGTTACAAGGACCTGTCTTTTCGACATCGGACCTAGATATGATTGCAGAGAAGCTTCGTCAAGTTGCACAGGAGAGTCTTCAACGGACAATATGGAAGAATCCATACAAAAGCCCCTTGTAAATTACTAGTCATAAACAAAGCAAGTCTGTTTAGCTAGAATGCTACTAAAAGTATCAACTAAAAGGTGTCTCGTTTTTATCAACTGTCAATGTTGCATGTAGGGGTATGGGCTACTACGATGTCACCGTACTTGAGGCGGCGCTGAACCAACAGGGCTGTACACTATCGTGGTTTGACGCTCGACGAGGTAAGCATCCTTACATGCCAGCTTTTCTTCTTGTCGAGCTCTGGCCATTCTGGATGTGTTTAATATTGACCAACGATATTTTTATGTATATATATATTCTATTGTCCCTGAAGATATTGCAGAATGCCTAAGCCAACAGGACGATTCAATGCTCGGGCTAATAGTTCATGTCCCTACAATGACTCGATGGTTGCCCTTTTGGAAAGGACAGCATTGGTTTGGAATACTTCGTCTCTCTAATGGGGCATTTATCGACTTGGATTCGAGGCTTTCACAACCGACGCCCTTTGCTGGATTTGATGATGTATGGATCAAAAAGTGATCACACCTTGTGGTTTAAGCCCCAACTTTTTAGCATGGCTACATACTAATATTATTCCTCCACACTTTTTATTGGCGGACGTTATAGGCGATAGCGTTTCTTAATAAAGTCCTACAAAACGGAGGGCGCCTGTTCTTGATTCACCGCGATCAAGAGATTTCCTCAGAATTCGCAGGAACTGCAGAAGGAACGTTGCCAGCTGTAGAGGCTGTGGAGCCAGAGAATTTGGCTCCACCAACCTCTGAAGCATCCATGTCCTTGACAGAAAGCCCAAGCACGCCAAAAGTGCATCCAGACTCAGAATCCGTGGCTACACAACCAATATCATAATTTTTCTTCTTTCTTTTACTCTTCCTTACTTTACCTGTTATATTCATTACTTGCTTTTCTGAATGGTACAAATAATTAATAGAATACCAACTTGAACAGTTGCAAAAAGTATAGTAATTAGCTTTGACTTGAGCATTGATTGATTTGATAGACTGACACCAGAACAGTCAACTGTCAAATAAAGTATCCAATTGGATCAGCTGCAAAGTGATTGGTCCATCAAAAGTTGTGGTTGCCTAGTCATCTAACCTAGCCTAGACAAAAACTTGATGTTACCTCTCTCTAATTTGCACTCTCTTGGCTCCTCTCCACTCTCCTTTTGCTTCTTTAATAGATACGCTTGCTATCCTATCACTGGCATCATGAGTAACCCGCAGAATATTCAGCCCTTTCGGCAGCAGCAACAGCAACAACAGCAGCAACAACAGCAGCAACAACAGCAGCAACAACAGCGGATGCAGCAGACACAGCAAATGCAACAGACACAGCAAATGCAACAGATACAACAGCTGCAGCAGGTACAGCACCGTATGTCGCTGCCAAGCAACACAAACATCTTTACTCCACCTATATCTCAGTCGTCCCATGCTTTACAACAAGATATCCTTGAACAACAACTATACCATCAGGGTAGGCAGGAAGCATCAAGGTCGCAGAGCTACCAATATCAGCAACAGCCGCAAGTGCTCACGGCTCCTTTCTACCCCAATCCAGCAGACTCATCCAGCCAGATACAGTGGCAGGCTCACCAAGGCTTGGCTTCCAGTCCAACCAGAAGCCAGTCTACATTTGTCATTGTTCCGGCAAGCAATCCTGCAACCAACGCTTTCCAACCCTGTTTCACTAATACTGCCGCTCTATCTCGGCAAGCACAACCAGAACAGTTAATCAGTCAACAGATACATTCAGATTTGAGGACGTCTTTCGGCCCGTTGCCGGGAAAGGTTGTAAGTGATGGTAATGGCGCCCATGTAACTATTGTTCCGCGTTTCGATGATGCCGCGGTTACGCGCTTCGGCGGACAGTTACCTATTGGATCCAATACCTCATTACAAGATTTCCCTGAGTGCACCATCATCCCAGTGTCACAGAGCATGGGATACCAAGGGTCAAACATAGTTGTCTCGAGGCAACAATCACTTGGTCAGTCCAACCTCGTAACTCACTCTCCAATGTCCACAATTGCTGCTTCCCTACAGTCCCGTGTACAAGCAACAGGAACACGACAAGGGCCTAGATGCACAGCTGCATATGCGTTTATGCCACCTATTCCGGCTCTAGTAACTCCATCGATAACTGCCTGTCCCAGCTTGGCGCCTCTCAATGCCCCGTTAAGGTTTCGCTCGATCACGCCTGCACCTATTCGCGACACCCGTCGTGATCCTTATCCGATCCCAACGCGAATGCAGAGGAACACTTTAGATATTGCTGGACTCCCTAGGACTATCGCGAGCTCAAGTCAAACTAGAACACATGATACACAAAGAACTGCATCATTGACATCAAGGCGTGATTCAACCAGGAATCAGTCTAAAATGGTATCATGTGTCTCATTGCCTCACTCCTCTTCATCACCGGGCCGAGCAGTGCTGGCATCTGCATCATCACAAAGATCGATCCCCGCTATACCGTCATCGAATGGGCCTCATGGTCAAGCACAAGGGGCAGACCTACCGCCCCAGGCGCCTATTTCAATATACTATCCACAGGCGGAGAACACTGGTGATCATGATGTCAGCATGCTTGATCTTGAGGAAGAAGAGAAATTTGTTGAAGTGACACTCAACGTCGATATTCCCAAGTCATCCACACCTACAGTCCCAGGAGAACCAAAAACAACGGTTCTAAGCGTAAATCCATCATGGCATTGCGTCTTTGTGGAGATTGTTCACCAGCAGCGGATTCGAACCTCAATCCGAATCCAATTCTGCCCGAGTCCGATCAATCCAACGTTCAAAGACCACCGATCCAGGATTTTGAGCCTCAAGACTGTGCAAGTGATCGGGTACACTAGTCGACAGGTAGAGATGACACAGCGGATTTGTGGAGAGAAACTACTAGCGAAGGGCGGCCTCAACAGTACGTAAAGTATTTGAAAAAGGGCACTACTAAAGTTACATGAAGAGTCTTGAATAGACGGCACTCGTTTGACAAGCTTATTTTAATTTTGCTCTCCCTACCTCTACTCAGTACATCTTGATCCATCTGTGATAACCTACAATGAAGCCAGTTATGGCTTTACACTATCTCTTTCCAGCTTTGAAGCTGAGTTGTTGTCATGTGCTAATGCTTGTAAACCTGATGAGCCGCTGCCGCTTTCCCGCCAGCAAAATTCTGCTTACTGCCGTCGCAATCTTAAGGAACTGTATTGTGATACACTGTCAAAAGATGTGACAATTACACTTCGACCCTCGGATGAAGTTTTCCATGCCCATAGTGTTGTTCTTGAGAACTATGACTATTTTCGAACATTATTGCAACAGCACATTAACCGGCAGGGGTCTGCAAGCCTATATAATGCGAACTCTAGCCAGCAGCGACAAGAAGAGTCTACCAGCTCATCGAATACAACACATTCTGCCATCGATGAGGAAGGCTATGCACAACCACTCCACCCTACGCTGCCATCACCATCACTAACAACGCCTCAGCAGCAACAGCAACGTCAACAACAGTATCGACGGGTGCATCAACAGCCGCAAGGTAGGCAGGATCAGGACAGCTTTGGTCGTCCTCCAAAGATTAAGATTGAGATACATGATATCCAGCCTTACGCATTCCGAGCAGTACTTCACTTCATGTACGTAGGGCATATTCCTGTCACGACAGGTTCATCGCCCCCAGGCGCGGTACAACAACATTCGGGTGCTACCCCTATCCGACTAGGAGCTGGGACAGGCGGCAATGCTTCCGATGGACAGCCGGGATCTGCTCCCAGTGAGGGCCCTTCTCACAGCCATCTCCCAGCACGCAGTGAAAGAGGAGAGACCAACACAAGTGGCAGCAACAATGACAATACAGGCGACGGAGCTACACCAGCATTCGAAGGTACAGGGGCGCAAGCTTTGCAGCAATCATCGCAACCTCAGTCTCAGCCTTTGCAAGAATCCGTGGCAGATGCCCCAACACAAGTTATCGAGTTCTCTTGGAGGGAGCTCTACGAGACTGCATCCAAGTTTCAGATCATGAGGATGATGCATCTCGTCCAACTGGCACTCATCGCTAACCTGGATACGAATCAAGCGGTGCAAGAGCTGTTTGAATGGGCGTATCAGTATTGGACATTGGTGCCGTGCTATGCCAGCTTCATTATTGAAAACATGGATCCAACCTTGTTGCACTATGACAATATATTAATGTCATCACCTACAGTAGCGGCAGCAGCAACAGCAACCGCACCCAGGTCAGTGTTTTGGCCTTACCATAATACATGCCCACGGTTTGATGACATTATGGTTTTGTTCCTGCAGATGCTGAATGAACGAAAGGAAGCAAATGTGCTGACTTAGCAATTGTCCAAGCAAAACGAGCGAACACAAATAAAAAGAAAAGGTTTTGCTGTAGAAATTGGACTTTTTAGTTCTACTTCTTTTTTTTTTTTTTTAAAAAAAACTACTAAGGTCTTTTTTATACTTTTGTTTTTGTTCAAATGCTAAACTTCAAGGGTTCGAGCATTATATGTTACGAGCAGCGATGGTATTATGTACATTTTATTGACGGTGCTCCCGATCCAGATGTGCAGTGTAAGTCTGATAATCTATCAGCCACCGACCCTCCTCCCCCGCAATGACCTCTATGCGTTTGGACTGCATCAGTCCATTACGGAGGTTGGCTCCCTGAGTAGAGCCAGGGAACATAAATGCTTCGTCGCTCTCACTTTCATTTGAAGAAGCTTCATCGTCCGTAAGAGATAAAGGTGTCCATCGGCACCGGGAGATGGAGCAATTGGGTACAGGGACTAGAATAGGCGTCTGCAGACAAGCCTCCAACAAGGCATTGACAGGGGATGCATGAGTCATAATGACAATAGATAGATCTCGATGCGCGCCAGCTGCTGCGGTAGTGTAAAATTGAATGATATGGTCTAGTGTCTGATCAAGCCTAGACTGCATATCCTCTCGAGTTTCTGGCCAAGATGGCAATTGTCTGACTTTGGCCTGGTATTTCCAGTCGACGTTATAGTATTGCTCATGGTCGCGCCTAGAGACAGCAAACTCTTGCATCCGTTGGATAATGATCGAGTTTGGTACTGGCTCAGAAACGTACTCGAACGAAAGCCATTCTAAAAAAAAAAAAAAAAAAAAAAAAGATATCATATTAAAAAAAAAAAAAAAAGGCAAAGCCCCCTGCATACAAGGTATATCCAGTGCAAACAAACGCCTCCACACCAAACAAAAAAAGATTTCTCACTTGCCTGCGAGCCCTGGTTCAGTTGAGATGGTGACCAGATCATGACTCTTTGTGATACCATTATTACTGTTGTTCTTACTGGCTTGACGAATACCAACTGCAACTTCAACAGCTGTTTGAGAACAACGCAAGAATGGGCTGGTGACAATCGCAAAATGCTGCTGTCTCCCAGAGGCATTTGACGATTTTGGGAGACCATTGTTGCTTTCGCTGCCATTCAGACTCAAATCCGGAATGATGTCTTGCTGCTGCTGCTGCTGCTGCTGCTGCTGCTGCTGCTGCTGCTGCTGCTGCTGCTGCTGCGGTTGGTATCGGTTGAAAGAGGATGATTCTGGTGGACTGAGTCGTTGTAGTGTCCAAACTTGTGGATAGTTTTGCTGCTGCTGCTGCGGATCATTCCTATTTTTAGCCGGTGAAGGTAATGCGGGTATGGATACACCTTGTCTAGTAATGGAGGTGGTAGCAAAAGAGATTTCACGACCACGCCTATTGCTATTGTTGCTACCGGCGCTACTACTCTCATATGCAAAATCACGAATCAATTTGCCTGTTTGACGAGCCTGCGCCTTGCCTTGAGCTGTGAGGGGAGGATCTTGGGGACAAGGAGAAGTTCCTGCCCAAGTAGAATCCACTTGATCCAAGCGTTGACCATGTCGAACAAAGTAAAGATTAATTCTGGCCATTTTCCCTTTTTTTCCCTTTTATTCGCTGGTTTAATGTTACTCGCTATTAGTACTAGCAACGATGAAGATAAGCGATATGAAAATGATATGCCTTGGTGCTTTAGATTAAGCAATAGGTGAAAGAGGTCTTAACTGGGATAAATATAAAAAAGAATGAAAAAGAGGAGTTAATTTACCTCTTTTCAACCTCTTGTCTTTCATCACCTTTTTTTTAACTTTCGACATGTGACAGTCCTTTAGCGTGTGGGCGATCTTATTTTTCAATAAGCCTGATGCTCGATAGTGTGTGTGTGTTTTTTTTTTTGGACAACTGAACACGAACCAGCTGTCAAAGGCCCGTGTCTCCAGGGCAGAACACAAGGAGGGAAATGAGCACATGCAATGCAGCATTGTTTTTTCTTCAGCTGTGGAGAGATGTAAGAGGAACCAAATATTTAGTCCACGCTTGAATCCCATTGGATACATAAAACACATGAGCTACACTGCTGGGCGTAGTCAAAGGGATTTGTAGATCGCTCATTCTTTGGAGATGAGATGCGTTACACATATGAATGAATGCATTCATCATTAATTAGTGTCACTAAGCACTAAGTACAAAGCACTAAGGAAAGGGTCGGATTGCACCAGAAAGTAAAGCATGTTTCTTCCTGAGAATTCATGGGAAAATTGATTCTCTCCAGCCAGTCAGCGTACAGTTGTCTTGTGCTTTTTTCCTGTTGGTGAACACAAAAAAAAAAAAGAAGTGAGCCTCTTTAAAATCTTGATTAGTGTACATGTGGAAGTACATTTTGCCAGAGAGCAAAAGCAGCTTGTTCCTCATTCGAACAGGAGGGCTGTCGCAATGACATGATGAATATTTTACAACCAGGCACTTACAATACACGTATATATACCGTACATGTATTCAACGGAGGGACCTGTGTCGAATCGCACGCGAAGGATCACGCGGACAGAGCGAACAAAGATAGCCTAGACAAGATGTTTTTTAAAGCGAAAAAAAGCATGCTCAATAACAAAAACAAAATAAACATTTGTGGCACCGAAACAGTATTCGTTCTATTATGTGAGGTGTCCTTGGAGTGGAAGAAAGAAAGGAAAAAAGAAAAGGGTCAAACAGAAATAAATGCAATAATTCTCTGGACCTGGACAAGTGTGTGTGTGTCCGGTCTCATGTGTATGGGGACAGTGCTCTGCTGTAATCCTGGTGTGCAACAACAACAAAAAAGCACTTTTTTAATATTTTATTGCCCTTGGGTCATCATCGTTCTTTTTTTTTATTCTTTTTTTTCTCTTCATTCTCATTTAACTTCATGTCATTTCATTACACTTCATTTCATTGTCCATTGTCCGTTTGAATTTATGCTTTGTATAAGTTTTACTTAGTTCTGCAGTATCCTGTCAATTGTACATTTGGACTGCCCTTGCTTATTACGTGCTCCGCCGAGTATATTTCGCACTCAGATTGCTTCCTCTCCACGCGGCATCACTTCGGTCATCTTTGTTCTGCAAGATTTCCGTTTATCAATCTCTACTTGAACAAAAGGGACCAAAGCACAGGATAATACCTCCTCTTTTCTTTCCTTTTGCTATACCTTTCCCTACCCTTTTCTTGGATATTTAAAAAGATTGCTCCATATTGGCACGACAAGTACCAAAGAAGTACAACTCTTTATTTTTCCTTTAATTCCATTCTTCATTCTCTCAACGGCACCATTTCCACTTCCTTTTTTTTTTATTGTCCTTCAATCAACCTCAATCAATCAAATACCATGGTGGCAAAGCTATTTAATGACCTGGTTACAGCCCTAGATATCATCCCTGACTCGTCTACAATTGATCTTTGCGTAGGCCATCCCTCTACCTGCGCCTTGACAGGCAAAGTCCGCATCATCGCTAAGCGGCCATGCGCTTATAAATCCTTGGTGGTTACCGCCACCGGAATCTCGCGCGTCTGGAATCGTCAGGGGTCCAGGACCATCAAAGCCAAACAAATCATTTTGGATGTCTCTAAAGAGATCACCTACGATAATCCAATGTTCACCAAGCGCCCGAATTCATTACCACTCCCTTCACTTGCTTCTCCTGTGGAAGAGCTCCCTTCTTGGACTAATCCTACCGCCGTTACTGCTACAACCTCATCCTCCTCCAGCCAGCATGTTTCTGCAAACGTAGTCCTATCACCCTCTGTTCCTCCACAAACACAACGGGATATCACCAGGAGCAACAGTAATAACGAAAGCACTAGCCCGGTTACCTTCCAATCCTCAGACTCCTTTCCTGTGGGGTCATTACCCGAGCAGCAACAACAGAGACAATCTCCAGTACCATCTGATGCGCTCTCATCTTTCCAGACAAGTCTTGGTCAAAATCAACTAAACCAAGGCGTCAACGATATCGATTTTCGAATAGAGTTTCCATCTCACATGAACATAAATGACTCTTCCCCGCCAAATACAACGACTGATATTAGTCAACTCTGCCATCTTCCCTCTGGCCCCATGAAGACAACCGCTGGAGGGGACGCTTCCATCATCTACACCCTCCGCGTAACACTAATTATGAGTCGAAAAGACATACTAGTCAACAATCACATGTCTACGTCAGTTCCTTTCCGAGTTCAAAGTTGGCAGGACATGAATGAATCACGACACCAAAGTGATGATCATACATATCATGGTAAGCGTCGTAACAAAATTGAGTTCCAGTTTGAGGTCCCTCGACAGCTGGATCTACGACGATTACAGGACCTACAGCTAGGATTCCAGGGCAGCTGGAGGACATTGCAAGATCATCTCAAGGTTAAAGAGATTCAATACTACATTGTAGAGGAAGAGCATCAAAGGTAAGCTTTGGCAGTGCATGAACCCGTAGCCCAAATTCTTTTTAGTGCGCTTAGTGCGCCTAAACTCTACCCTCCAATTCCAAACAGAGCACTCATTTGACCATGATACATCACAAAAAAACGAGACCCCAACTGACAACTGTAACTGTTACTCATTAATCAAAAATTAAATTTTAAAATTAGGTTCGTGGGCAGGACGAGTCCCGTGGTGAATACGACGATCATCAGCACCGCAGTCACTCATGATTGCTCTGATTATGTCGTGTCCACCCATGCCTGGAATCAACTTCGCGCACCTGCTCGTCTACAGATCCCGCAGCCTAATACTGTCCTCGAAACTACTCTCCTACCTGCACCCCACAGCTTGAGTGTCACACATAAACTTCGCGTCCTCATCAAATTTGATCAGACACTGGCGAAGGAACGCGACTTACAGCTGTCCTTCCCAATGACTATCCATCCAACACTCAACCTTGATGGATCTCCTGCTCACCCAGACCCTGAGTTTTATCTGAATAACCATCTCACTAACCGACACCGCCGCCCTCGTGGGGGAAGAAGGAGGGCTGGGGGCGCGCTTTATGGGATTGAATCTCGACATGGTGATGGAGATGGCGATAGCGAGGATGATGACCTACCTTTACCCATGTATGCAGATAGAGAAGAGACCTTGTTACTAATGGTGGGTGAGGAGGTACAGGAAACAGGCTTACATGTTGATGTATTGGGTATGGCAATGAGTTACCCAGATCAGACTGCCTTGTATTCGCCGTCCGAGACATCACCACTTATGACATCTCCAAATCCTAATTCACCTATTAATGCAACAGGCAGCTATGACTCTCGCAGGTTCTCGTTGGCAGGCTCGGCGCCTATCCTCCAGGGTGAGCAACATGCATGGGCAACCCTTAATCGGTCTGTGAGCTTGACGCCAGCCGCGTCTGCTCAACTCGTCGATTTTGCATCTGTGTCTGCTGCATCCAGGAGACATTCCTCCTTTGATTACATCTCTGAGTATAATAACAATGTCAACAACGGGTTCTATGGCAGGAGCCTTGAGACATTCCTGCCCCCTCCTTATGTATTACCGTCCCTGAGTGAAGAGCCATCCACAATGACGGCGACTTCAATAACAGCAGAAAATCTCGACTATGAACAAAACTCTTCAGGTGGATTGCAGGGCACACAAAGTCTAACAGAGCAAGACTCTCAAGATTTGGAATTAGTACAAACACAGGCACAGGCACAGGCACAGGCACAGGCGCAGATGCTGGAACAAGTCCAGGAAGATGGGTCACATCATCAAATATATTACTTCGAGGAAATACCAAGGCAAGAGATCTCATCAGTGACTCCACCTTTACCTTTGGAGTATGAAATCTCTAGATCAAATTCTTTTGAAAGAAGCAGTGTTGACGAAGATGAACTTGAAGAAAGCGTTGGGACCCAAGTCAAAAATTACCAAGGCAAAGGGAAAGATAAACATATCGAAGTCCCTACCAGCCCTTTTGATACGTCTTCAATCACTTGTTCTTCTTCACCATCTTCATCATCATTATCGTCATCATCATACTCCAGAACAGCTTATGGAGCCAGCTCATCATTCTCAGGACTTTTGACTCCGCCTTATGAAATCCGAGAAGAGCCACTAGACTATCTAGAATGAGATAATGGGGAAAATCCTCCTTCTCTCTTCACTACATTCACTACTTTCTTGTCCTCGATACCATCTTTGCCATTACCACCTTCTCTAGAATCTGGGATGGAATCTGCTGAACGATCCGCTAGGGAAGACGAGCTGTGATCATGAGCTTGTTGCAGGTGCAGACGCAAGCACTAAAGACGACATTCATGGCTCGCACATCATACTTCTTTACCAACATATGTATATAGGATATTTAGCTATATTAAAAATATCTCTGCTATATCTATCGCCAATTAGTTTGATTTTATTAATATTGCTCGCTTTATATTAGAACCAAAGATGAAGATGACTTCTACTTCTCTTTTTCGAGGTAGTAGACCTGTGCAACCAGATCCTTGAGCTCAACAACAAATTGACGCACGTCTTCAAAGCGAGTGTACAATGGTGTGGGCGCAACACGAATGACATCGGGTTTACGCTCATCACCAATGATAGCTCTCGCGGCCAAACCGTCAAAGATCTCCATCATCTTACCATGCTTAAAGACCAAGCTCAATTGACAGCCACGCTGCTCCGGGTCACTGGGCGTGATGATCTCTAGCACATCTGTTGAGAACTCTGTGGTCAAGAGGTGGTAAAGGTATCCTGTCAACAAATATGACTTCTTACGCATCTCTTGCATAGTTGTCTTTTCAAAGACAGAGAGGGAGCCCAATAACGCGCTAGTGGTCAAGACCGATGGATTTGAATGCTGAAAACCGGCAGCACCAGGGATCGGCTTGAATACTAGTTATACATAAGGTGTTTAAAGAAACGGATAAATATAAATATTAAGAAAAAAGATAGAGAAAAAAAAACTCAAACAAGTAAAATATTACCATTGATCATTTCAAAGCGCGTGCTCTTGTCATGTCCCCACCAACCAGCCAAACGGTTGCGTTCAAAGCCCATAGCATGACGCTCATGCACAAAGATACCGGCGATGCCTCCAGGGCCCGAATTAAGGTACTTGTAAGAGCACCAGCATGCAAAGTCAACATTCCAGTCATGCAGTTGCAAAGGTACATTGCCTACAGCATGGGCCAAGTCCCAACCAACAATACACCCCTAGAAAATAAAAGCAAAGGGCATGGCATGTAGGATACAGATGCATTAGTTTATATGGAAGAGGAGACATGGATATTACCTTTTTTTTTCATGAAATAGCCATTTTACCTTTGCATGAGCAGCTTTAGTGATAGCCTCTATATCAAAGTATTGTCCCGTATAATATTGAACACCCGAGAAGGCAACAACAGCAATCTCGTGGCCATGCTTCTCGATAGTCTCCAAGATGTCTTCTGTCCTTAACAAATATTCTCCCTGACGAGGCTCCTGACAAAGCAAAGATGTGGCAGGATCGAGCTTATGCCACCGAATCTGAGATTCGATCGCATAGTGATCTGAGGGGAATGCCTTGGATTCAATCAAGACTTTATGCCTTTCAGGCGTGGGAGTATAAAAAGCTGCAAGAAGTGTATGAAGGTTAGACGTGAGTGTATTCATGACTGCAACTTCATCTTTCTTGGCACCAACGATTTTGGCGGATTGCTCCTGGACAGTTTCCTCAATTCGGACCCAAGGACGGCCGAAACGGTGCTTGAAATGAGAGTTGACAGCTCCTTCACCCCATACTTGAAGTTCTTCGTTTACATAGCGTGAGACGGCCTTGGGCAGAAGACCCAGTGAATTGCCACATAAATAGATGCAGCTCTCATTCGAGCGATCAGCACCTACAAAAAGGTAAATACGGATAAAGAAAATTAGGAATGGGTGACTATGATGTAAAAATAAAAATAAACTTGACAGTTGATTCAAAATACTGTCTCAATGCGTATTACAAACCTGGTGCGATTTCACCTCGGGTAGGGATGACAAATTCATTGCGAAGTTCCTTTAGAGGATCTTGATTGTCCATGTAGGCAGCAAAGGATGGGCTGAGAAATGATTTTGCTTTAGACTGAGTCAAGGACAAGTCCAGATCTTGCTTTGGGTCATTTTTGATAGCCATTGTGTGTGAAGTCATTATGTTGTACAAACAGTATTAAAGGTAATAAAAAAAAAATAAAAAAAATAGAAGTGCTGGAGGAAAGAATGAAGAGAATGAGAATGAGAGGAAGAGACTTTAAAGATGAATCCAGGAATGAATCGAATGAAAAAGAAAAAAGAAAGAAAAAGAGAGGTAGTAGGTTAAATGGATATAAAAAGAAAAAAAAGAATGATAGTCTAATTGATTGAGTGTGGGAAAGTATAACACATCAGTCGAAAAAATAAGGTTTCATGGGAACCACCTCTTAAGTTACTCAGATTGAAGACATCGGCACTCTGTCTCTCCAAAAAAAGGGGAAAGTGAGTGGACGGGACTGTCTTTTTAATTGACAACGTTTGATATTTCTCTATTTGACAAGTTTTAAAAGAACAACTCCAAAACCTCTTCTTTTTTTCCTGTCTTTCTTTGCTCCGTCTTTCATCCTTACTCCTACTTGTACTCCGCCTGCCCTCTACTTTTTTCTACTACCTCATACCTTCCCTTCTCTTTTTGTTCTTTTTCTTCTTCTCTTTCATCTCCCTGTCCTATCACTTTGCTTCCCCCACTATTAACTTGTTCAATGGCCCTTCGACATGCATTCTCCCTGCTGAACATCGCTTGCCCTGCTCGGTCGCAGCTGGCCGTAGCTTCTTTCAACCAAAACTCCCGCCGCTTCCTTTCTTCCTCCTCTTCTGTATCACGAATGTCTCAGATGATCCAGGGATATGCACCTCTTCGACTCTTACTCATTGGAAGTCCTGTATGTTTTTCATGACAATCATCCTTTTTCCTTTTATCTTATTTCTTTCTTTCCTTGTTACTTTCTGGAGTCTAAGGTCTGAATTTCTGTGAAAACAAAATGGGAATGACGACCAGGAATAAGCTTCGGTGTGCGTGATTGCTAGCTCCTCTCCACTTTATTCAGTTGATAGACATGTCATCCTGATACTGATAATCTTGCTATCAACACATGCTGAAGCTGCATGTGCGAAAAAAAAAAAAAAAAAAAAAAAAAGTTATTTTGTCTGACACGCTATTTTTCCCCACATGATAACAGCCAATGAACAAGAGATAAACTAAATTTTGTTCTTGTCAAACCATTACATTTCAATCCCTTAATAACTATATAGGGCTCGGGGAAGGGAACACAGTCCGTAAGAATTCAAAACAACTTTGAGGTCGACTGTATTTCCAGTGGCGATCTCTTACGTAAGAACATTGCTCAAGGAACCGAGATTGGTAAGCGTGCTGCTAAGGAGATGAAGAACGGCGCATTTGTCTCGGATGAGGTCATGGTTCAGTTGATCGACACGGAACTCAACAAGATCGGACCTCACCAGAGCTGGCTTCTTGATGGGTTCCCTCGCACAATGACTCAGGCCAAGGCCCTGGATGAGACTCTTGAGGAAGGCGACCAACCCTTAAATCTTGTCATTCATCTCGATGTCCCTGAAGAAGTCATCCTGCAACGCATTATGGGTAAATTTTTATTATTTAGTTGCTGTTAATACTCTATCCTGCTTGATTCGGCTGATAAAGTAACATTTTTTGTCCTTTAATCTTATCCTCCACACTAGATCGTTGGGTCCACATCCCTTCCGGCAGAGTCTACAACATGACTTACAACCCACCCAAGCAACCTGGCATTGACGACATTACTGGCGAACGCTTGGAACGCCGGCCCGACGATAATCCTGTAAGTGAACACACTGCGTCCCAAATCAGAGACAGAAAAAAAGGGGGATAAGGTACCCTTTTGCAGGAAAGATTATCGCCAACTGTGAAAAAGCCATAAAAAGAAGGTTTTATTCAAGGGATGATGAGATGGCTTTTATTACTTTTTTGCGCCTTCATGCTTTATTCTCCGGCACTTTCTTGCCTGTGATTGGCTCATTAGTGATGTCATTTGGAAACATCAAGATAGGACAAAGATTCAAGGAAGGCTGAAAGTGTGGGAGAAAGCCTTTACTCGATATGACTTTCAAGAAAGAGGCAATACGTTTATCAGAGTTTAGTCTACTTGGAGCTTTTTTTTTTCTCCAGCGCCCAAAAATGGACCATAAAAAGAAATAACCGACTGGTAGACACAAAAAATCTTATTTCTATATTCATCCGGTGGAACCCGACACACTGTCACTTTCAACTGTCATCATCAGACATTGCAATATTTGTAAAAGAGTCGGGTCACACACACCCTCTTCCTCATGTCAAATACGTTTGAGGAAATCTTCAGATTTAAACATCTAAAATCTTTTTTTTTTTTTTTTTTTTTTGTTCATTGATACGGATCGAACGTAGGAAACATTCAAGATCCGTCTACAGAAGCATCACGAGCTTACAGAACCATTGCTGGACTATTATAAACAACGCAACATCCTTGTTAGTCTCGCTGGGAAGACCTCGGACGAAATATACCCCCAGATCCGTGAGCTCTTGCAGGCCCGCTTTAAGCCTGAAGATGCTCCCATCGAGGCAGAGGCACAACTTTAACCAATCAAAGGAATACATGTGATTCAAGACTGTGGACCTAAAAATACTCGCTAACGTCGACTTGAAGCTAAAAAAAAAAAGCTTTTACGGATCCGAGCCAAAGTGTAAATAACATGGATATACAACAGGATGGTCGATCAATTCAAGACTTTGATGTCTCTATCTCGCTCCACTCCCATACTTAATTTAACTCTCCCCTCATTCATTAAGAATAATAAAAATTAAAAAAAAGGTTGTAACATTATCAACATTATCTCTTTGTCTGTAACAGGTCAAAAAAAATATGGGCTAATGAGTGGAATTGTAACATCTAGAGATGAAAGTTATGATTGTTCACTCAGAGAGACGGTTGATCTCCCCAGTCAGTGCTGTCTCGAGCTCTTTGTAGGTGCTACTAGGGAAACAGGATGAAATCCGTACTTTCTCAATGGACAAATTTACTCATTGCACGATTTAAGAGATATTTGTGATAGAAAGACATTAGAGAAAAATATTTAAAAGGATATTAGAAATCAAAGAACGAAAAGGTATTTATTACAATATATTTCATTGGAGGCTACTACGTACAGCATAGATTCATATGGATACAGTTTTTTTTTTTTTTTTTTTTTTTTTTAGCTTGAAGCATAGATCTGCTTGATCTGCTCAGCATACTTCTGGTTGATATCCTTGCGCTTGAGCTTCTGCGCAGCAGTCAACAAACCACCTTTATCAGTCCATTCCTCGTGTTCCAAGTAAGCACCCTGCAGCATCTCTGCGGGCTTAAGGCCAGCCTTCTTGCCCGTAGAATTGCAAGCATCCAAGACAGCTTTGACAATTTCCTTGTTTTGGCACAATTCTTCAAAATCGCCCTCAATGCCTTTGTTCTTCGCCAACTCCTTCACAAGCGATTCGTTCACGACGACCAACGCCACGGGCTTGCTCTGCATGGAGTCAGCATAGACACAGATATTGTTGCAGTACTCTGTACTCTTGTACACTGATTCCAGCTTCTCCAATGCAATATACTCTCCATGTGACAACTTGACCAGGTTCTTCTTACGATCAATGATTGAGAGTGTTCCGTCCGGATGCCACTCACCAACATCACCAGTCATAAGCCAGCCGTCTGCTGTCAATGACTCAGCTGACTCCTTTGGGTTCTTGAGGTAACCAGATGTGATTGAGGGTCCACGAATCCAGACCTCACCGCGAGGATTGGGTGAGTTTGTTGATAAGTATCCTGCATCAGGAACGTCCACCAACTTGACTTCTGTACAGGGTACAGGCGATCCAACACGGTTGTAATGGAAAGCATCGGGAGTCATGATGGCGCACATACCGCATGACTCTGTCATACCATAAGCCTGAAGAACAGGGCACAAAGCCGTGGTGAGGAACCGTTGGGTCTCTTGTGAGAGAGGAGCTCCTCCAGAGAGTGCAAAACGAAGACGACCACCTGTCTGCTGTCGGACCTTGTTGAAGACAACTGCATCAAAGACACCAGTCAATCCGCTCAACTTGCGGTCAAGGCACCAGGCCTTGCCATTCATGGCACCATGGAAGATGGATTGAATCAGGGGTGATCCTTTATGGACCTGGGTCAAAATTCCCTTTCGAATTGTCTCCCAGACAGCGGGTACACCTGTCATCAACGTAGGTCGAAGCTCCTTGATATCGCCCTGACATTCTCGTACAGAGGCATCTGTGAGTGTACGGACAGTGCCATATCCAAGAGCTGCTCCCCAGAACAAGCAAATGTTTTCGACCAAGAACTCGAGGACGTGGGCCAGGGGCAAGTATGCAAGCAACACATCGCCCTCATGCACGTACTTTGACAGCATTTTGTTCGCACCACCAACTATAATACAAATGGAAAAAAAAAAAAAAAAAAAAAAAAAAAAATCTTAATACAAAGAACACAAGTCAAGACAAAAATAAAAAAGAAAAAGAATACAAAAACATACTGGCAGCAATCAAGTTTCCGTGGGTCAAAAGCACACCCTTGGGGTTTCCGGTCGATCCAGAGGTATACATGATGCAGCAGAGATCCTCAGCTGCTGGGGGAACATTCTCTACAGGGTTATCCATACCCATCTGCTTCAACTCCTCCAAAGTAATGATATCCAAGTGAGGGTGAGCTTCCTTGATCGCAATCACGTCTGCAGCCTTGGCCTCGCCATCATAAAAGATCCTCTTGAGTGTAGGGCATCGACCGGCGACATTCTTCATGGTGTTGAGCAAATCTGCATTGGTGTAGGTAGTAGCGACTTCAGCCTCGTTCATCGAGTGTAGCAAACCATCCTCACCGAGGGTATCATAAACAGTTACGATAGTGACGGATTGCGCAAAAGCTCCATGTGCAACCAACAGCCAGTTTGCGCTAAGATTATCAGCAAATAAAAATAAAAATAAAACATGTTAACGCCAATCGCACAGGCTACGGGTCATCTGAACTTGTCTCACACATCATAATTGTTGAAGCTTTGAAGAACTAATGGCGATGACGATTGCTGCGGTCGGATGTTTCATTCGCCTTGTACACTTTTAGATATTGCATTGTCTCTTTTTCATAATACAACTGATGTTTTATATTTACCTTGTGGCACCAAACACAGTCATTTTGTCCTTGGGTTGGACACCAAACTTGCGGAGACCTGCACCAATGCTGTCTACTACGACTTGTGTGTCTTTGTATGTCATCCAATTATAACCAGAAAGTTTGAAATATTTCCAGATCTTCTTCTCCTTGACAGGCGAGCCACCGACCATTTTGGTAACCTCCTTTTCTTCCTCGATCATCTTGATCACCTTACGGTAACCGATCGCGTCCATGTTAGGACGCGTCTTGGCGGAATGTCGAATAACATCATACAGAGTCTTGATATCATCGAATGGGGTTGAGATGAGATCTGTAGGCGACATAACTGAACGGCGGATTCTAGTCTCACCGTGGACTTCAGTGGGGCCAACTTCAATGGTAAGGGACTTTGTCATGATAATGTTGTTATTGATGCTTCTGTAGGATGGTGAGGATGTTTTTTTTTTTTTTTTTTTTTTTTTTTTCTAATCTGAAAGAAAGGTAATAGGAAAATAGAGAAAGAATAAAGGAGTATTAAAGTGGGAGAGAAAGGAAGAGTCTTATGCTCCTAGATAATCCTAGAGCTGAGTGATGATAAAAATGAGGCAAAAGGGAAAAGGAAAGAAAAGGTAGTAATGACGATGAATGAAGAGGGAAAAAAAAAAAAAAAAAAAAAAAAAAAAAAAGAAGAATGAAAAGGCGAGGGATATTTATGCAAACGGATTTTATTTTTATTTATTTTTATTTTATTTTTTTGAATTGCATCATATCTTGGGAAATGGACCGTTGCATTAGGTCAAGAGCTACTACATGGCCTAAATAAGATCATTAGCACATGTTGCGGCTTGTCAAGGACGTCTTTAACTGTTTGAGGGAATATTAAAAGCCGTGGGATACGGACAATCCATAATCTTCAAGACCGGGAATTGATAAACCCTTTATTTCAACTGAGATTCAAATAATTTTTAAAAAAAAGCTGAGCGGAGTGGACCATCGGGCTTCAAACACACGAGGATAAGAGCATATTATTATATATACAACTTTGTTTTGGGTTTATCACATTGCTGGACCATGCTCAAAGACAGAATATGCACAAGGCAATACCGATCACCTTTCTTCAGAGCTAAAAAAAAAACATAAGAGTGTTCCGCTTTGATTTAATAACAATGAGGCCTGCTGATTCTTTTTCACCTTAACACTTTTCCGTTTTGTATGTTTCAGGTTGGGCATTTGTATAGCATCCAGAATATCTGGTCCACAAAAGTCAATTGTTAAAAAGTGGTCCTGACACATTGTGACTTTGAATGAAGGTTATTGGAATACCATCGAATAATCCGAGACAATTTGTGTCTGGTGCTTTCGCTTAAGCTTGTACCTGTTCCTGCGAATTAATCCGATGAATCTCGCAGCTCTGTAGAACCAGGATGATCGCCTACTTTTTTTTTTTTTTTTTTTTTTTTTTTTTTTTTTTTAATAATAATTTAGCTTTCGCATGTGTCTCTGCAATATTAGATCATACTCAGAGTTTTTACAGGTTACACGACTGTATATACATGGTTTATTTTTATATTGTTCTTTCGGTGTGACACAAAATCGATTCAGTTAATATAAGGATAGAGTAAAGTTCGCGACCAGATGATGGACGCTCTATTTACGAGTATTCATCTTGAGCCCAACAATCCGGCAGCCTGAGGGAAGTTGATTTCCCGATAACAACATTATATTGAGGTCCGCCATTTGGCGGGTCAATCATTCTCCCCAATTCAAAGAATCTCCCACCTTGTTCATGTTCTTAGGAAAGACACCACCTCTCATGTCTATCTACAATGGTCTAGGCTCGGGCATCAAACACCCAAGGGACAAATAAGCATTGCAACCTTGATAAACAAGAAACATGCAATAGCAGAAACAAAAGTAAAAAGCTGTGAGTGGCAAACAAACAAAAAAGAAATGCCATGCTCCATGTTTCATGGCCCATGTCGCATATAATAGCGACTCTTTTTTATGTTCAAATATACAAATATGTTTTCAATCAGTACGAACCAATTGTGGGAGAGAAAGAATTCAAGTGCGTCTATTTTGGAGTTTTAGGCACTAGACTCGTAAGCCTGAGGCAAAGCCGCCGACGTTGTGACCGCCTATTAGCGGAAGTTCTTGACTTTTTCGACTTAGTTTTTTTTGAAGGGCTTACTGCCCGCTGTCTCATAGTGATTCTGGTTCCTTCTTTCAGCTCTTGCACCTTAACTTCTTTATTTTTTCAGCTCCACTTCTTTTCTCCTTCAACTTTCTTCCCTTCTTTCTTACCCAAAGTAAGTGCAAAGCCAATGTCAATAAGTTTTACTAATCTTGTTATTTTTGCTTTTATTTTACTTGTGTATATCTGAGAGGGAAGAAAGTTGAAGGAGAAAAGAAGTGGAGCTGAAAAAATAAAGAAGTTAAGGTGCAAGAGCTGAAAGAAGGAACCAGAATCACTATGAGACAGCGGGCAGTAAGCCCTCCAAAAAAACTAAGTCGAAAAAGTCAAGAACTCCCGCTAATAGGCAATGTTTGTACGCAGCAGCCTGAGAAGAAAAGATTCGCGGTCACAACGTCGGCGGCTTTGCCTCAGGCCGGTTACGAGCCTGCTAAAGAATGAATTAGAAGGGATGTCTGATATCCTGTAAGTTACTTTTATTTTGTTACATTGTGTATAAGAAACAATCTTTTTTTCCATCTTTTTTCTGTTCTTTTTTTTCTTTTTCTTTCTTTATTTCCTCATTCATCTTTTTCTTATTCGCTCTTCTCGTGTTTTTGTAAGAGGTTTGGGTGTTAATCGAAAGGAATAACCAGGTACTGGGCATTGGTAATGGCCTATGCGTGAAGAATAACTCTGACCAGAAGCAAGCCTATTTTATCTTTAAATGCAAAAAAAAATAGGCATTTCAATTGGGGAAGTGAAATTGTACATTGCGTTGTGAGATTGCGATCGAGTTATTGTGTGAAATGTAGAAAAAAATCACAAACGAAAAAACAGAAAACGAGTGGAGCACACCTTTGTGTTGATAATGGTTATGGTTGAGAGTGAAGCAATTTTGGACCCACTACAGTGGTCATCAAAAGTCATTCAATGATTTTAGAATTTCGACATTATCATTCCTTTCTCCAATTTGAGCTTGCTTGTCGACAATGAAACTTCCGTAGTGAATTCGACTATCGACAATGTCACTCCTACTACAATGCCAATGAGCTCCTGTCGCTAATTGGAAGTTTAGATGAAGGCCAATTATTGGCATCTTATTGAAGAAAATCAGTAACTTTGCTTTATTTGTATTTTTTTTCTGTGCTTCAGTAGTGTATATGACCTCCTTTCCTGCGATGAAGCTCCTCTACCCTTCGTGGCATACTTTCGTATAGTCCATGAAGGAAGTCAGGTGGAATAGTTGTCCAGATATCCTGTAGTCTTTCCCATAGTTCATCTAGACCCTTTGGTACCTTCTCGTATCCATTGAGCCGGTGATCTATGTAGGCCCATACATTCTCGATAGGCTTGAGGTCAGGAGAATTCGGAGGCCATTCCAAAGTGGTAATGTGTGACTTAGTAAAGAGCTCTTTAACCATCCTACCAGTGAAGAGTTGCTGCTGTCTGTTTGCTGGCTGTTGCATATTTCACAGTACACGTTACATAAAAATTAAGATGTGTGCCCATGTAAAAAGATAATATAGTTTATGTACACAAAATAATATATACAAACGGGTTGTATATCATAAAAACACGCCCCATGTGTAAATAATAACAAGCAGGTGAGGGCGTAGTGCGAGCGTAGTGGGGGTGTAGTAATTATACACGTTTGTACCATGGTTACTCTATGTATGGTGCTCGTAGACAAACTTGTAGTTATACTTAGATACGATTTTGAATAAATACCCCATGGATGTGATGCGTGTTCCTACATCTTATTCTGTTCCCCTGTTACTACCTGTCTGTCTAAAATATTTCACTGACAACGCGTGGATTGCGCCCTGTTTCACGACGTTCATCATTTTGACGACGCAGATCGTCAATTTCTTTTCGAAGAGCAGTGATGACATCGGTGATAGATTGTTCAGCGCTTTGGGGTGAAGATGATGAAGAAGAAGCATTGTTGGGACTCATTGGTCTTTGTTTACACGAAGTGATGAGTTCCAGCAGTGTGTGAATAAAAGAAAGATGTGGAACATCCAGGAGGGCAACACCCCGCCCAAATAATGAGAAAAATGCTCATTGTTTCCCTCTTTCCTCTTTCCTCTTTTTTTCGCGGGGCACAAACCATCGTCCATCGTAGGCTCGTCTGCAGGGTGACGAGCCTAATTGTTTTCTGTGGTCCTCAAGGTTATGTAGCCACAATCTTTTCTACACGGCGCTCATGCAACAGAGTTTGTCTTCCAAATGCGGAGGCGTTTGTCCCTGAACTAGTCACTGCATGAATTAAGTGTCACGAGGACACTCCATATACCCAATAAGCTTTAAGCGTGTGAAAGGATGGATGATCGTATCTTTTTATGGGTTGGAGCAGGAGATTCAGATGGAGTGAGATGGGAAGAATATACAATCCATGCACCCAATCCCACCCTTCGTTGACCTTACGGGCATCCTTATACTGTAATGGATATGAATGAGTCTAGAACACTTTAAAAAAGTCTCGATGGATGGAGAGATGCCTTTTCTCTTTTCTCTTTTCTGTTTTCTTTTCCCTTTCCTCACTTGATTTCATCCAGTGCTTCAATTCCTTTGGCGTGTTGTTCCTTTTTTTTTTTTTTTTCCTTTTTCTTCTTTAACCCTCCCCATTTTTCTATCTCTCAATGGGCTGCGTTTCTTCCAAACATATCAACCTCACCGATAACGCCTCCATCTCCCGTAAACGATTATCGAAACCCAACCTACCCTCCTACAAGTCTTCTTCATCCTCAATTATATCTTCAGGCAATAACAATAATCCGCCTGCCTACTACTCCGATATGAAGCTTGGTCTCAACACAAAGTCTAACCCAATCCTAACAGAGCCAGAGGGTATTAACCATCGTAAGGCAGTCCTGCGTGATGATAAGGTGCGAGCATTAAGGTAAAGACTACAGGTTTTTATTTTTTTTATTTTTCACACGAGCGATAAAATGATTCACGAAATATGTATAAATGTACAAGTATTCATGCGTTCGTAACTGTGTATATTTAGTGAGGGGTTCAATGCTGACCCTAAGAACTTGATGGTTCAGAATGCGGCACACTCACTTGACTTTTCAAAGTTGATCACGAACCGTGATGTGCTCGTTGATGATAACCATGTCTTCAATACCAAGATCCCATCAGAGGCTGTGGTCACCAACCAGAAGAGCTCAGGCAGATGCTGGATCTTTGCAGCACTCAATGTCTTCCGACTTGAAGTGATCAAGAAGTACAACCTTGATGAGTTTGAGCTTTCGCAAGGATACCTATTCTTCTGGGATAAGTTTGAGAAGAGCAACTGTAAAGTGTTCAAATAACAAAAAAAAAAAGGCTCATCTGCAAATGGGCGCTAGTCCTGATTTGTGCAACATCTGCCCGATCTTGTCCTATCCCGCTGACAGCTAATCTTTACTTCCATTATTTGCATTGCTATAGGGTTCTTGGAGTGCATGATCGATTTATGTGATAGGGATGTCAATGATCGCGTGGTTCAACACTTGCTCAAAGAACCTATTAGTGATGGAGGCCAATGGGATATGCTCATCAACTTGATTGAGCGGTATGGTGTGGTCCCGAAATCTATATACCCAGAATCTTTCAGCTCATCCAACTCTGGAAAGCTTAACCAGCTCGTCCTCTCTAAGCTCCGAGACCATGCTGTCGCACTTCGACGTATGGCTGCCCAAGGTCATTCATTGGAGGAACTGCGTCAAAAGAAGGACAGGGCATTGAAAGAAATCTACACCATCATGGCCATCACACTTGGCGAACCACCCAAGAAACCCTTTACCTGGGCCTTCAGGAACAAAGACAAGAAGTTTTACGAATTCAAGGACTTGACCCCTCAGGCTTACTTCAAGGAGCACGTTGGCTACCCTGTAAAGGATACAGTCTCGATCATCAACGACCCTCGCAACAGATACTTTTCCTTGTACACCGTCCAATATCTTGGCAACATTGCTGGTGGGCGTCCTATCCGTTATGTGAACGCGCCAATCGAGGATCTGAAGGAACTGGCCATCAAAAAGCTCCAGCAAGGCAATCCTGTGTGGTTTGGTGCAGATGTTGGTAAATATCTTCACCGCGATGCTGGCATCCTCGACCCCAAACTGTTCCAGTATGATCTTGCATTCAACATTAGCTTCAACATGACTAAAGCTGAGCGTCTGATCCATGGTGAATCACTGATGACCCATGCAATGGTCTTCACCGGCGTTCATCTGGATGAGGATGGCAAGCCTGTTCGATGGAGAGTAGAGAACAGTTGGGGCAATGTCGGAGGCGACAAGGGCTATTTAACTATGAGTGATGCTTGGTTCACAGAGTTTGTGTATCAAGTTGTGCTGGAGAAAGACATTGTTCCCCAAAAATTCTTGGATGTTCTCCAGCAAGAAGTTCACGTTCTTCCAGCCTTTGACCCCATGGGTGCCTTGGCATAACTTTGGTTATTAAAACCTGCGTTCTCTCTTAATATCTTTGAATAAATAAATAAATAAAATATGTCTGTTGTGCCCATTTAGCACATGAGCAAGCTCCTCTGTAATAGGGTTTGTAATGGAGATAAAAAAAGTTCCAAGTTTAAATAAATAGACACCAGCTTTGGTGAAAAGTCTTACACAGTGACCTGTACTGATGTACTGAACATTTACTTTTACTGATTTTTTACTTATTATTTAAGTACTTACTGGAAATATACTTTGTTTTACTCAAAATTTACTTTTTTTTTTTTTTTTTTTTTTTACCGATGTTTAAGTAAATAGTACATCAGTACAGGTCACTGGTCTTACATTTTAATCAACCACTTCTTGCTGCTCCCTATGTTTCTATATCTCTAGTATCTTTCCTTTTACTATCTGCCTCTATATCTGCGATCCTTTTCCTAGTATACAAATTCTTTCTCAGCAAAAGCTCCGAGCATAAAAAGAGGTCCAAAATTACTGAATCCCGATCCAGCCTGAAGGATCCACCCAGGAAAGACCGCCGCACCCCATTCCAGCACTCTAGCCCGAACAAGTTTAAAATCATTATGATTGGCTCGAGCTCTAAAAAGGATTGCAAGGATCGCTCGCCGAAGATTAGGCGCAAACGAGAAGTCTTCAAGCAATGTCAACTCCATGGCGCGTCCAGACATCTCCAACGTTTTCAAAGATCTTAATGTTTTTAGTCGCTCCCTGATAACTGATTGCTCCTCAGGTGTGTAATGGGTAATGTTTTCATGCTCCTGATTGTTCCAAGCCTGACCAGGGGTTGGGCCTTGGTAACCGCGCGGTTGGACTTCAATGTGCAAGACTTGGAGTGTACTAGCAACTGACCATGGCTTAGTTCCTTGATAAAGCTCAATTGTTCCTGCGCAAGTCTGCGACAAATTCAATTTCCGCAAACGTATACAATTCTCCATAACCAAAGCCGCAACTGTATCTGTTACTTGAAGACAATGTTGAAAGTCGAGTTCCACGAGGTTATATACTGGTGACGGGGTTGCGCTGTTATTGATAAAGGCCATGTGAGCAGCGGTAATGGTGTTGGTGGGACTATTTCCCGTAGGGGTATTTATGAGCGCTTTCATTGCTAAAGGTCCGAAGCGTGTTTGCTTGGCGCTGACCTTCTCCAATCGACGTGCGTTTTGCATAAGAGTTGCCAGACTCTCATCTGTTGCATCTGAAATAAAGTCGATGTTAAGTTCCTTCAAATCTGGACAGTTTGTGGCCAAGGCCATAATGATTTTTTCCCCAGTATTGATAATCGCAAAAGGTCTATGTATCGCCACACACTGCAGGCCAGAGCGGCCTTTTAAAATGAAGTCCCAGCTTGCAGTCGTAAGCTTGCGCATGGAGGAGTATCTGATATGTGTGAGATTAGGAAGACGCAGAAAGATTTGTCGAAGAGTAGGATGAGGATCCTTCAACTCAACCCAAGATATCTCAGTGGGACCTAACGAGACCGTGTCAAGGGTGATTGAGCGAAGGGCCAGGTTTCTCCAGTCATCGTCCGCTGCTATGGCAATACTTGAATGGTTGGTATTTACGGTCATCTGTTCCGTATCCTCGCTGATTGACGGCTTATCCACGATAGTGACTGACAATAAAACAAGAGACTTGAGTTTGCTGCATGACTTGAGGACAAGAAGGAGGTCGTCAAGGCGTACTATATTCCCTCTCCAAATGAGATTTTCAAGGTTGGGCAGTGTAGCTGCAGCAGCGATAGTGTACCCAGAGGGTTGGGTGGAGATTCTGTAGGAGTAAAACTGTAAGGTTCGGAGCTGGGGTGCCATGGCGGTAATTTTACGAAGGTCCATGGAAGCTGTCCACCATTCGAGCGAGAGTGATTGAAGATTGGGGGTGTGGTCTAAAATGTGGAGGATGCTGTTCATAATTATGCTCTGGAGTCTTAGACCCTTGATATATTCCCCATAAACATGCAACGAGGGATACTTGTGCGAACGCCTATATTTGTGAAGAGTAACTGTTGCATAGAGGTGAGGCGCCCAGATGTTGTTCCACGACTTGCAGACGCGGATAAGTGCTCGGAGTTCTTTCTGCGTCAGATAGCTGGTGATCATACTCATTAACTCAGGGATGCTGAAGACTGTATCCTGATGCACCTTTTTAATTGTAGGGTCAATTTTCAAACAATCTCGTGTGATTCGAGGGCGCAGCTTTCTAAGATATGGGTTATCGATTGATGATTGAGAGACCATGGCCATGACTACAAAAAATCCTGAAAAAAGAGAGAGAGGGAAAAGAGGGAAAGGAAGGATAATGTGAAGAAAAGAAACAAGGGAAAGAGCACCAACTGCATATTTATGCGGTGGCAACACACAGTCATAAGTAATTGTCATAGAGCCCATATGCGTATCAAACCAATTAACCACCATGAGAGAAAATTCTTTGATTGAGTTTATTTGAAGTGGAGAAGGATGTTGAACCAAAAAAAAAAAAAAAAAAAAAAAAAAAGAGAGAGAGTCTCTTGAAATTAGTGGACATGACCATGTATGAAACAACTAGCATGCTCATTTGGAACCCTTTTTCTTCTTCTTCTTGGCCTTCTCTTTAGGCTTGGGTTCTTCGTCCTGGCTAGTCCCTTGATCCTCAGATCCGGAACCATTTTTGGTTAGCAATTTCGAGGGATTGGCAATCTCTGCTGCAATCGCAGCTGCAGCTTCTTCTTGCAGATGTCTAATGCGCTCCTTCTCAATTCGCTCTGCCTCAATCCGCTCCTCCTCAATGCGTTCTTGTTCAAGGCGTTCCTTTTCAATTCGCTCTTGTTCAAGGCGTTCCTTTTCAATTCGTTCTTGCTCAAGGCGTTCTTTCTCAAGGCGTTCCTTCTCAAGGCGCTCTTTCTCAAGGCGTTCTTTCTCAAGGCGTTCTTTCTCAAGACGATCCTTCTCAATGCGCTCCTTCTCAATGCGCTCCTTCTCAATGCGCTCCTTCTCAAGCCGCTCCTTCTCAAGCCGCTCTGCTTCAAGATGTTCTTTCTCGACGCGTTCCTTCTCAATGCGCTCTGCTTCAATACGCCCCTTTTCTTGCTTTTCCTTCCTAATTCTCTCCTTTTCCAGCTTCTTAGATTCCGTTCGTTCGTTCTCAGCTCTCTTGGTCTCCCGCTTTTCTTCCTCCTGCGCCTCTTGTTGCTCCTGTTCTACCTTTTGCTGAACTCCTTGCTTAACCTGTTCGGCCGCAGCCGCAGCCTGCTTTCCTTTCGCTTTCACTTTCTCTTCTTCTATTTGCTGCTGTTGTTGCTGTTGTTGCTGTTGTTGCTGTTGTTGCTGAGAAGACAACATTTCCTGTTCCCGAAGAGCTACCATTGCCTCACCATGCACCTCCTGCAGCTGGATCAGGATGGTGAGGACATGCATGGCTCTACGCTGAGTATCTTCATCCTGACTTGTCATTTGGATAGTCTTAATTAACCCGATGGTCGGCCAGATACGAGAGAAGACTTTGAAACTCTGACTCGACATTGGATCGTCGTTCACAAATGTCATCAGGTTATCGATCGCCCGAATAATATGACGTTGCACATCCTCCATTCCTGGAATAGTACTCCATTCCGAAATACTCTCCTCTATTTCCTCTCCATCATCATTACTACCGGTATTCTTAAGGCTATGTCCACTTCCGTGTTGCAATGAGCCATCGCCTTGTTCAGAAGCAGAGTCGGTCACGGATGTAAGATATCCCACTTGGTGTGTATTTATGGCGCTGTTGTCGTTCATAAAGTCAATAGCGTCTTGCTTCTGGGTCAAGTAGGTCTCCTCAGAACTCCTTCCTTGCATGGAACTAGTTCTCTCTAATGTCATGGCACCAATGTGAAGAAGTGTTGGGACAATATTGCTTCTAGCGCGGCGAATCATCGAAAATGGAGGCGGCGAGGAATACCGATTAGGGGTGCCTGTACGGTGGGCGTGTGGTCTGAGCTGTGGACTGAATGAAGGATCTGCAAGTCCATTTTCGGAAGGAGATGTATAGGCTGTCAGCAGTGCCAGTTTATTTTGGTCGTAGAGAGCAAGGTTAGCGAACAGTCGAGCGACATGCCTCTCGATTTCCTGCTGATGTGGGAATAGGCCAACAACAGCACAGGTGACGCTCAATAAATCCATGTGTGACATCAGGATTTCTTGAGACTCAGTGTTAGTAGCCAAGTTGGCTAGAGCACAGCAGGCGTGTGATACGGCTTCCGCAAGAACAGCCTTGTTTGACAGTGTTTGGATGTGATGATAATTTCCTCCGATGGTAGCCTTGATCACCGCGATCAATGCTGCAGCTCCAGAGCCTTTTGCGATATCAGGCTTATATTTATCGTTCCTTAAGGATAGATACGCCATCGTTTTAGAAGCATATTTGACTACATCGACATTTGTCGAATACAATAGCTGAACCAACCGCTCGATCCTCTCAGGGTCATCCACGATGAACGCCTGGTTAGAGGCATCAGCTGCCAACATTGAAATGCTTTTTGCTGCCATTGCCTGCATATGATCGAGACGTGCGTGAAACTGATCATCCATTGATACCAATATTGTTTCGTCTTCATTTACACTGCCCTGTTCGATTAACGCTTGTTCATTGAGTAGTTGGTGACTGCCATTGCCATCAAGGCCTTGTCGCTGTGAGTTTGACGTACTAGAGATCTGTCTGTCTCCAGCTTCGCTTCGTCCTATATATATTGACCTAAGAGCCTCCTCCATAGCACGGGTGCGCGCGCCCGAAGGAAAGTAAACACAAAGGCACATCAAAGCATCTACCGCACCATCTAAGACCAGCTGCCTAGCGATAGTTCCTATTTTATTAACAAACAAATGAATAGATATCAGCTTCATCATATATCGTATTGTTCAAAATAGTAACAATTATGGAGTACTTGAAACTTACTATCAGGCACCATCTGAAAAATGATATGTGTGATATTTATGAGCACCACTGCGATAGTTTCGATTCGTCTTAGACCCATGGTATATAAAGACGCCGCAGAGTCCATACGGGCCAAAAGCGTGGGTGGAGAGGGTGGTCGAGTAGACGCTACAGTATTCTGACTATAGACAGACACTAAATGGAAAAGCTTGGGTATAGCGCGCTTAGAGACTATCAAACCTTGAATAGATTCTACATTTTGCGTAGATTGATTTGGTCAAATGTCAATTGATGTAAAAAGGCGCCCCGTCAAGTAGCTACATGGTCCTTGCAAACAAGTCATTCAATTGTATCCACTTACTACGTCCAGAAAGAGCGGCCAAGGCAGTCGTTGCCAAGGAATGTATCTCGTAACCATGTGCCGCGTTGCACAAATAAACCACAGCATCAAGTCCTCCATGGCTAAGGACACTTGCGATTACTTTGTCTATTAGGGGTCGAGACCATGGTCAGTGTGCGTTCTTGACATATTGCAATCATATCATTCCTTAACCATCATTTTATCCTTACCATCATTTGTTTCGATCAACTCATAGAGACCGCGTGCGCCATGTATCTATCATGGTTATATGATATTGATTAGTTATAGTTGTATGTCCAGGGGGAAACAATAAGTCAAGAGGTATCAAATAAATCCGCTGCAGCTCATCGTTTAAAAAAGCGACAAGGTACTGAGCATGAATACTTGTAATAGTTACCTGGGTAGATTGTCCAAGATCATCGGAGACACAATAGGAGACCAAGTAAGCGACCTCGAAACAGTCATTGCATACTCGCACTGCTTTAGGATAACCCAATTGAGGCAAGGCAATGCTACGAGAGCTGCAATCATGGCAAAAGACTTGACCGCTGTATATGAATAAAGTAAATGACGATAGTTAATATCAGAGATCACTGCCCTCGAGAAGACTAAAAGTTAGTAAAAATAGTGATAGCGACGATGAGCACTTACCATTGGCGACAGTGATGCTGCAGAGTGATTGTAATCACAAAGAAAGGATATGCAAATGAAGGATAATAACCAAGATTAGAAATGAAGCAAAGATTAGAATATCTTGAAGACATGTGATCCGCACGATAGAGTGGGGAGATAGAAAACCAAGATAAAGATATGACAAACATCACCAACAGATCCTCAAGAGAATAAACAACTGATATCGGACACACATGAATGTGCGAACTAGTACACCAACAGTGGCAGTAGCACAGGCTTTTTTTTTGCTTCGCCAAGGACGACGACAAAAACATGCCATGGGAAGTCAACAACAAAATGAAAGGAATAATGTGGAATGGTCTGTGCGATTGGAACCATCCATAATTGGCAATCAATTCGCCCATAACTCTGACAGGAACAAGTTCTGTCTCAGTAGCTCAGTCTCCGATGCAAGGGCACAAACATCTTCATCTGTAAATACACTATTGTGATGACTGATGAAATCGTGATGAAATCCATGAGACTAAGGGATCTCAAAGGATATCAAGTGATCGCAGTAAGGGAAATCCAATATCTCAGGTTGAGCATGAAAAGGGCCATGATTGGAGCAGCAAAAGACAAAGGATTCATCCCTTCTTGCCCCTCCCTTTTTTTTTTTTTTTTTTTTTTTTTTTTTTTGTTGTTGTTACCTTGCGGCGGACGGCATTGAATGTTCGGGTGCAGATAGTACAAGCTGCGGCATCTTGATCCTGAACCCAAACAGGTCTAACAAGGAGAAGTGTCTGGTCTGACGGTCCATCGCTATTGACGCCTCCAAGCCCATTGTTTGACATAACGCTCGAGCCTCCAACCGTGCTTGCCGCAGTGCTACCTCTTGCGGACCCAACAAGTGATCGTACTCCAATCCCAGTCCAGCTGATACGACGCGAAGCATCAGTTTGATCGGCTTGGTGTGGCTGTACTAAGTGTTGTTGGTGCTGCTGTAGTTGCTGTAGTTGCTGTTGTTTTTGTTGATGCAGCTGTAGACCAAACAGACGAACCTCACTCTGGACAATCATTTGCGCGGAATTCCGTCCATGACCCAGCGGCGGCTGCACCAGAGTCTGCACTTGAGGCAGAGTCTGATGCTGATGTGCATGACCCTGTCCGGCTGAGGTGTCTAGATCCCTGTAGCTGCTACTCTTCGAGCTAGAAGAATCTCCTGAGGACTGTGGGGACATTGCGATGTTGAAGTCGTGCGAGGCACGATATACACGATTGTTCGTGCTCTCGGTGGTATCTGTAACATACTTACTATTGCCTGATTTATGTGGAAGAACAACTGGCGATGATGGGGGAGACGCGATAAAACGACTCTGATGTGGATTTGTCGGGCTACTTTGAGGACTAGAAACGGAATGAAACTGTTGTTGCTGTTGGTCTTGGGGTTGGGGCGGAGGAGACTTTTCAGAAGAATTACCGGTGGATTTGTTATATTCACAATTGGAAACAGGAGTTGCAGTCGTCGTCTTTGCTTTATTGTTAGAACACTGGTGACGAGATGCAGGCATGGAGGTCCGGATAGAGCGGAAATAAAATAAAAGCTCTGAGGGATGAAAGCGGTGAACGACAAAGAAGTGATGCACCAGAAGCGTTGATGGATAGCACACCGAACAAGGACCAGACGATGATAATTGGGAGAACAGGTAATTGAATTTGTTTGGGGAAGATTTTTTGTTTTTTGTTTTTTATATTATGATTAATAACAATGGGTAATTGAGGTTGATGTAGTTAATGGATATGTTTAAAGAGAGAATCAAGAAGAGAGAAAGAAAAAAAAAAAAAAAAAAAAAAAAAGATGACCATGTCAATGAGATGTTAGGACAGTTGCTCCTAGGAGAAATGACACAATGACAACATGTGTTTGGATTGGCGGGATCTTTTTTAATTCTTTAGAATTATTTTTATGGGGCAAGTTATTTTAAAAGATAATTCAAAAAAAAGAATTATATAATTTTACTATTCATAACGGCGTGTGACCATTATGACATTCTTTTTGCATTCAATGCCGTCTTTGTTACTGCACTCTTTTTCTTTTTTTCTTGCGCGCACGCGCGACCTACTGTAAAGTCAAGAACTCCAACTTCTTGTCAAGCCCCCATGGAAACCTCTTCCCTCCCTACACTGTAATTGTACAATGCCTTGTTCTTCCTCCTCACATTTTTTCAGTAGCGAGCGAGACATCTGTTTGTGGATATTGTCGGTTCCTGACCAGGCTCAATTTCAGGTGGAATTCCTTGCTCCACCACTATGTTATTTTTATCCTCGTCAGCCCCTTCCTGTACCCTGATTTCCTAATGCTTTAATTGGATCTGCCCTTCTTAATCTGCAGAGCATGCGTTTCCAACCCAACAGATCCGGGGACTAACACCAAGCACATTTTCGTCTTTCTCTTCAATGTAAAAAATTCCTCTTTATTTTAGACAAGCAATCAATATCAATCATAGTGGAAAATAACACTGCACAACAGACACATTTAAAGATCCTTGTAGACAGGCTTGCGAGCACGTGTACTTCGAGTAGTCTTAGTCGTAGAACTGGCTTCGGATGAAGCCTGCTTTTTGGTAGTACTGCTCTTTCTCTTACCCCGAGCAGTCTTCTTGACCGGCTCTTCTTCTTCTGACTCCTCCTTCACATTCACGTCCTCCTCTTCGTCCTCATGCTCTTCATCCTCATCATCAAGATGCTCCTCTGCGAGCACACCTTGTCTTCTTCTGAGTCGATGAGTTGGTTCACCTTTCTGATCAAGCTTTTTTAAATTCACAGAACCGGACTCTTCACTACTATGGTCTTCATCGTGCTTCTTTCTAGCTGCCGTAGTAGTATTGATCCGAATCGATCGCGCCCACTTAGCAGGAGAGATACTGTAGCCAGTCCACTGAAAAATAGCTGGTTCAGCACGTTGACCTAACATTAGTGTGCACATGACCAACATTGTCATGGCCTTTCCATCCTGTTCCTCCAGCAAGCCTCCTTTACCCAGGATACTACCATAGTTATCACCGTGCAGCAGGTTATAAAATTGGGGTGAAGTGGATGTGGCATAGAACAGGGCGCTCAAAAGAGCTGCCTTCATATCATATGTTGCCGCATGAACGAATGAAGGCGTTGATAGACACCAATGGTGTGTCTTGAGTCTCAACAAATCAGCCCACATACCACCACCTGAGCCAGCGATTGTACCTAAAAGCAGCATTGCAAACCAAGGTTCAGTGATGCTTCCTGCCCCACTCTGATGGCTATCTGCAGCAAATCGCATCCTGGAGCCATCGACACCTGTTTTGGCAATCGACAAAGCTCGGAGAGAACCATCCGCAATAATCAGGATGGAATCGAGGACTGCGGGAGGGATCATCTCATTGAGGATTTCGTATAAAGCAGTGTACTGAACCAGGACAAACGAGAGCGTATAAGTTGGTACCACAACATTGGAGCCTAGCCAGGATGGAGGCATGCCGAGCAACATGCCTTATAAGCGAGGAGATGTTATAACTTGTAAAAAAAAAAAAAAAAAAAAAAACATGGTTTGGGGACAATACTATGGCTATGAGACTTACTGGCAGTGAAGCCTCCTCCAAGACACATGACCAACACGGAGAAAAGAGCTTGTCCGAATGGTACGCGAGTGGACTTCGCAGTTGAGTCATCATTCAAAGACTGTTCCGCTGCCTGCTCAATTGCCTTGCGGTAGGCCATGGCCACACGAATACCATGAAGTGCAGAGAAAACACTGAGTGGAAGCAAAGCTTGATGGAAAGTCAGAGTAGGTAATTCGACCAGTGTCGAGGCCCATTGCGAACTAAAGAGGGCCATGGATGCTGAGACAAGAATTGTTGCAAAGGAAGATTAGAAAAAAAAAAAAAAAAAAAAAAAGAGTAATGTAATGTTATTGAATCAATCGCGCTTTTGTGGAGAATAATGATGTGCGCGTCTTCTCACGCGTTAGGGTTTGTCTCACCTGAGCCATTGCCCAAGGAGATAATGACACCATGACTCTATTAAGATGCATTTGATTTTTTTTTTTTATTGCCTATATCAATTATAACATTATCCATAATGTATTTAGAAATCAAAGAGACGTTGATACATTGATCGCTTGGTGGAGATTGGGATACTTGTCAGGAACCATATCATTTGCACCAGCAGGAAGGCCAGTATCAGAAACCATGCCACGCTCAGAAGGAACAAAACCACTGTCACCACTCTCCAGAACAGCTCAACCATCGTGAACATATTAGAGTACCTCACCCAACTTGATACAATGTGGTTCGTCAGGACTGTCAATGTACAGGATATGCTCATGATCGCAATCCACGCTATTCTTTGTAGCAGATAATCTTGCCAATCTTGCGTTGTATATGCTGTGCCGGTCGGCATCAATGGTGAGGGAGAGGCATAGAGTAATGAAGATCCAGGTTGAAAAGTAGGAGGTGTAGGCACGCTTTCTGGTTTTGGTGGTGCCAGGATCTGCCTTGTGGGCACCACCTGGAGTGTACTATCCAAATGGCATGCGATTCGCCACGGCTCCAACCTTTTTCAACCGCATTTGAAATTCAACATTGGATACAAAGCGAATAAGGCGTTAGTAGATGAAAACAACTTTTTGATTTTAATAACCACCAATGAGAGCGATGGTAAGGTCGGAGGCTGTAATGAGACCCACCTATGCCCTTGCTCATCGCTTTGGAACTTAACGGGTCGTCCATCTAACTCGAAGCGACATGCAGTCGGGAACACATCCTGTACATCGCGTAAAAGAACATATTGTTGTCCCGTCTTTGGATTGGTTTCGACTTCAATCTCCTCGACCCGCCCACCAAGCCGGAAGCGCTGGTACTGTAGCATCATCATTTAGGAACTGATAAGGTGCTTTAAAATGCTTCTTTGATAGAGAGATGGCGTTATTAGTTACTAATCAATTATTAACACTTATGTAAGGGATATGATTTTCTTGATAGTGGTGACTAACGGTTCCCCGTGGATAATATAGATTTGCAGTCCAAAGGGCTAGGGGGAGGAGAAGGAACAAGGGAAAAAAGGGAGAAAGGCAAATGTGAGGAAGAGAGGTAGCATCGATGGGGCACGACGATATTTTTTAAATGCTGCTTTATATGCTACGCATGTAATGCTGGCAGTTTATTTTGACACGTCAAACCAAAATTCCTTGCACACGTGTGACCCCTAGAGGCAACACGACTGAAAAATATTTTCTGCAACGTGGAGTTGTAATTTTTTATTATAACTGCTAATAACATTCATACTACATAAAATCATTGAATGGAAAACGATTTTATTAATTAAAAGTAGGTCGTATATAATTTACTTGCACCGGCAAAGCGAAATCAGTCGCTTAAAAATGTAAATGTGCTAGTTTCCGCCAACCCATCAGAAACAGCTGCTTGCGGCTTGAGCCTAGCGGGCCCTTGCTGATTTCTGAGGTCTAGGTCATGATTTGAGATATGTAGATGTTGCGATCAATATACACCCGGGCTGCGGTAGCAGAGCTGTTCTCTATACTCTAATAGGAGCTATAGTCAACGCGTGGAGATTTGGTACTTGAAGCCAATGTAGCCAACCATCTGGTGCCTCTACGAACATCTTTAGTATCTTGAGGATAAAAAAAAAGCTGGTTCTTACTCGACTCGAGTTATGAACTGTTTCTTAAACTATGACCGGTTTGTGAGAAGCTTTAGAGCGGCTTTAGTAACATTACCATTGTTGGGCTTTGCACAAGTCCAAGGCCTTCTTGAAGTAAAAAGGATGTATATAGAGGCCATTGGGCACATTCCTCCACATAAGCGCCCGAAGATAACCCAGGCAGTTACGGGCTTGTTTCTACGATATCAGTATCATCTTTTCTCCTCCTTTTCTATAAAAGGTGGTGAAAGATTCCCTAAAGCCGATGCAGGAAAGGACGCTGACGCTACTGCACAAGCATATCATGTCCAGCTTGGTTAATATAGCTGCCATAGTCTTCATTTTGGCTGAGTCGGTTCAACAACAGATGTGTTATTTGCCGGACATTTCTGATATTAAACAGTACTTCCAAGTTTCAATACCTTCATGGGCCGCATCAGGAGCAAATGTTTCTGGACCTGCATATGACTCTGGGTTTTGGTCTGGCGGCGAAGGGGGCAAATTGAAAGGCGGTATTGAAGGTAGGGATCTACAGCATAACCTTTTTTTTTTTTTTTTTTTTTCTTATCAAAGAAATGATTTGGGGCCTTATTCCTTATTATTTATCATGCAAACAAATGTATACATACATACCTTATTCATATACCCGTTCATGCAACTTTAACAAGATCTCCTCGGCTAGAGCACCGTTCGAGCCTCATCTGTCCCTTCATCGACATCCCTGTACCTTAACAATAAAGGGGGAGAGGAAAGCTTCAACGGTGTGCCTATTCCTTACTCCTCAAAAGGGCCCTCCTTTTTTTCCTCTCTTCATTCCATCTTCCAGGCAACACACTCATATAAAAAAGCTCAATAAAGCTTTTTTTTTTTTTTTTTTTTTTTTTTTTTTTCAAACATCATTTAAATCTTACGATCTCTCCAAAGGAAAAAAACATGACCGTTGATCTCAAGTTGTTCGAACTGGTGGACAGCAAGACTCGCAAGGTTTCCTTTTCACCAGCGGTATGGCGTGCCAAGTTTGCGCTCAACTACAAGAAGATTACATATGAATCTGTACCTCTTACTTTTCTCGAGATCCCAACTGTCATTACAGCTGCATGGTAAGGATAACATTAGGGTTGTCTCCTTCAGCGATTCTTAACCTGACTCCAAAACCTAAAAAAAAACAATTTTTTTTTTTTTCCTATCCTGCACATCTATTGACGATGTCTCTTTCAGTCCAAACGTGATATCACCCACAGTACCTACATTGCAGCTCGAGCCTGGAAATGGACTGCCTGATAGTTTCGCGATCGCAGAGTATATAGAAGAGCAATATCCAGATCGACCGCTGCTCTTTGGCAAGAACATCTCGGAGAAGAACCTGCAGCGGTTCTTCGAATCCTATGTTCAATCCAAAATCCATCCACCGATCCGACGAATGGTCTATAACGACATGTATAGCATGCAGGACGAAAAGAACGCAGACTACTTTAGAACATCTCGCGAGAAGAGTTCTGGCCAACCTCACCATTTGATTGCAGGAGACCGTAACCAGAATTTGAGAGAACTCAAAGAAAGTCTTGGATTGGTCCACACAGCACTACAGTCCGGTGACTGGATCCTAGGACCCCAACGTAAGTCATTATATTGCTGCTAATGCTAATATACGATATTAAAAAAAAAAAAAAAAAAAAAAAAAGATGCCACTCGCTCATGCGATTTATTTTATTCAGCTGGATGGGCAGATTTCGTGCTTGGAGCGAGCTTCATGTGGTTCAACTCGTGTTCCCCCAACGATTTCAAGGAAGGCATCTTGGAGGCCTTTGATGATCAAATCATGCTCAATTACTGGAAAAAGATGCAGGAGTACGTTTACTAAATGCAATTTTACCCAGAAAAAAGTTTAGCATCTACACCTTAATTCAAATGAAAATTAAAGAACTGTTTTTTGTCATCGGAATCAAGGGCATCCTTTATTTGCCAGAGTACTAAAAAGGGCCTTCAAGAGCCAATACGCCCTAAATGCTTAGCTGATTCGCTTAGCTTATCATCTGTTTTACTAACATATATACCCCTTTTTGGATGACATACCAGAATCACATACGCTTTTATGCTGCGGAGACAAAAATCGTTTCATTTGTTCGCACTCTTCAAGCCCATAGTAGCTCAAGTATAAATCCTTGAGCTCCGCTGCTTTGTTAAGTCTAGCACATTATTCTCCTGACATCCCGTTCATTTAGTGCTTTGGACCGTCCTAGAGTCGGACATCGAGCGTCGGTGCCTCCCTAATAATATTCTGGACCTTTGGTTTGAGTACTGTCCAGAGTTTTGGGCATAGTATTTTTTTTTTTTTTTTTTTTTTTTTTTTTTTAAAAAAAAACCTCCCCATTAATAAATGGAAAACGGAAAAGAAAGAGATTGGAGACGATTACTTTCCTCGCGGTGAACATTGCTTTCGCCACATCCACATAGATCATTTTATAACTTTATTTTTCCAATAACTTCCCTCAACTGTCTGTGTCTTCTGTATCTGTAATGATCTCGAGTCCTGGGCATTCAGCACACAACCAATCCAAATTCGAGAGCCTAGAAACCCCGGACGGATCATTAGGACATTTTATCGTGATACCCGCAAGTAACTGCAATTTTGGAGATGGAAAGAAATAATCCCGTCCCTCGTTGTATGGTGGAGACCTATCTTCTAGTGCAAGTAATTCAGGAGCATGTTCCCGTAGCCACCTTTTGTTGTTGTAATGGATCCAATTCTGTGCAATCCACTCAACCTCCTTTCTACGTAAGCAAAGCTTCTCGTCAAGTTGGTACAAATAGAGCCTTTCCAAGTTCTGTCGCAGAGGCTTCAACCGATCCAAACCAGTCTCCAATGTCAGTTCCAAACAGCCGAAGCGCTTATTTACTGACCCTTCTAATGCCAACCACTTGAGCTTAGTTAAGCGGCCGAGTTGCTCACAAATTTTGATCTGAACATGTCTTTGGTAGTCTTCTAGGCCCAGCTTGCTCAAGCCGAAGTCGTCATTGGATCCTTTGTTACTTTCTTCTTCTTCTTTCTCGTGAACACGGCTCCTCATAAAATCATCCACATAAATGCCGCTGCAAGACCGCCACCTTGGTACATATCTCTCTTGAAAATTTGCGACAAAGCTATGCGACCTATCCTCACATTGATACCAGTGGCCTTCATCATCATCCCAAGTGTAGTTTTGACAAGGGTGGTCAGGCTCCTTGTGTCGTTCCGGAATACCCACACGAATCTCAAGCGTCTCTATATCCTTGAATACCCAGTCAAACCCAATTAGGAAGGATGCATCTAAGGAGATTTCTCGAGCATGCAGAGCCTTGAGTGCCCTCAAATGCTTGAAGATCATGAAGGCACCCTTTTCCAGCTCGCTATTACCATTGACATTCAGCGATGTCAGACGGTGCATGTTTTCGGTTGACAACGTTCGGATAGGATGATTGATAGGAGGGCCAATCAAGGTCAAGAGCGACATAACTGTGAATTTGCGGACACCAAAGATATTAAGTGACTCCAGCTGAGGTCCATATCGATCCATCATTTCGATCCAGTGTTCAGATGTCAGATCGTATTTGAGTGCGAAATCAATCGATCTTAGTCTAGGACAGTACTCGTGCATCTTTGCGACAAAATTGTCATAGGTATAAACCCAATTCTCAGTGTGACTTAAACAAAAAAGGTCATGAAGAGTCGTTTGGATATCATACGCCTTATGCCTTCTGTTGTTGAGAAGACTAAGATCGAATGATATGCATAGATTTTCTAGTAAAGGACATCGACCTAGAATGCTGAGAATTGAGCAGTTGGATTCTGGCGCTGCGTTATCAGGAGGAGGAAAATTCACGGTGTAGAAGTTGTTTGTATAGGGATTGTACAGGTTACGGTTCTCAAAATTGATGATGACGAGTGACCGCAATGCAACTGTAGTACATTTAGTGTTCCTAAGACCGTGGTATCTAAGATTAAAATCCAGCTTTGGATAGCGGCAAGGTTCAGGCACTCTTGTGCTGATAATTTTCAATTCCTCCAGAGCGCCGTGGTTATTTATGTTGGCAATATTATAGGTGTTATCATTGCTATCCATGGGATTGCTGCCTGAATCCGACAGTGAATCCGACAATGAATCCTCGGTAGTCTCTAAAAGCGCCCAAAAAATCATTGGAAGATATATGTCGTGACGAAATTTATCCGTAAAAGTGAAAAATCGCTTCAAGGGCCTTCGCATCCCTCCAAGTAATTCCGTTCCAGAACAAGACCTTGCACTGGCCATTGTAGACTTCAGTGTTGACATAATATTGTCGTCCATGTCATAAGCATTGCAAGAAAATTCTGCTATTATTTCCAATTCACGGAGCCATCGAGCCTTGGACACAATCGAGGGCAAAAGACTGAAAAATCCGTCGTGTAGGTGGTCAAGACAGAGACAAAAGTTGAGGCGGACTAAACGGTTAAAGATGAACTGGTTCTCGTGTCTTTTCCACATATCAAGGTCGAGCAGGGGATTACAGCTCATATTTATCTCGAGAATTTCTACGTTGGGACAGATGTGGGAAAACTCTTGTAGCTTTTCAGAGTTGGTGTGATTTCCTTTATCCTCTTCGATGTCGTCGTCGATGTTATTGCAACTATCGACATCTCGAAATTGAGGTGTAGGAGTACAAAGGTCCTCAATACGGGCTTTGTAGGTATGTTTGATTATAGATATGGCATGGAGCCTCCAGAAACGTGAGACCTCCGCACATTCATAAAGCGAAGGCCTGTCCAAGAATGTCATGATTTCCATTAAGATCTCCGGAATGGTAAGCGGATCGATTTTGGCGACACTTTGGTTGCCATTCTTAGCCTGGCTGCTTGGGCTATCATTGTTGTCGCGGTTAGCGTCGTTACTGACGCGTTGATGATTGTCTTCCATGTTTGATTATTACTGGCACGATCGAAGATGACACGCTTTTATTCAGCACACGCACGGATCGATCATGTGCAATACGTTCTATTTCTCTTGTGGTAGGACAAACGTTTGCATGAAAAGTTCAATTCACATATCTGTTCAGAGATTGCCAACATCCAGTTTATAGAAAAATGACTACGTCTGTCCATATCTTTTTTTTTTTTTTTTTTTTTGTTATAAAAGTCCTTCATTTTCTAGTTTTGGGCATTGATCATGTTGCAATGCAACACACACACTATCTGTCACTGTTGAGCGAGCATAAACTCCAGCCATCCTCCCTCATAGTCAACCCCAGTGCGCTTAATGATGACAGAGTATCAATCACTGCGGTTCTTAAAGGTAATCAAAGCTTCGATAGTCATAGCAGAAAACAACTCACGCAAAATATTTTGTCGCATCTTTTCCTGGTTCCTGACAAACCAAGTGCTCGCCCCTATTCAAAGGATTTAAAAATCAGTCACAAAATCGTGAATCAGTGCTGAAGCATTGTGAACGACTTTGTCAGTGCAAAAGCTGTTTCTTTTTTTTTTTCCAGTGCCTGATGTAAATTCTGCAAGGAAAGAGATTAAACAATTGAAACGCGCACAAGGATAGATTTAGGATCGACATTAGCAAACTTCATCTATACTTAGTTACATCAATTATGCCAACTGGCTTCACCTTCACACTGATCTCCTTTGCAGGAGCAGTACTCGCCTTTTTGTTCACTACTTTGTCGCTTGGTAAGTTTCTCCCAACAAAAAGATAACTTGCGGAAACACTGGAGAAAGAAAAAAGAACACCAAAAGCGATATACTTATTGACCGATCTATCAACTGGATAGCATGTGGGCTTTACTACATGGCGGAGCTTGTTGAAGAATACACAGTTTGGACAAAAAAGATTATCAAAGGCCTTACAATGGTAAATAAAAAATAAACAAGAAAAAGAAAAAGAAAAAGAAAAGAGCAGGAACAGCGAACACTTAACTTATTTTTATTGATATTCCAATAGGTGGTTGTAGTCCTTCACATCTCATTATGGCTTCTGGATGGTCTGCCCTTCACAAAAATCTTATTCTCGCTTGGATGCCATGCCGTCTACAGCTTTAATCTTACCAATTTTCCTTTCATTAGCCTTACAAGCGTTCCTTTCCTTCTCAGCTGTGGTAAGTTTTTTTTTTATTTTATTTTATTTTATTTTGACAGGAACAGATTTATAAAGACTGAGTTATCTATTATAAACCTATTGGGGATCAGTTCTTGTTCTAGTTGATCATTTCATGTGGTTCCAGTACTTCTCTCGCCATTACCACACCTTTGCCAGCATTGCCAGTTTCTTTGGAATCTGTGTGTGGATGGTCCCATTTGCCTATTTTATCTCTCTCAGTGCCAATGACAACGCGCTGCCGAGCTTTGACAAATCGCAGCAAGATAGTAAGCAAAAGAAGAATGGTATTCTCAAATCTCTTTTTGGCGCTATGCTGAACAAGAAGGATACAGTATTGCCAGCTGTTGTTGAAACACCCCAATACTCTGGGTTCGCTGGCTCCTTGGGATCATCGAGTCGTCCAGGTACTCCTTTTCTCTCTCCATCTTCATCCTCAACAACAACTGCAGGACCAGTCTATACATCTTTCAACCCTGAGAAAAATCAGCTTAGACCAGAATTTTCCGTATCACGTCCAAGTAGCAGGAATAGTAATTACGGACATGCGCATGAAAGTGCGCATGAACATGAGTACCAAAACACTCCCAGTAGTACCTATGGTGGGCAGCAGTCTTATTCAAGTAGCAGCAGTGCGGTCTATGGGCATTCTTCATCAACAATAACAAACCGTTTCTAAAAGTTTTTCTAGCCTTTCAATTAATAATAAAATAAAGCCATCCATTCACTCTGCATTTCATTTTTTTTTTTTTTTTTTTTTTAGCCATGCTTTGACGAAACTATACACTTTCAGTGAAAAAAAAAAAAAAAAAAAAAAAAAATTCATTCATTCGCTAGTAATATTTTGATATCGTCTTTTGCCATTTGGGCTTCGCCTTTCTTTCGCAGAGGCTTTACTGAAGGCATTGTTGGCTCTTTTGGCTCTCGCTTCAGGTATTGGCCAACTAAGTCATCGGTAGGTGTAAACGGTACTTTAATTAGTACATCCAGCTATCTGATGGTACCTAGATAGATAATCAATTTCGGCGATCCACCAATCCAACTTACTCTTTTTGATGGTTTCTTCGTGTTTGACTACGATCTCACCATCTAGCATGAGAGGCGTCGGCCCCCGACTTTTGACACGTACCCCTGCTACGGTAGCCTAAGGCGCATTGAACACGAGCAATTAACGAAGATTAGGATACTGGTGGATTAAATCGACATATGAGCAATATAGCAATTATCAGTTACCTTTCGGAAAGCTTTAAAGTTTGGCATACTCTTCCATCGTTCAGACCAATCTTTTTTGTCAGCTTCACTTAAAATTTGAATACTGGCTGATCTGTCTTCACGACTCGTCCCTCGACTCACCTCGAGGCTATCTGGAGGATCTCCTTCTTTCTTCTTCCCAAGTTTGCGGCGCTTGCTTTTAGTAAGATTTTCACTCCACTCTGATTGCATAAGCTTACTTCTATCCCCTTTTGCCTTTTCATCTAATCTTTGGACTTCTAATAATTTCTGTCGCTCTTTCTCATCAATAAAATCCTTTTGTCGCCCTACTTTTGTATCTAACTTTAATGCCATCATGTCCTCTCTGACTCCATCAAAAGTACTAGGTTTCCTTCTCGAACTTGAGCTCGGATTAGAACTCGCTTTGGTTGAGAGCGACAATGATTGAGACTTAGGCTCAACCTTAATGGCGGTATCATCCTTAGTTGAAGCGGCCGTAATCCTGCTCATGGGTTTGGTCTCCAGATCTTCCTTTTGAATTAATTCTTCTGCCTTATCATTTTTCATCGCTTGTGACTCTTCGTAGTGTTTTTTCTCATCAATGGCGGGAATGATATTCACAGATTCGTCAGTGTCAATCTGCTCTCCTAGCTCAGACCCACGATAGCCACTATCCGTTGACTCAACCAGGACCGATGATGACGCGTTCGATGTCATGCCATGGGAATCCGCCACACTAGCGCTAGCCGATGATGTATCCACGCCAATAACATTCTCATCATCTTCCAGTCCATCAAAAAACATTGCCATACGATCAGTTTTGGTCTAATTCAGATCCCAGCAAGTTAGATATAACAGTGCTTCAAGAGTTATATTACGCCGAACGTCTTATTTAACGTGAATGTTTATATGGCTCTGTACCTTTTTCTTGGCTGGCTTTTGAGAAGATGGAGGCTTTGGAGACTCAGATTTGGTAGTCTCCTGAGGTTTGGTAGCCGCTATTGTTCCCGTGCGATTGAATTTTTTAGTAGGGGCCATCAATTGCGAAAAGCTGAGTGACGCTTCCAGGTCGTTATCGTTATCACTATCGATGACGCGAGGGGCTTCTTTGTTAAAGCCAACCGTTGAGCCGCTCCTGCTTAGAGTTGAGGCTGTCGACACTGGAGGCTCCTCTGTTGATGAGTAATCATTTAAGGATAATTGAGTACTATGTAAGGATGCCATCACCTCCATCGCCTGCAATGGTTCCAAATACTTGGGGTTACAATATCTTTCAGTTGACGCACTTATGATAGCCATCCCGATTTCATCCTCACGTACCCAGCGATATCCCATCCTGTACAGTAGTTCGTTCATGTACACCGTGTCAGTTAATGAGGAAGGTAACTCTTCAATAAGAGCAAGCAGTACTAGTAATGTTAATGAAAGCTTACCTATTCAAAATACTATCTAACTTGGAAAAGCTCTGAATGATTTCTTCTTCCTTATGTGGCTGTAAGAACACTGGAATCATCGTTGATGTCAAGCATTCGTTAATCAATTTCAAGGAAGACGCAGCATCCGTGGCTGTGAGGTCTCCGCCAGCGCATCTAATCACCTGGTCCACATTCTGATACTATACACATGATGAAGACAGCAACTATGAGCTCAGTGGTAGCAATTTCGTAGAGTAATTGCACGGTATTAAAATATATTCATCTTTAACAGCAATCCATGAAAATCCGCCAGTGTTTGAGGCTAACCTTTGCTTTAGTGACGGATATGAAGCGATGATGCCGAAACAATTTTCTCCGCGTATGAGTTGGTGTCCATCGGACATTCGAGTGTTGAAAAATAGCTGGAACTGGCGCAGGATAAGAAGTTTCAAGAGTCTGTGCATCTTTCAAACCCTTTGAGTCCCATGAGTCTTTGAACGATGCTTCCACAGCCTTTAGCCAATCTGTGTTCACTAAATAGCCTCCTTCTGCAAGTGCCAGGTAAAGTTTTTCGCTTCGGTTGGCTTTACCGACGATAAGATGGGTTGAGGCCCCGGGCACCCATGATTCTTCGACTTTGCAGTCTAAACATTGGTATAAAAAAATAAAAAATAAGAAATAAAGAGTGACAATTCAGGCTGGTTAGGGTTTCGAATTATCAGCCTATTTGCAGGTCTTGTCATAATAAGATAGCTTTATCTCCTACCAATCTCAGCTGCTAAACCAACGATGCCAACTTTTGCTTGAGCAGTCAATGCCTGAGAACATAAACTCCAGTCTACTCTTTCTAATCTAAATGAGGTCATATCGCCAATCTTTACATTCACATAGCCGCCATAACCTCTTCCAGCAATATGTCTATTGTCCAACGTCGTCCATAAGTGATCTTCTTTAATGATGACCTCTACATCTTGAGCAGGCTCAATTCGTTCTTTGTCTACATAGACACCGTGTTTGGAGCTCAAGTCACGGATGATCAATTTTGTATGCTCGCCTCGCATGCGCTAATTTGAATATTGGTAGGAAAGCACCTCAATAGACCAGACTTCACAGACAGGATGATTGAACATGAAACGCATAATCAATGGTCAAATACCTACCACACTTTGCATCGTAGGCTTGCCTACAGTGATGGTTGCATGCCTCCTCCCAACTGAAATATCCCCACTTCCAAGACACAAGATGTCATCTACTCCATTCATAAAAAATCCATAGGACTATTAGACTCGAGGGGTTTTAAAGACGTCCATTGTAAACAGACGTATCAAGGACACTTGCCAGCTGTCTGTCTTCCTACTGTTATAGTAACCTCTGGTTTGAGCCAGAGGCGAAGGCCTAATGGAAAAATACAGAAAAAAAAAAAAAAAAAAAAAAAAAAGTATTCTACATGAGCCCTCTCAAAAAAAATAACTTCCATTTCCAATCATTCCGATTGTCATTGTGACTAGGAGCATGCAATGGTTTTACCTGCTAAACGTTCTTGTCCTACAATGAACCACATTCTAATTTGGTGAATGTACCATTAACACCCTTGATCTTGCTAATGATAGATGGGTAGATGGGTTTGTCAATGTAAAAGATAGATTGTTATTACAAAGCTCTCTTTTGTGGTGACACTGAAAAGAAACGCCACCATTTTTAAATACAGGAAAGTATATTTTTGTACACACGAATGCAACGTTTCGCCTCCTTTTTCCAATTTTGTCTTGTCTCATTTCTTATTGGTCTCATTCATTCTCTCCATTCACCACATTCACAACTCATGTTCTTTCTCCTTCTCTCTTTTTCAATACTATTTTAATCATATTACTCCCATGTGCCTCATCCCCATGGCAGACAACTCGACTTTTGATACTTTATGTGCAGATTTTGAAGATATTGCAGCCGCGGATCTCAAAGGAACAGCCTCAAAGTTACTAGGCAAACAATATCTTGAGCAAGTAACCGATAAAAGGAGCCAAAAGCTTGTCAGGGGTACAACTATGGGTGCTAGTCTACGGCCGATCATTTCACTACACGTTCAGATTTCAGATGCGATTACAACCATGTCTGGTACTCCCATGCCAGTTAATGTGCACTTCCTTTACTTAGCCGTATCTCCTCAAACATATATGTCGGATGAAGCTTTAAGGTCTATTGGTGTAGAGGATATTGTTGTTGTGGGCGAGGTTATGGACGAGACAAAGTCGATGCGCATACCACTTCTGATCAATGGGTACTTAGTTCATGTGCTTAGATCGCCCGCCGATTCACATTTTGCACATATCAACATTTTAGGCGAGGACTTTGTGTATGCTACGAGGGCACGCGTATACCTCGGAGGAGACCCGCCGACTTTTGCGATTGCCTTTCCCTTAACTTCACAATACCGTGTTTGACATGGCCTTTCCTCTTCCAATCCTTCAATATGTATCTATTTTAGTTCCCTATTATTTTTGCTTTGTCTTTGTTTTTGTTTTTGTTTCTGTTTTTGTTTTTTTTTTGCTTCCTTGTGTCATTCTGCATTTATTTACTGTCTTTCTATTGTTCCCTCATTAAAATGACATCTCGCATCATAATGATTACTATGTTCTCCACCGAGAAACAGCCTCAGTATCTGTCTATATTTCTGTAATCTATAGAATTGGACAGTCGCAAAAAAAAAAAAAAAAAAAAAAAAAAAAGAAATAAAAGAAAAGAAAAGAAAGAGAGAAGAAAGAAAGAAACAAAGAAACAAACAAAGAAACAAACAAAGAAACAAACAAAGAAAGAAAGAAAACAAGAAAGAAAAGGAGCATTTAAAGGCACGCTTTTTTGTTTACTATTTGTGATGTTGTTTGTAAAGTCGAGACGCTCGAAAAAATGTCTTTCTTGCGTCCAGCCCCTCAATGACTCCCTATCTCACTCAGCATGAAGGCTCTTCATTGTGCATGAGCTGATTGAATCAACTATCGACGTTACTTTGAACCTCTTTTACGTATCAGTCAACCAACAATAAAAAAAATATAAAAAGGAGAAAAAAATATGATCCAGGCACAGGACCAAATAAACTTTACGGGAATGATGTCATATCATTCAGTCCCAGAAAAAAATGATATTGTATATATATATATATAATATAATATATAATATATAATATCACCTTTTTTTTTTTTTTTTTTTTTTTTTTAGGTAGTCTGCGCGTCATTCTTTAGGTTTATCTTGCCTTCGTCCTTGCAAAAGAAAATCAATTGTGGCACAATTCTATAATATTTGCCTTGTTGTTGGTCTTTTTACCCCTGAAGCTAACGTCTAGGGATATGAATATTAAAAATACTATGACGGAGATTGTTGCTTCCAGATGCGTGCTTTCTTCAAACTAGGCTAGACTAAAAACAGTGCACACTTTTTTTTTTTGGGCGAAGCTTAATCATTAAACTCAATTAGACTGTAGGGTGTCTAAAAATTGGCCTCTCTCATCGTTGCTGGCAATAAAGATCAAGTTACACAGCTGCAGTAAAACAAGAATGGTAGTGTAATTGCAGCGACGATCTATTCATGTGTATTCAGCCCAACGCTTGGCTCCGACAGCCTCAAAATCTATATGCTTCTGCCCTCCTGGGAATCCTTCCGCGCTATATCCAGGTTTAACAGAGCCTTTTTTTTTTTTTTTTTTTTTTTTTTTTTTTGACAAGGACCCTCAGTTTTTGACAGGGCCATCTAATTATGTAATTGCACCCTCTCTTGGATCTCACCTCCTATTGGCTGACCACAAAAGATTTTTTGCTGTTATTGCTGGACGGGACAAACAATTGAAAAAGTGAACTGCCTTTATGAGCCATTCTACAATCCCTGTGAACTGTAAAAGCGGGAGTGTCGGCAGCCTTGTCATCCACACACATTTATACATAGATTTTAGGTTATTTCATTCGCAGTCATTCGCAACGCATAATTCTAGGCTTTATGTAATTCAGTCTCCTGATATCATTTCAACATAATGTTAACTGCAGATGCCACAGATCCCTTCCTGGTGGCTCTTGAAGGATCTCTTATTATGGTATTTAATGTTACGACGATGCAGTGGAGCACGACGTGTAGGATGCCCAACGCTGCTGCCTCTAAACCAGCGGCTTATCCGGAAGGAGGAGGAAACAATAGTTTTGCCTTGGGCACTTGGGACTCATTGGGTTGGACATGAGTACCGCAGGTGTACTCTTGTATCGCCAAGAGAAGAATAAATCGGCCCATAAAGTATGTGCATAAGCGGTCGAGTAATCTGAGCAGTCGGGAACTCCGGTTCAGAAGGCACCATCCCTTGATATTGTCAACAACTCTATTACAGGTATCCATGTATATAAGCATCAACGAACTCGATGCTCGATGACACCAGCATTGTCCTCGACTAATTATGAAGGATATCGATGAGTGGTGACAATGATTCTATATCGGAACGCTCAACTCTTTCTGGCAAGTATGAATATGAAGAGAAATCAACTCAGCGGTGATATAACAAAGGTATTAATCATGGAACATGCTCTACAACGCCACCAAGGAGTATACGGATGGATAAGCAGCTGATAGACATTGGTTATAAAATTGAGCTGATACCAATATGTCATGAGGATTCTTCTGCTGCTCAGGAGAGTTCTAAAAAGCATTAAAACCCACGTGATATCGACAAAGGCCCCATATACATCAACCCAGAGAAATGTCTCGAGTTGGCTTGAAAGATGCATCTAAATCAGCTACCAGGGGCGCGTCTCGGGCAAAGTTCAGACCAGCATCTTCGAAAGCAGGTCTGATGGAAGGACCTAACTCAGGTACATCCTATGTGAATCCACAGCGACTGCGCATAGATCATCAGGATGAGCAGCGGATAGACCCTCCATATAATCCACATTACTAACTAGGTCTATAGAATAAATAGGAAAAAAAGAAAAAAAAAAAATCCTTTCTCTACTTCTATAAGAACTTGAACACAAATGTGGTCGTTCTGTGACACGTGCCCCTATCATAGATTGTGAAGTCACTTTAAACAACATGGTGAACTAGCAAGGGACAATTGATTCAACATCCTCTGCTTTTGTAATTCAATTCAAGAGCGCCTTATGGATAATTCATCAGCGCTAGAGGAGGAAGCCCTTGCGATTGTTTCCATCTACGGCCCTTCATCGTTTTACGCTCTTGCAGGATCCGAACAGGCAACTGCAGCCACGCCACCTGTGTATGCGCTCAAGGTCTCGCTTGAGGAGCCCGACTTTGACTACGATCCTATTAGCAATAACAATAATAATAAACAACAGGACAACCTGTCGCATGTCAATATCGTAAGCAAGAGCAAAAAAGAGCTTGAGCTTCGCATCTATTTTCCAGAAGGGTACCCAGATACCAACACCACGGCTCCTGTCCATGAGATTGTGAGTATCTATTATGGCAGTTTGCGTCTGACACAGGCTATGATCCAGGAAATTGATCAAGGACTGGAGCAATGCTTCGTCCAAGGAGAGGTTGTGATTTTTTCATGGATTGAATGGTTGCGAGCATATTTGGAGAGACTCGAAATCTGTATGGAGCATGGTGGAGAAAGAAATGAAAAAGAAAAGGAAAAGGACAAAGACGGAGCTTTGGGTGAAGTCGAAGATCAAGTGAATGGTGGTGACGAGGAGGCTGATGGAATCGATGGTGATGACAGCGGTGATGATAATGATGAAAATGATGTTGATGACTCCCACACTTCAGAGGGTTTAAGAGCAGCCTCGGACTACTTTTCTATGGATGAAGCCTCATCCTCACTCTCATCCTTATCTATCCATGACCATCCTCACAGTCCACGAGTGCCAATTAAGACGGCTGGTAGCGCTGTTGTCCCTACGTTTAACATCCGATCAGGTCCCCCGATTATCGACCGCAAGAGCGTCTTTGTTGCTCATTTGGCACCAATCACGCAGCCTAGTCAAGTCCCCTGGATGATTCAGCAGCTGAAGCAGGAAAACAAGAAAGTTATCAAGGCCACACATAACATCATGGCCTTTCGAGTTGAAAACGAAAATGGAGCCATTTCACAAGGTATGACCTGCTGATTACACGATTTTTTTTTATTTTCCTCTCCACAACTCAGAAAAAAAAGAAAGATATTTTTAAGCTAAATGCTAAACCCTCATTTCATTCCATTAATAGACAACGATGATGACGGTGAGACTGCTGCTGGAAGTCGGCTACTTCACCTCATGTCGATCCTGGATGTCAAAAATGTCGTTGTCGTTGTCTCTAGGTAAACATTTCTCTGCAATACGTGAACACAATTACATTAGCGTACGGGACGTTGTTGCAGGATGCTGAATACTAAACAGGTCTCCTCCGTATCTTGTCTTATATTGGTTCTGCATGCTTTTTTATATTTGTTTACTTTTCCTTTTGTTATGCATAGATGGTATGGCGGCATTCCTTTGAGTGCAGATCGATTCAAGCATATAAACAATGCAGCTCGACAACTACTGGATGAGTGTGGTTACATCAAGCCAACAGCCTCTTCTGCAGACGCCGCATCCGCGAGCACCAATAGTAAGAATAAGAGCAAAGGCAGGAAATCTGGGAGGAAATAGTTCAGTAGAAATTGCCCTACAAAAAACCTTCATCTCCAAACAGGTTTTTGCTATGATACTACATGAGCTACTTGGACAACCAATTGATTGTTTTGTTACCGTTGTTTTAGCTATTTTTATTCTGCAATAATAATAATAATAATAATAATAATGATGATGATGATATATGATATATGATACATTGGCGAAGAAGAGGAAAAAAAGCTACTTGAACACTTGCAAACAAAGAAGGGGCAAACATTGATGTTACATAGGACCAAATAAAGGAAAAAAGAGAGGCGGACGAAAATAGCACTCTCCCGAAGAAAAAAAAAAAAAAAAAAAAAAAAAAAAAATTATCTCGAAAATTGCTGGGCACCATAGTCGATATGGAGAGGAGCTTGATAAGGATGCATACGAATCGACTGTGGACCACCAAAAGATGAGGAAGCAGCCTGCTGCATTTGGGCATGTACCTGTACCTGTGCCTGCACCTGCGCCTGCGCCTGCGCATGAGCGTGGGCGTGGACATGGACATTTGCCTGAGGATGGGTTTGGATTTGAATGGGGAGACGAGCCTGGGTCTGGATTTGGGCTTGAGCTTGTGCATGCATCAAGGTTGATTGTGCCTGAAGGCCCGCTGCTGCATGAGATTTGCTCACAGCAGAATGCATCATCGAGCCCGTCACAGCCGAAGCCGCCTTGCCGTTCTCATAACGCGATCTGCGGCGGATCACATTACGCTTAAGTGAGATGGGTCGATGAATGTGATGAAGTTTGTAGTAAAGACCACAAGCATTGCACAATATTTCACCCGCATCATCCTTGCGCCAGAGAGGTGTCAATGTCGTCTTACAATTGGTACACATGGGCTGAGGAGCTGGAGAAACGTTCATAGAGCCAGTCGCGCCAGATTCGGACGCGCCCATGCCTTCAGATGAACCATCATGCTCCTCGGACGAATGACCCAAAGATTTAGGTCCGTACTTAGCCTTTCCGCCAGCACCAGCATGGCCCATAGAGTGCTGCAGATGCTTTGGACGATGCGAAGCATGAAGCTTGTGGTAAAGTCCGCAAGCATTACAAAGGGGTTCATTGTTAGCAGATCGACGCCAAAGAGGCGTTACGGTTGCACCACAATTGTGGCAACGTACACCCATACCAGCCGCGGCCTTGATTGCAGCTTTAGAGGGTTTGCGAGGCTTAGTGACCTTGATAGGCTTAACCTCAGTCGTAGTAGGGGTGTTTTGCATCAATGTGGGAGAAGACACTGGCGAGGTTACAGCATTTGAAGCTGAAGACATGACCAAGCCGTTAGGGGTCGCTGCAACAGGGCTAGAAGGTATAATGCACATAGGAGACTCGGGCGCGAGCGCGGTCTGGATGTGAGTAGGGAAGGACATCTCAGCCATAGGCGAGTGCGTCACCGGAGAAAGAGGAGACATTTGGCGAGCATACTGAGGAGGAGACGCCAAGGGCTTGAGGCAAACCGGTGAAGGCGTGGAGGAAGGTGTCTCTGGAGGAGAGATCATTCCTCTTTGTGGAGCCCTGGGTTGGATGCACAAGGGCTGGTGCTGGCTTGGCTGTTGCTGTTGCTGCTGCTGTACAGGCTGGGCATTAGCTTGGATCATAGGATTGAAATAGTTACCACCAGTCAGGGCTTGTGTGGCGGCCGTCAGGTATGAGGTCGGCGAGGGACCGAAAGCAAAGACGTCTGGATCTTGTTCCAACTGATATTCTTGGAATTGTGTAAAGGCCATTTGAGCCATTTGCATTGGAATCTGGCGCACTGGTGTCATCCAGCTGTTACTACAGCTATTGTTGTTATTGTTAACGTTAGCATCACTACTGATAATTTTATTGCCGTTGTTGCCAAAGTTAACGTTAACGTCAAGAGACATCTCAGGAATAGATGTAACAGGGGATGAAGGAACGAATTTTTGCTGGAGTGCGGCAGGCGCGTCGTATGCAAGTAAGGGTTCTTGGGACATCTCTGGCATTGTCATCAGAATGTCCTGGGGTGAAGATATGCTAAAAAGTGAATCCGATGGTGATGTAGGAGTGATGGGTGAGGAGACAACTGCTGCGGATGAGACTGCGGCTGTGGAAGGGATGGATGAAGTAGTGGTGATGTCGAAGGGGAAGCAGTAGTCGTCAGAGAGAAATGGCATCTCGAGGATGCCTGCGTAGAAATCGGCCATTGAATAAATGGATGTGAAGAAAGCAAAGTATGGAGTAGAGAGAAGTAAGGCAAAGGGAAGAGAAAGAGGAAGAAGATGAATGAGTAGAAGCAGGAGTAAGGATAGTTTATTAACGACTATAAAAAAGAAAAAGAAAAAAAAGGAGGAAGAGAAAGATGAACAAAAAGAAAGAGAGAAAAGGGGAGGGTTTTATATGCTCAGGGGTTGCAAGAAAGAAAGAAATGAATCAATTGTTAGATTATGGCAATGCTTGTTTATGGACAAGGTTCAGTTCATATAACACAATGAATGAATTCTACTGAATAAGATTGTTGTAATCTCTCGCTTTTTATTTACATGCATGCTTTCCGTTCACTTCTGTCATGTTTGTTTGTTTATTTGTGTGGGTTGTGTTGTTGCATAGTTTACATTTCTGAAAATTACACAAACAACAACTGCAAAAAAAAAAAAAAAGAATAAACATCCATCCTGTAAAAGCTGACAAAAAAAAAAAAAAAAAAAAAAAAATCTGTCAGCCTGCCAGGATGAACCTTAAGGTATCCTATCCATGGAGCAAAAAGACCTTGGTATGTCATTGATCCGCTTGCGGACTTACCGTGAATGGACCTTGTTTTGGCCCCGCACCCCGACTCAACGCCTTAGCTGGCTCTAGAGATAGAGAAATAAGTGTCTCTAATCCAGGCAGGTAGACGGACTCGCCATGACATAACTTTTTTTTTCTTATTATTCTTTTTCTGAGTACAAAAGTGTCTGATGTGCCGCACATAGCCAGTCAAGTGGCTCCCAAAAAAAGGTCATTTGGAACAGGATCTCGGTACCGAAGTTCTTAATCTTATTTAATAAAACATATTGTATCCGTTAAGCTTCCGAGAAGGAAAAACAATAGAGAAAACGTGGTTCTAATATCTAAAACAGTTTCTACGAGCGAAGCTTATCACAATGTCTCAATACTCTTCAAAATTATATGTTACACTTCTTAAGGAAAAAAGTCGTTCTGAGACACTTTTTTCCCACACAAAGAACCTGTTTAATCTCTATCTGGCCGGCGATTTCGCGGTTTCCGATCGACAGCCTCTTATAATTTTGGATGGAACGTACTCAATACGGACTAGATAGAGCACATGCTTATTAAACACCACTAGGATTATACAAGATATCTCGAGCTCTCTTCAGGAACTGTCAGTCCCAAGCCCTGGGCTATCTGAAAGCATAAGAATAATTCTTCGGTGCTGAAGCCTCAGTTATAGACGGTGCAGTGATCTTTTTTATTTTTATTTATTATTATTATTATTATTATTATTATTATTATTTATTAATTTATTTATTTAAAAGGAGCAGTGGTAAAAGCACAGTTTAGCACCATTTCTGAATGCTTTGCAAATAATACTCTTGCTCCCCCTCAACCATTTGTTCTCCTTTCCTTTTCTTTTTTTTTTGTAAATTTGAGGGCCTACGTACTTGTCTCCATCCTTAAAGTCATAAGAGGTTGCCCGCATACGCTACGCTTTCTTAGATGAACAATGGTCACTTTATTACAGTTTGAGACAAGTTGCTCTCTTATAAAACGTGATGTATGAAATGAATGAATATGCTTTTTATTACTTGCGTCACACAAACCCTTTTTGGGTGATAAGATAACGTATTTCTGACCAATCATCCTTCGAAATGTCCATGGGAGTGTCCGCCTAATGGGACGACATTTCAATATTGACATGTTTTAATTTGCATTAATTTTAATCTCACAAAGTAAAATTAGTAGACAATCAATCTGCGTAGACCAGTCTGGGACCAACACTGTATTAACTGGACTTCTCACTTCACTCTTGCTTAAAAAGACATTCCTGCCCTGTATACGATCTAAAGGCATACTCCAGGAAGAAAAAGATAGAGCATGCATACGGCAGGTTGCACCAAGAAGACGGCGTCACTAGATCTAGCACACACATTCTCTTTGACTCGTAGTACTATCTGGAACTGTTTCATCTATCCATATCTTGCATAGACTACGCCATGTGTATGCGTAGTAGATAAAACCATGTTTCTCCTCTATTTCTACGAGAGATAGAATCATATATATATATATATATATATAATAGCTTTTTTTTTTTTACTTTTTTTTTTTTTTTTTTAATTTGATGACGGGTACCCACGAGGTCATGTAGAAATATATATATATATATAGTAAATAAATATATTTATAATATATATTAATATCAATATAATATATTGTGTAGTATTGATATTTGTAAAACATGTGCATTACAAAAGAAACGAAGTCTTAGATGAAATGAATTATCTTTAATTCGACATATTTCATATTTGTTTGAATCTTTAAAAGAATAAAAAGAATCTTTATATCACAGCAAAAGTCAAATCCCTTCTTGTTTTCGTCATCTTCACGTTTTAGTTCATCTTCAATGGCTCACAAAAAAACTTTAGGCTGCACAAGGTCATCGTCTGACTCGAGATAACTTTGAGAGGAATAGAACGAGGCTCTTTGTGTGTCCGTTAAAGTTTTGTGGGGTGGAAAGCAAACCATGGGCAAGGGTTAAAGAGGCTCGAAAGATAACCCATCATCGCTCTTATTTGTACCAGTCCAGCTCCACGCCCAGCTGCTCTCGACAGGCAATTGAGAAGCTCTGAACCTCATTTTGTACCTTGCATAAACCTTGCAGGTTTGTTTAGTGGCATGACTTGGGTCCACAATGACTCCTTTTTAACTCTAACTCTTGGCGCATATCTAAACAACCACAGAAAAGTTCAATAAGGGTTGTATGGAATGAAAGCAAAAAACTATAAAAACACCACCATCACCACCAACAACAACAATAGCAGCAACGATAACAAAAACAGTATATTATATATATATATAAATTAAACCATACAACCTTGGCTCTGCTCTGAACTATTGGAAATCCTTTACGTGTATTGCAATTCATATATCTTGTGTTTAATTTAATGAAACTAATTAAGCCCTGCATCCAGAGTCATGGGTATCTAAAGCAAGATAAAGCATAATCCATGCCAACCTCTCGATCACCCTGAATTTCTTTTTATCTTTTACCAATGGAGAGTCAGCCCTTCTAAATAAACAGAGGAAAGAAAAAAAAAAAAAAAAAAAAAAAAGTGTATAAATATACAATATTCATATGTATATATATATATATATATATATAATGTGAAGCAAAAAACAAAACAAAAAAACAATGAGAAGCTAACAGGTTAGCTAGCCTATGATTGGTTCAAGTGCATTATCAGTCAGTAATGTTACCACTCATTACTATTATTGAATAATGATATGATATCGTTTTAACAGAAGAAAAAAAGACAGACATAGACTATGCATGCTATAAAGATACAAAAAAGACTGGTTGGGCGCTACAAAACACATAAAAAAGAGTTCTGTTTGGAGAATATACATGCAGCGGCTGCATGGAAGTTCTCCAACAGCTTATCAGTCTACTTTTTTCCAACATTAGTGTAGTATATAAGACATGTGTATACACTTACTACTTGCTGAATGTTCGTAGTAAGTCGTCTTCTCACAAGATGTCCGTGATACAGCTGTCTAGACTAGGTTATCTCGGGCCTCTGGTTGATATTTAATGACATCTGTTGGCCGAGCTTATGTTGCGCCATGTTTGTTTGTTTATGTGTAGAATTGTTGAGTATAGGCCGAGATCATGGCGTATTCATTTCAAGAGAATCTGTCCCTTCATTTTTTAAGATATGAAATCTTTTTACATCTTAAGCATTGTTATTTATTTATGTATTGCTGTTGTTTATATATAATACTTTTGTTGCTTTAGTTGGGGGGAGAATACAGGGGAAAATGCAAAGACAGGCTATTAGAAGACATTGTGGTGTTTTGCAGTTCAGGTTATGTGTCATGGAGATACACAATATGAGCAGTGGTTATTGTTCTATTGGTTGACCTTACGAAGGAGTATAGGAATAATGACCTGGAGGCAGAAGAAGCAACTATACTCTGATGCATACTAGGACAAATATTATCGTGTTCAAAAAGTATTCAGGTGTGTGCGTGTATGAATGGCAAACAATTGATGGTCACTATAATGACATCAACTTACCATGACATAGCATGGGTACATCTAAAAAGCTTTTTGGCATACGTATTCGGAGAGGAAAAAAAAAAAAGGACCAGGTAAAAGGCGAAGCATTAGAAAGGAAAGTAATAAAAAAAAAAAAGATGAGGCAAAGCGTCTCAGTCAGGAATACAACATGGGCAAGAAAAGTAGTGAGAGCACTCCTGCAAAGGACAGAGACTGGAAGAGAGGAAAAAGAGTTCCACGGCGCAAAATGGTATTGAGCTCTTTGTGTAACATGAGATATGGTATCTTGTCTGCACTAGTCTCGACCCTGTTATTCACAAGACAGACAACATAAACAAATATGCATGAACAAGAGCAAGTGATAGTCCATGGAAAGGAAGGGTATTCAATGCAATATAAAATAAAGGGAGCAAACAAGTAAATAATCGGCTTTGCCTTTTCTGTCATAATGTTCTCCTGTTACTGTTGTCGCTGTGACAACACAAATAGATATGCACTCAGATGATTAGCATTCGTGTTCGACATTATGTCTTCCATCATGCGAACGTGTATTTCATTGGCTCCATAATGTTAGCTTGAGGCCCCCAAGCTAGTCAGTTCTTCTTCTTCTAATACTCCTAAATGAGTTACGGATGCAAAGTCAGGGTGATCTTAGTGATCATGTGAAGTGAATCAGGGCCGATCGTCTCTTAAATGACCACCTATCACAATATTAACCACTGTTAGCATATATCTGATATATACATGTCACAATTAAGACAAACGAGTTCCAGTCAGAGGGTCAAGCTTGTCGCTCTTTTTGGCTAGACTCTTTCAAATATAAATGGTTTACTTAACAAAATTCTTATAATTGAAAAGGGCTAACCAAAAAGAGTGACAAGCTTGACCCTCTGGTTTCAGTTCCACCTTGTCTCCTGCAAACTTGGAGGTCAATTATTTTCCGTCGGCTCGTATGAGATATCACTCTAAAATGCAAACTGCATCCACAATTGATGGCGCGAAACATGATATAAAGACCAGTCAAGGTGCTAAAGACATTTAGGGTTCTAAAACAGATAATATTAAAACGTTAGGCACTGACTTTAGTAAAGCTTATATCGTCAGAGCTAGCGTTACCTTGCCCAAGAATAACCTAGCAAAGGCTGGTAAAGCTATATCACAAGCAGCACTCTGCATTCTGCCTTCAAATTGCGAAGTATGAGACAGACTACGAAGAGTGAGAAGGAAGACTTTTGGTGCGGGACGTAGCTGAAGACACAACCGACCAAGTTATTGAAAAACCAAGCCCCAATGAATTGATAGAAAAGACGTTTTACAGAAGAGTATACGGCAAGCAAACTGGATCACTCTTAATTTGGAGCAGCTTACTGTCACTATTAGGCATGAATCTTTGTTTTGCACAACACATCAAGGTACGAGATAATTGTTCTATTGAGCTGAATCATTTTTTTAAAAGGGGTTCAAGGCGTTGCGGGAAATAAACGAGATTGCTCTAAGCATAAGATGATTCCTGACAGTGCCCGGAGCGGCAAATGTATAGGAGAAAGATATGAAGGGCAGAATAGTGATTTGGAGCAAATTGAAGGAAAAGGCCTCCCGCCATCTCTTCACAATGCCTTCGTCGAGTAATTATTTTCAACAATGTGGTTTTTATGTTTAAATCTGGCGTAGAAAGGTATAATATGTCAGCGGTCATGAGTATTTCTAGAAAAAAGCCGACTATTCCTTTTTGAACCGGAATACAACGTCATTTTTTATTTTTGGATTTGGTATGCACTGCCACCGTAATGGCCGCAGCAGGACATTTCCTTATTTAATAGCTTTCATTCTCTTGGAAAAAAAAAAAAAAAAAAAAGTTACAATTACCAAAGTACCACATCACCATGCTTTCAACAGTCCTTACTCCTCAACCAAATGATACCCGTGCCCCTCATTATCAGGAAAATATATTCTGCCAAGCATGGCATTCATTCGAAGAAGCCATTCATTTACGTGGGACAACTCCACCACCAGGTATATTCATTAATTCCTAATCGCGCAGAGCGGAAGTTCAATGTTAGATAGTGGTCAAATCACTTTTAGTCAACTCTCAGCCCTTTCTATTGGTTTCCACGGTACTAATATTGTACTGTCATTATTCTATCCTACAACCAGTTCCTCCGAAAGACGAAAGATGGGTTGTCAAAACCGCCAATTTGGCGATTTTACAAGCAGAAATAGAAACAGAGACAGACGTGGACCATTCCATATGGGACAAGATTATTCAGCGTATTACAGCGACCCATAATCATACCACCAATGAAGAGGCTAACCAAAACATTGTCTCGATCGACGTCCCTGCAGAAGCTGCTTTAAGGCGGTTGGGCGTCCAGGAAGAAGATAGTGAACTGCAAAACAAAAAAAACTATTTTAAGAGAATGGCTGTCAGATGTAAAGAAAAGTTTGAGGAGGATGGCAGCAACATTAGCAAACATGCTCAGCTCAAAGGTGGAATCATGGATTTTACTGCATCCACCATCTCTGTAGCCCAAAGCGACAATGAAAATGAGGACGAAGACAGCAATGGATCACAGCCCTCCCATGACCCAAACCACAGTGAGCATCACCATCGCCATCAACTAAGGCAGTATCTTCATGCTCTTCATCTTCACTTCCTCCCATACCATGTAGGGCAACGGCAAGAGCAAGAAAGAGAACAAAATCAAACACAATTTGTACCAAAGGTAGATCTAAAGGGGATGAAGGCAGCCCATCAGATTATCTATAACACTAAGGAAGACCACCGTGAAATTAGCAGTGATTCAGAGGGTCGAACACTTTTCGGTTTATGGTGGGATTGGTGCCCAAAGCGGTCCAAAGCAGAGAAGCAAATTGAGGAGGACCTGGATAGTGAATGGGAAATTATTGATGTACCCAAGAACAAGAAGGAAAAGATACAAAGCCTATGTAAGCAGGACGGTGTAGTTTCGGCTCATGTAAATGACCAGAAAACATGGTGGAAACATAAGTCGCTAGACACTGATGCTCTGATAATGCACAGCAAAAGTGGATACCCAAATGATCGCAAGGCAGCAGCCAAGAGGCGGCAGGCTATTGCAGCTGCTGGTAAAGTAAAATCTTTTTTCTGTCTTGTTTTTAACATTTCAATTATGCTCACTAGACAACGACAGATTACTGATCATTCATACCATCATTCTTGTTATATTCACTAAACTAGCCGCATATGAGGCAGTTAAAGAGTACCATGCGCACAAGTCCCGTAAAGGCAAAAAAGTATCGCATGGAGAGATGAAGGCTGTTCTTGCAGGGATGGCTATGGCTGAGGCTGTTAAGTTGCTGGAATCACGGCACAGCGAGGACGGGAACGAAAGGGATGAAACAGTAGCGGAAGCCGGCTCTTGTGCGCTTAAGCTTTTTGAGCTCCTACGTTAATACCCATATTTAATAATAATAATAGTAATAATAATAATATATCACACAGTACATTTTTGATCATTTCTCGTCAAAATCATTCATCCGCAGATCCCTTGAGCGAACTGTGCTTTATTGATAGAATAGCTGGTCACTTTGCTCACTTTATATACAACTTTAAGTATCTATGGATGGTGTCTCTAAGGAAAGCGTAGTTGAAGGGTCATTCACTGCACTAGATAGTGATGTTTCTGCTATTAGTGCAGCCTGTGCACGGTAAGACAAAGATAAAGCAATATTTTCCGAGTTTCTAGGTGAATGTTGAACTGAGGGAGAGGGAATTGGTGATGATGATGTTGGCACTAACGAAAGAGCTGTGGCTGTCATTGTGTCAGGTGTTTCTATTGTTAAGCTGGCTGCGGATAGGGGTGCAGACACAACCGAGGTTAATGACATGGACCTTTGGTTGCTCTGGCTTCTACCTCTTCGAGTAAGAATCCCACTGGCGACGCTCCGCCTCCGGGTTTCTCGTCGATTGGATTGGGGGCAATATGGGTTGCTTCTGGAGGCAGATGGCGCTGTTACAGTCACGGAAGGTGAGTTATCTGTGGTCAGAAGTGCAGTCTGAGCAGACGACCGAGTGTTAGGTGCCGGATAAATATACATGGGTGGAAGAGAGTTTTCCAAGGGATGCATGGGCCCAGATATTGCCGATGGATCGCTTATCAGGACTGGCGTGTCAAAGAGACCAGGATTGGTGGCTATCCAGCCATAACCAATATCACCATTGGTAGGAGTAGGTGAGTATGGTGGAAGTGGAGTGATGGAGGGCTGGCTACTCTGAGCGCTTGCAGTGTCATCATCATGCTCCCCTGTTGTTCCCGACTGAGGTCTAGTTTGTTGTCTCTGTTGTCTCTGTTGTTGTTGTCTCTCTCGTCTTTGTTCGTTGTAGGCCTCAACGCCATGAGCAAGGACGAAGGCTAATTCATGATGCTGTTCTAACTCTGGTGGGATAGCATCAGGAGATATGATTGGTTTCTGATGCCGTACCTTGAGGCTCTTGTAAACTCGAAAGAGATAGATGAAGAGTAACAAGAAGAGGGTGACAGACGCCACAATAATCAATATAGCTAAGAGCATCTTCTATCAACAGACGCAACGGTGTCAGTGCAGTGTGGAGGGAGTAGGAGGTATGCGTGTCGTAATATTACAAAAGGAAATAGTGGCTATGATAATGATGTCGAGATACATTCGTGCTTTGAACGTAGCGTGGGAATATGCAAACGAGAAATGCAACAGCGTGCAATTGGTATCCACGCAGAATAACAAATCGAATGAGTCTTGTAAGGAAGGGCTGCTACAATTAATAAATTTGCGCTTGAGCGTGAAGCAGAGTTTGGGACGATGTGAGCTGTTAGAGGTGAGGAAACAGCTTGAACGAAAAGGAAAAGAGAAGCATAATGAAGCAAACGAGCAAATCAGTTTGATGGGTGCACGACTGTTTTCTTTCCTGATTTGTTTACAGGTTACAAAGAAGGGCTGGAAGCGATGGCAATCTGAGTTTGAAAGCCACGCTCCACTTATTTTATATGCTTTGTGTACACATTGATTTATATATATATATTCTCGTAGATTGCCATTGAATAAATGCAAACACACAGATTAGATATCCGTAACTGCTGCTTGGATTTGAAAAGAAAAAAAAAACAGATACATGATTTTAATGCATTTGTGAATTCAGCAAAATTTGTTTAAGGCATGTGCCAGAGAATATTGTCCTGAACTGCATCGGACCTGCACAAAGGCAATGGTCCTCGCGGACATGACACCCAATTCTCTGACCGTTCGAAAATAATATTATTAACGATGGTCTGGCTGATCTTTTACGGCTTTGAGGGTCGTGGATTCCGTTGCCACTTGGGTGGGTCAAGAATCTCGCACAAAGTGCTTTTATAAGATCGCGTAAATTGCGTTGTAAGGAATCTCAAACGCACGTTGCGGTGGCGGAGATAGGTTGAATCTGTGACGACTTAATGTGCCAGAAGACTTCGTAAATTGCGCACATCACTCATGGGGATCTACAGGATTAATGTTTGATCAACGGATCCATTTAGTGTAAAAAATAAAAAGGACTCAAATTTGATGGTCACAAACAAACACAGACATGCAAGTGCAAGGGACAGGACAAACAGACAATCAAGAGTGTGGCTCAAATGCCCTCATGAAGACTTTTCGTCATCATCGCCTTTTCCTTCCCAAAAACACATCCACGCCATCATCTCCCATCTCTACGATATTAACCCCAATTACTGGTCTGTCTAAGCAGCTGACTCTTGCTTTGATCCTGTTTTAGGGCGTATTGAGCTACATCTCACTTCGCCATCCCTAATTCACTTTTCTCAACCCATACTCCTATTCTCACATGGCTGTTAATAACGCCCCAGGGCAGGTACCCGGATCCAATGTGGGTTCTGGTCCTGGCCCCGGTCCTGGCCCTGGCCTTGTGCCTACTGCTCCAGGCTCTACACCCATCGTCAACTCGCCTGCACAACGTCTTGATGCTATTGATGAACAAGTCTGGCTTCAACTCGGGTCGCTTGCAGAGTCGATGGGCGAGTACGATCGCGCGATGGCTGCATATGAATCAGCCCTTCGACATAACTATCAATCGGTCAATGCACTTAATCTGATTGCTGAGCTGTTCCGCTCGCGCGAGAATTTTCCGAAGGTAACAACATGATGTAGCAACTATGATGTGTGCAAATCTAGAATGCACCTAGACTCATCCCATTTTAATATTCAAATACAAATTTCCTATACTTTATCCTTTCATTTAGGCTGCTGAATACTTTCAAAGAATCCTCGAAATTGATAACGCAAGCGGCGAGGTCTGGGGCTCACTTGGACACTGTTACTTGATGATGGATGAGCTTCAGAAAGCTTACAACGCGTATCAAAATGCTCTACATCATCTGCCAAATCCAAAGGTGCGTCTTATCTCAATCTCAAGACGCTAAACGAAATACTGGCAAAATAATAGCAATAATAACAACGATAATGATCCCAGGATTGATGTGAGATATGACGATAAGAATTTATGGATAACTGAGCCACTACCGCTTGTACCTCTTTTCGCGCTAATTCAATAGGTTTCTAAGCTTTGGTATGGTATTGGTATTCTCTATGACCGTTACGGATCAGTGGAGCATGCCGAGGAAGCTTTTTCAGCGGTGATGCGAATGGATCCCAAGTATGAGAAGGCAAATGAGATCTACTTCCGGTTAGGCATCATCTACAAGGGTCAGCAGAAATATTCTCAAAGCTTAGAGGTAATGGATCAAATACATTATAGGCTCATTTATGTGAGCGTTTTAGTGAGAAGCTTATCAACAATACCAATTCGTCTTAAAATTTTGTGTCGTGGATTAGTGCTTCCGCTATATTTTACGCACGCCTCCGCGTCCCTTGACTGAGGCCGATATCTGGTTCCAAATTGGTCATGTACACGAGCAACAAAAGGAGGTAGGCAGGCTAGAATCATGGAATGATTTGATGGATATCGGATTGTTGCAGTTTTCAGAATTAAATGAAATTGTGTTGCATCAAATATAACTGTAGTATACGAGTGCCAAAGAGGCATATGAGCGTGTTTTAGCCGAGAATCCAAATCATGCTAAAGTTCTGCAACAGCTTGGCTGGCTTTACCATCAACCGAATGCGGCATTCATGAATCAGGACCATGCTATCAGGTTCTTAACTCGCTCGATTGAGAGTGACAACACGGATGCTCAGTCATGGTATTTAATGGGCCGATGTTACATGGCTCAACAAAAGTACAATAAGGCATACGAGGCCTATCAGCAGGCTGTTTACCGTGATAGTCGAAATCCGACATTTTGGTGCTCCATTGGATTGCTTTACTTCCAAATCAACCAATACAGAGATGCACTTGATGCCTATAGCAAGGCTATTCGCATCAATCCCAACATCAGTGAGGTCTGGTACGATCTTGGTACCCTATATGAGTCATGCAATAATCAAGTCAGTGATGCGATCGACGCTTATCAACGCGCTTCTGATCTCGATCCAGACAACCAGCGCATTAAGCAGCGTCTAGCATATTTGCGTCAAAACAATGGTGCACCAGGCGGCGTACCTCCTCCCCCTCTTCCCGAGGAGATGAATCCGAACGCCTATCCTCCCTCGGGAGGTCCTGGAGGTCAGCACTCGTTTAGTCAGGTAACTTTTTAATTTAGTTTTCTTTCCTTTTGACTTGTCCTCCATTTGCTACTCGATGTACTACACAAATCTTTTGCTATTCTTATCAGATCGTTTTATATAACCTGTATTGTCAGGCGTAGCAAAACAAAGATAAAGCGCTATGCAGCTGACTTTCACCTTTTTTTCGTTTTGCATGGATCTGATAATATGAAACCATATTCAGAGATCCACGGTGGCTCCTCAGGGTCCGCCTACCGGCATGCAAGGTTACACAGGACGCCATCAAGGACCTCCAGCCCCTCTAGTATGAAGCCAGGGCTGTGATCAATATCTTAGCCCTATTGAATGGATGATGAGTGCTCTGTTAACCTTATGAATTTGAATACGTGTCTTTTTTTGTTTAATCGTTGTAGAGCGCCGCCATGAACGGGGAACATTCACATCCAGGACGAGACTTGCCTCTTCCAGGTAATGGCAACGGACAAACTTTGGGATCACCAGGATATATGGGTGAAGACAGACAACCCCATATCCCAGGGATTAACAATGGCGGTCCAAGACCGCCTACACCTGTTGGTGCTATGCCCCAAATGATATCCGGCGATCGCGTGCAGGAACTACCTCAGCAACCTCCCACTTCTGGTCCAGGACACACTCGCCCTTCACGTGGACTACCTCAGAGTCCTGTACCTGAAGGTCCGGGAGGATATGCACGATCCGGCTCTCCAGGTATGAGCCATCCTGGTAACGGGCATGGCCATGACCCTCACTATGCGCCTCAATACCCTTATAGTCATGGACCTCCACCTACCCACAACATGATGCATAATGGCCCCCCTCCTCCACAAGGGTATGAACGACAAGACCCAAGTGCTAGGGGAAAACCTGAGCAGCCTCAGCCGTACCACCATCATCGTCAGCGTTCGGGAGACCTTTCAAGACCTGGACCCATGGACGAAGGTCATGGAGTCCCACATCCTCAACGTCATCATCCATCTGATCCTCATGCTCATGCCCCATCACCCCCTCGAGAAGATCGCCGCGGACCCATGACAGGATCCGGTTATAGTCAACAGATGCCGCCATCTCATCACAGTCCTGATGAGCGCTGGGCTCCTGGTCCGCATGGACGCCACCCATCAGACGATCAAGGTCGAGACTTGTCCCGTCTGCAACCTGGGACTGACCGTGGGCAAGGCGCTCCTCGAAATGCTGCTGGTCCTGAAACATTTCCAGGGCGGAATGATATGTCGCAACCCCAACCTCAACCTCATAGTCCAGACGTAGATAGAAGAGATCAGCGTGCAAGTGAACATCATAGCCCGTCCTATCCCCGTTCTGGCGCCGAGCATCCGGGTATGAAAGATTCTAGGTTGCAAGGCGGAGGTTATGAGGATCAACATCAAGTTCGACCCAGAGAATATGAACCTACTAGCAGTTATCCAGAAGATGGCAGAAATCAGTCAAACTGGCATTCGCAGGAGAATAGTGGTGGCGGTTACCGTGTGGAGGATCAAGATCAGGAAGATATTGCCGCGTCATTAGTGTCACTCAGTGGTAAAGGAGGCCCAAATCGTCATGGTGCTCATCGCACACAAGACGAAGATTATGATATGCAAGAGGTAGAGCCGGTGTCCTCTGAAGGTCGTCGTGAACCAATGCTTGAGGGTGAAGACGAGCTCAAGCATGGTCGTGAGCAACAGCACCCACAACATTTACAACATTCGCAACACCCACAGCATTCGCAACATCCGCCACATTCACAACGTCCACCATCGTCCCTTGAAGAGCAATCATCGTTGGATGTACGGGAACAGTACCAGCCATCTCGCCCTACTTCGTTGTCGAAGCAACAGCAACAGCAACAGCAACAGCAACAGCAACAGCAACAGGAGGGGCATCAGCACCAACAACCGCCAGTACAAGAGCACATGGATCGAGAGATTCTTAGTGAGAGTCAGGGTGGAGAAACACCCATGCGCCCGAACAGCCCGTCTCAGCCGACGCCTATTGTATCGGGCAGCCAGGCACGAGCAACTTCACCAGGACATCATGAAAGCGAACTACAGTCGACTAGCGCACTTAATGCGTTATCCGAGGCAGCGCAGGTTGCGGATCCATCTGCAACCAATGACGAATGTCAAGGAGTAGATGCAACGTCGTCATCAGAATCCTTGGAAAATGCATCTGTTTTAATGAGGAAATCTAGCAATGGGCATGAAAGCTCTGTAGGGGGAACGATAGCAGAGGCAGGTGAGACGACTACACCGTCGATTGCAGCTTCAACATCGAATTCAGGAGATTTAGTAACAGACGCTGCAGAAACCACATTATCAGCAGGCGCAGGTGTTCGAGCAGGCTCATCTGGAACAGCACAGGCTTCTGAGACAGGATCTAGTGGCATAAACGAGGACGAAGACACGGAGATGGAGGAAGGCGAAGTGCGTGAGGATGAAGACGAAGTGATGAGCTCTGGTGCAGTTGGAGCGATGGGTCAGAGTAAGGATGGATCAAAAGGCGAGGACGAAAAGTAGGACTACCATATGGCGTTGATAATTGCTTTGTGTACTACTTCTAACGGCGAAGCAGGTCTTGCTGCAGCACAATAAGTAGACAGAAAGGCAGACAGAAAAAGTATACAGTCAAGTAGATTTTTTTATTTTATTTTTTTATTTTTTATTTTTTTGCCATGGAATGTAGGCTACGGCCGAAAATTCGAATACCAAAAGCTTGTAATGATCATTATCGAAAAACTGTTGTGGGCGCAGCGTGCGGCTTAGTGCTTGCAGGCAGGAGAGCTATGGGAGGCGTCTTTTATCTTTTAATGCTGTTATTCGCCCGATGCTATCGCGATGTATCCCTAGTTACAATCTTGAAGGCAGATACAAGCAATGTTGTTAGCTTGGAGAGTCGGCAATCCTCATCCTTCTCTACATACGAAGAGTACCTGGAGTTTATTAGGTGTTCGTCACAGCGAACTACAATATGGTCGCGTCTCTGATTAATAGTAATATATCAATGACACTGCATATCATTACAGGTAAAACAGCACCATTCCATGCTCAATTGAAAGCGGGCTATTCGTGTGGCTTTTGATAAGTTAAAATATAAAGCCACATGTTAGTGGCAAAACAATGTACCCATTAAACGCCTGTAAAACGCAAGATGCTTTGGACACTGCCACCACCGCGCAGCTTTGTCTGAAAAGGGCAAAGTTTCCCTATTGTCTTTTATGACAAATCATCCATTGGCACATACTCTTTATTATAGTGGATGGTGCTGTTTCTGTTCGCTGCTCTTGACAACTACTCATTCTTCTTGTGTCTCTGATGTATTAGTAATAATAACTGTTAAATGCACACTTGACTTTTGATACAGAGGACAAATACGACCGAGATATTAAGATACTCAGACTTTCTCCTTTAATCGCAATCTCCTTCCTTGTCACCATCTTTCACTCTCTATACTTGTCGCTTTATTTTCCATCCTGGGCAGAGGCGCTGCTCAGAAAACCAGATAAAGAAAGACTAGAAAGCAAAAATGTCCAGGGACACAAGCAACAGCACCAATGGGGCTCTTGGATCCGTCACTTCAGCTAAGACTGAGGCTAACGGAAATGCGAACTCACCCCAGCTTACAGACGCCCTCGGATTTGCTTCACGATTCTTCCAAAAGATTGGCAGCACGCAGCTTGACGATGACGAAGAATCTGACAGTGACTTGGAAAGTAATGGCGACGTGAGTGATACTAATCATGCTCGGGATCCTAATGACAGCAAAAACCATAATATGTCAACTTGCCCCTTTGAAGCAGTTAAAGAAGGACAATCAGTGTTGGAAAGAAAAAAAAAACACCCAAAAGCTCATTTGCTGGAGACTGATCAGGATGACCATCAAACTAAACGAACGAAACTTGAAGCTGTTGCAAATCTTATAAATTCTGGTCTAGCGGGCTACTCCAACATTTCTACATCTAGAAAAGAAACTCATGGTGGATCTTCGTCTCAGGACAGAAAGCCGCCGCTCATGACCCCAAGCGACTTTCTTCATTTCAACCTCAACACAAATACCTCAGGGATTAAAGCCTTATCGCAGGAACGACAGCAGCAACAGCAACAATCTACAGTCATGGATCCCAGATCAAGTACAGCCAGTCTTGTTTATAATCATCTTCAGCAACAGAGACAACATTTGTCACAATCTCAGCCTTTCCAGTCCCATAATATCCCTGAACAACCATGTTCGATCGCCCCAAATACCTCATTTATGATTTCAACATCTTCATCTACACCAAAAGTCGCTGAAAAGGTGATCGATCTAACTGAAGAGGAGCCAGCCGTCATCTCAGATGATGAGGTGATGATCGATGAGTCCAGAACTACGGCCGTGGAGAATAGGCACATGTGCTTTGGCATGATTCGATCACTTGTGGTTACGCTATATCCTCGTCATCTTGAATACATTGAAGGAAAATCAGATAGGGTCATTATCAAGCGCTCCATCACAAATAACAAAGCCAGTTTAGCCGTGGAGCATGAAGCAGGGCTTGTAAGCTTTTTATTTATTTATTTAGATAAGAGGAAACTTATTCCGCTTTCGACTAACACACTCATCATTTTAACTGTACTCTCTCTAGTATGGCTATATTGTATCTGAGCTTGCAGAGACACTTGTACCTCTAGTAGATGCCAATATGATCTGGTGGGAGGCATATGTCCCTAGACAGAAGAAGCAAAATGTATGTCGAACAATCCTTTTTTAAGTTCAAAAAAAAAAGGCAGATCATTTATCTTTTCGGATATACTTATCTAAAACTTTCTGTATTAATTTTGGATAGAATGTTAGTGCCCCAATCAACATTATCCTTTACGGTCGATCTGAATTCCAAATGGCAGTGGCAAAGATACTCTATGGAAAAGTCAGTTTAGAAGATCCAGTTTCTTTTGATCATCGAACACGATACTGCAATCCCCTGGTACCTGCCGCAGGAGAGACTCTGTCTCCATACGATAAATGGCGTGGGGTCACCAAGCCATCTACATTTACAAGTGGATTCAGCTATTCAGGTTATTCAGGCTATTCAGGGTACCATGGTTCAGGTGTTCGTACTGCAGAAGAGATTAAAAATCAAATCGATGGCGTCTTTAAAGGGCTTCGAAGCGCAACTGATCTCCCAGAAGTGGAGTCACCCTCGATAATGACCACGACTATGTATCGTCATCAAAAACAGGCCCTCTACTTTCTTCTGGAACGTGAGAAACAAGAAGACTACTCGGATAATGAGAAGAATAAGCTCACATCTCTTTGGCGTGTCAGGCAACAACTCCATCGTCATCCAACATACCTTAATGTCGTAACAAGTCAGGAGACTACCGTGAAACCGATTAGTATGCGAGGAGGGATTTTGGCCGATGATGTAAGTCATTGCAAAATGCATAGCTTGTTGTAAAGGTGTAAAGGGCTCTAACGCAGGTTGTATTCACGCTATTAAACATCCGCCACTCATCTATTTGTGATCCTACCGTAAACAAAAATCTTACTATATATCCTTTAGATGGGATTAGGAAAAACTATCACGGTTATAGCCCTCATCATATCGACACTTAATCGGAGTATGTATGCACAATCGAGGATTAACAAAGGACCATCCTTACCGCCATCAGCAACTACAGCACCGGATTTTTTGAACTCTGGAGATCAAGTGACAGAATATGATTCTCCTCCATCGCCCACTATTCGGCCTCTTCTGCCAACAGCTCCTAAAAAACCAGTATTAAAAAAGCGGTTAACAAACTTCAGGACGAAATCGCATGCTACACTTATCATTTGTCCCTTGTCTACGGTCCAAAATTGGGAGGAACAATTCGAGGCGCACGTCCGTAATGGCTCGCTGCAAGTATATGTATATCACGGAGGGCAGCGCGTATCTGATCCTGGATATCTAGCAAAGCATGATGTAGTCATTACAACATACAATCTACTAGGCACCGAGTATTCGAAGGAATGCAAAGGGCGGGATACTGAGGCTGGACCTTCTAGATTTCCCAGCGTCTTGCAACATATTGACTGGTTCAGAGTTGTTTTAGATGAAGCTCACATCATTAAGGAAGTTAGTACGGTCCAAAGTAAAGCAGCCTGTGCCCTCACTGCCGAACGTCGTTGGTGTTTGAGTGGAACTCCTATTCAAAATAAGGTAGGGCTTCTGCACAGTCCTCCCAAGAATTTATATTACTTTGAAATCCCTTCAGACTTTTTTTTTTTTTTTTTTTTTTTTTGGGAAAACTCATTCCTGCATTGGTGTGCTCGATAGCTGGATGATCTGTATGCCCTTGTCAAGTTCCTCAGGATGCAGCCTTTTGACGAGAAGATACATTGGGCTCACTATATCGCAAAACCTATTAAAGCCGCGAATCCGATCGGCATTACGAGACTACAAACTCTAATGAAAGTCATTACACTTCGTCGTACCAAGACACAAATGGTGAATGGCAAGCCATTATTGCAGCTTCCGCCGAGAACTGATCATATGCGTGTACTAGAGCTCAGCTTGAATGAACAACAAATGTACAAGCGTATGGAGTCCAACGCTAAGCAAACGGTGGACCAAATTGTGCAGGAGAATAAGATTATGAAAAATTACGCCCATATCCTTCAGGCCATCTTGAAACTTCGCCAGATCTGCGCACACTATGCACTTGTCAAGGATATGGGCGATGATCTCGATATGTCAGGGGAATTCAATCTAGCCAAAGCGTCCGCTATTTTAACATTGCTACAAGACTCTGGAAATGACCAATGTAACCTATGCTTCAATGGATCGACGTTAACACCGATTGTCACCCGTTGTGAACATATATATTGCCCCGAGTGTATCAAGCGTCTCAATCCAATTGCCTTTATGCTTATTCAGAAAGGAAATAGTAATGTCAGCGTGGCTTCAGAACTCAAATCAGAATTCGCATGTCCACAGTGCACAACTATACTGCGGCCTGTGGACTTGATTCAGATCCAAGATGATACCGAGGACAAAGTGGCTGCAACAGCTATTGGAGGACGTCAAACACATACGCGCACAGACGAGAACGGCATGCTTATCCACAGCACTAAGGTCAAGGCTTTAATGGATGACTTGACGCAAGCAGGCGAAATTGCGAAAAGAACGGGTGAGCCTATGGTCAAGAGTGTTGTGTTCTCTCAGTGGACAAGCATGTTGGATTTGATTGAGGTATAGAGACTAGGCTTTGATATTCTTTCATGAGCTTTTATGACTATGGCAATGATCAGTTACCAACTGATTTGACTCATTCGCTGTTTATCTATACTCTATTGATTGTTGCTATAGGATGGTCTTCGCGAGAATAAAATCAAGTTTACGCGTCTGGATGGAACAATGCAGCGGAGTGATCGTACAACAGCAATGATGCGCTTCAAAGAAAGATCTGATGTCAGCGTAATTTTGATCAGTCTTAAAGCAGGAGGGGTTGGCCTGAATTTGACATCAGCACAACGTGTATACCTCATGGATCCTCATTGGTAAGGAAGAAAGCAAGCTGACTTAATATGATCGGTCAGGATAATATAGACGGCTCTTTCAGTTTGAATCATTCTTTAACGTGGAGTTTTGATACGATTTGTACTGCCACTACTAGGAATCCTTCCGTGGAAAGTCAAGCTATCGACCGTATTCATCGACTGGGTCAGACCAAGCCTGTGGATGTGGTGCGATTTATTATCAAGGTAAAGTGAATAAACCAATGCAAGCATAGCGGAGCATTAGCAAGTTGCTTACCTTTTTTTATATATTTATTTATTCCCCTATTTAATATTAATAATACACGTGGTATAGGGATCCATTGAAGAGAACATTTTAGAACTACAGAAACGCAAGACGGAGCTCTCAGAGATGACATTTGCAGAGAAGCTATCGAAACAAGAGGTGATGAAGCGACGACTGGAGGATTTGCGTTATCTATTTCAAGGCTCTTCCGAGCTGATGAAAAAAGCCAAGGCAACCACATCATCTACATGATCATTACTATCGTAGTGATCTCTTTACTACCCATAATACCTACGCTTGCAATTTATTTTTTTGTTCTAGATAGCATATAATATATATATATAATCATGTACAAAAATATCTAAGAGATCATTACTGCATATAATGCAATAGTTTAATAGTGAAAGCATTCAAAACTGAGCTACTTCTTCATGGCTTCATTCGTTTCTGATTCTCCTCCTTTCTTCCTTTGCCACACCCTCCTTTTATCCTTGTCGCCATGTGTTTTCTGAGTTGATTCTATCTTGATCTTGGTCTCTAGCCTTAAATAGACCATTGCAGCAATATGCAATAATCAATTTCTCCCTTCCTTTTCCTCTTCCCCACATTCTCATATTTCCCTTCCGGATGACTATCCCAAATCTCTCTGCTGCCTGCATACCCTTCCTCCAAGCAGTGGCCTTCATCTGCGCATGCCTCAACATGTTGGCCGCCGGCTCAGTTTTTCTATTTGGGCTCTATTCATTCTACTTCACACATCACCTCGGCTATACACAAGTCCAAATTAGCACTACCATTGCGCTTGGTGAAGCTGGCATGTATGGTGTGGGACCTATCTGTGGCTTCATGGCGGATCGAGTTGGTCCTCGTTTGACTTCTCTTATCGCCGGATTTCTATTTATTTTCGGATACTGTCTTCTCTCTCTAAGCTACTCCACTGGTGTCGAGAGAGTCAAGCAGGGTCAGTCCCCCACTCATTTCCTACTCATGGCACTATGTCTTGGCTTGGTAGGAGCAGGCTGTAGCGCCAGCTACATGGCAGCGTATACGGCTGTAGCCAAGAATTCTAAGCAAATTCGCGGAATAGCCATTGGTTTGTCAACGCCCATCCGCATACATGTCTTCTAGCAATCTAAGAACTTATGTTACTTTGTCACACAATCCATTCTCATCCGCTCATCCCTAATAACTGCTCGATAGGCATTGTTTCCAGTCTATTTGGTCTGTCTGCAGCAATACTCACTTTGATCTCTCAGCAATTCTTCATGATCAAAATCAAGGAGCAGCTGAGCATCTGGCAAGAGACATTGGAGTTGGATGTGGCTCGGTTTCTATTCTTCCTTGGTATTGCTGGAGGCCTTATTAACGGCCTCGCAGCTTTCGGTTTGAAAATTGTGCCTGAACCCCGGACCATATACTTAGGACAAGATGTGCAATTTACCCAGGATGTTGAAGTCGTACAGACGAGCAGCTCGTATAACAGTCAGCAATCAGGTCCGATCCGACATAATAGGGATGAGCGGACACCATTGCTGCAGGACGATCAAATTCAAGATATAAGCACGAATGCTCATAGCTCACCAAACCATATTCGGCGACATGAGGTTATAGCTGTCAGTGGAAAGGATTTCTTCTTGGATAAAGATGCACAGGCATTCTTTGCGACGAAGATGTTCTTTTCGGGAGTTGGGTTGATGATTATTTACTCTATTACTGCCATGGTTGATGCTGTAGCGAGATCCGAGCTCTCATACCCTTCACCAACTTCTCATACCCGTATCGCGGACGACAAGAGCCCTATCGCGTCCATAAGGGCTGCTAACGTTGCGCTGATTAGCATATCAAGCTATATAGGACGCATGATTTCAGTATTTGGATCTGATATTGCCATCCGTCGTTATGGTGCCCATCGTATCTACTTCATACCTGCAGCAACAGTCGTAATGGCTCTAGCCCAAATCGTAGGCATGTTTGCATCGCTGAATTGGTTTTATTTGTGCTCAATCCTAGCAGGATTAGCCTATGGCGGGTTCTTTGGAGTCGCAAACACCATTGTTGCAGAGCTCTGGGGTACTGAGGTCTGTGGGCAAAATTGGTAAGTTACATGCCTCTGTATAAATATTACAGAAATCGAATGAACAACTATGATACTGACTCGTTTATCATATACTTCGTTGGTTGCGGCTTCATGTGAATACAGGGGATGGCTCTCTTGGGGATCAGCATTGGGTGGTATATTGTTCAATCTTATGTTTGGCATTGTCATGGATGCTTCACGACCAGTTGTCGATGGAGAGCCACAGGAATGTAAAGGGCACGGATGTTTCCGTCTGGCCCTTTTTATCTCATTTTTAGCCTGCACACTGAGCACCATATTGAGCATTGCTATGTGTATACGACAAAAAAAACGTGTTGGTATGGTCTGATCTCAATTTAGCTTCATTCTACATATTGTCATGTTAGTGGAAAAATATACAGCCCGTCGCGATCCCTTATATTTTTTGAATACTCTTAAATGTATTGGCAGCCAATTGACTCGCTTGTTATTGCAAGTGGTGTGACTGGTCATTAAAATTAACTTCAGTTTATTTTGTATCCACTAATCTGTCGAACCAGCTTAAAGGAATCTTTGCGCAAAGCCCTTTGTAGTCATAGGCGGGTCCGCCTCACCTAGAAACTACCGAGTATAAAAGCCAAAGAAACTTCCTTCTTAATAAAGTCTTCAGTTTTCCCCACATGTCTTATTCTTCACCCGCAGTTCATCTTGCCATTTATCTTTTTCCCCTTTTCACAACAAGCATTTGTCTTCCGGTAACTCAGTTTGTGAGCTCACCTATAAAGCTCCCATCTTTTCTTTTGACATTCTATGGCGCTGTTTGTAGTCAAGGTTATTTGACTCTATTTTCTCTTGTCAATCTTGTTGACACTCTTTGTCCTGCCTTTTCCTGATTGTGTCTATCTTTCTGTCCCTTAAGCAAAGATATTTTTTACAACAATGCCACCAAACCAATTTATTATGATTAAGATATGTGGGGTCTATATGTTGTCTAAATAGTCCTCCCCATAAAAAAACACCATCTAGACCAAGCATAGAAATAAAGAGATTAGTCAAGAAAGCACTGTCAAGCTAATACTTACAACTTTTTCAAGACGAAGGCCTTTCCCGACCTAGTCATGTTTGTAGTAGCTCATGAAAAATTTTAGACAGACAAATAGTAACCAGGGAGCAGAAGTGAGAATAGGATGTGGGTTCACACATCACATCCATGGGGCATTTATCCAAATTTGTATCAAAATAAAACTGCAAGTTTGTCTCGGGCACCACACCATGGGGCATAGAGCTGTTAGTATGTCTGTATAAATTTTCATGTAACACGTGTACTGTGAAATATGCAACTGATCATATCCTATTGTTGTTGCCGGCTTGGTGTCTTTCCTCCCCATGGATTCAACGAAGGCTATTTTGATATCTCGAGTTTGGACTCAACCTGTCAGTGAGCATTGGTGCAACGCATATAAGGCACACAGGCTGTTGACGAGCCTACTTCTCACCTTCACCGTTTGATGCAGGTCAGGGTTGTGACGATCTAGCGAAGAAACGTAAGGGCATTAACAATACCAGGATCGCATTAGACGGTAGTTGTGGTATTTGCAGATGAGCATCGCCCTAGCTCATGGAATATGAGTCCAACGTTTTCAAGAAGTTTGGGGCTCCTCTTCCAGTTTATGTTTGCGTAGTCTTCATCTGTCAGGTCTTCACCGGCTGCCTTTAAAACACGCCGTGTTAAGGAATCCTTGAGAAAGTTTCAATTCCTGGCTGAGATCTTCTTCATCTACGTCAGACTGCTGCTGTCTCTTCGTCTGGACTGTGTCATAGGCAAGTGGATTCATAACAAGGCCATTGGTAAAATCGTTCCTTTGAGTTTGAGCCGAGTTATACCTTTGTCTTGTGCCTGTAGGGGTACCTTGTCTTGATAGCCATGAAACATGCGATCTCCTTCAATGTCACAAAGAGAGCCTGTATCTAGACCTCTTTTGTTCCCTGTACACATTCAAACACTGCAGCCTTGGAAGGGTTGTCGAGAGGATGTCAGTTAGGACGTGTTCAGACAGATACACATACCGAGGGGGGACGTAAGGAAGTCTGTTTTTTTTTTTTATTTTTTTTTATTTTTTTTATTTCTTGTTGATTGTCATGGCGAAGGCTTGATTTGGTAAATGTAGATGATTGGAGAAGAGCTGTAAACAATACTCGAAATCCAAAAAGTTAAAACTTGTCGCTGAGAATCTTGTTGTTTCGAGTTGTTCCAAATTCATCAGCCTTTTGTTTCGTTCTCTTTCATACACCTATAAATACGTCCTGCCTCCCTCTCTTTTCCCTCTCTCTCTCTCTCATTTTACAACGACATTGCTTTCGCGCTCTCACCCGTACTCTTACACCCTCATCCCCGCATAGATCATAACTTTTTGCTTTCTTAAAGGTAAACTATCTCTACTCTAACAACTTCAGCTTCAATCTTTAGCCGCTTAAACCAACATTGCTTGCACTGTTTTACACTATACTTTCTCTAGATGGGTATTAAAGGAGTCTATTCATACCTTTCAAGGAGAGACCTGCCACCAAAGGAGATTGATGTACAGTCACCTGAAATAAAGTTTGGACAAAATGGATTTTCTTGATTTTTTTTTGAACAACCTGGACAAACAGCTCATATGCAACATACATAAAGACTTCATCAATACACATGAAATTTTACATGCTCACTAAAGAGGTCAATACTGTTATTTATTGGGGTTTTGAAGACGGCATTGTTAGAGTAGCAAAAGTGCCATGTAGGTTCAATAGTGAGTGTTCCTACCATCGACCCCATTCACTTCTTCCAGCCTTTCGGGCATGGTAGCGACAAGGCTGGCCAGCCTCTCTTGCGGTAAATTATTCCACTCTTCGATAAGAGCCCGTGTGAGAGTGGGAAGATCTCTTGGCCCTTTAGCGCGCCTATCGAGTGCATCCGCAAGAAGTGACCATACATGTTCAATAGGGTTCAAATCTGGGGAGCATGAAGGCCAGTCTGGAATCCTCGGGATGCTGTTTTTTTCGCGCCATTCTTTTGCAATCTTACAAGTATGAACTGGAGCATTATCCTCCATAAGTATGCCATCCCCTACCTCAGCCATAAATCTGGCTAGCTCGCCTTGATATACATCTTCCACGAAACACCGTCCATCTTTACGACCTCTTTCAAATACAACCAACCGAGACTTTCTGGTTGCTGTGAACGCCCCCCAGACCATCAGAGTTGTTCTACCACTTTTGAAAGTGGGTGCGAGGCAATCATGATCGTACTTTTCCTCTACTTTACGCCAAACTCTTATTTGACGAAAATGCTCACCAACTTCAAATGATTCGTCAGTCCAAACTACCCGATTCCAGTCTTCCATGGACCAACTCATATATTTTTTGACAAACTGCAGCCTCCTTTTTATATGTCCTTCTTTTAAGAATGGTTTTTTTACTGCAATCCGGCTGAAAATACCCAGTGAATGCAATGCCTTCGCAACTGTCCTCTCGCAAACTTTGTTCGGCAATTGGTTAGTGATATCATTAAGAGTACACCTTCTATTCTGCTTAGTATGGCGAACGATGCTCCTGAGGTCCCGTTCACTTAGTACTTTGGGCCGTCCTGGGATCGGAGTGCAAGCAGTGGTGCCTCTTTCTTGGTACACCCTGATAATATTAATAACAGAGGTTCGGGGTACACCGCGTTGCAATGCGATTTCTGCAGCCTTCATGCCCGCGAGGTGCATTCCAACGATGATACCTTTATTCTCAATGTCTAAGTGTCTCGCCATGGTGGTTTACTCAAGCTGTTTGTATGTGAAAAACAGGAAGGAAAGAGATTGAAGGAAACGCTTCCCTACGTAACTATTTCAATATTTTATTTTTTTGTCCAATCTTTGTTTTAGGTGACTGTACATGAGCTTGCTGCTGAACCCCATTCATCTTTTGAGCTGGATCTGCTTGGCACTTTCCACAGCGATATACATAATATCATCCTAAGGAGATTCAGCCGGCAGAGTTCTTTCACTGCCTGCGGCCATGCTATGGCTAGTATCATTCGAAAAATCTTTGGTCCTCTTGCCACAGTGACGATACACATTGATGGGCCTCGCTGCGAAGAAAAAACGCGCGCCTATAGGGACCGAGATGCTAAGCGTACAGCAGCGGATGCAAAACTCGATACGCTCATAGCCAACATGGAAACCAAGTCCAATGAAGGCAAATGGGAATCTCGAAGCCATATGATTGCTATTAAAAAGAATCTTCGACAGCTCTTCACATTCAGTCATAACGAGAAGAGGGAGCTCGCGGCGCCATTCGGTCGATACAATAACTTTGTGATTTGCCATTGTAGAAATGAGGCTGATGTGTGTATTGCCGCCAAATGTACACCAACCAGTATCGCTGTGTCTGGGGACTCTGACCTTCTCATCTATCCTTCTATAAAAGGAGTTCTTCGTCCAATCCCTCGTCGCCATCACATGTTTGCACTCTATGAGAAACAAGAGGTCCTGCAAGCCCTTGGGTTTTCAAGGGACAGTCAACTCCTGGTCTATGGCGTTATATCCGATAACGATTACACCCCAAATATCCCAACCTTTGGTCTTGCTACAAATGCTGAGATTATCTCCGCGCTCACTGACACTGATGCCGAAAAGTTGACGGTATCATATGTTCGTGAGGTCCATGCCCGTAGCCGTCGAACTCCTGCAGAAGGCCAGTTTGACCATTCAATTAATGTTTTCTTTGGTGGGATCCAAACCCAGGCCTCGCAGCAACCAACCGCTGAAAGATTACTTCATTACCATGATAGAATGAGGACTGCGATAGCTGCTAGGTACCAGAATAAAAATAATCAACCTCAACCCAGGTAAGCTCCTTCAAATGAACATTTTCCAAAGCATATACAAAAAAAAAAAAAAAAAAAAAAAAAAGTCATCTAACCCCTGTAACCCTTGACATTGTTGTTCCTAATTAGATTCTATATCCCTAAATGCGCAAAGCCGAATCGCACCCAGAAAAAGGAACTTTCCCCTAAGAAAAATGACCTGACCAACTGCAAACAACACGACCGTCCCGTCAGCTCCAGCCGTCAAAGAAAGTCCCCCAAAAAAAAAGGAAAAGGAAAAAAAAGAGGATGAGAAAGAAGAGGAGGTTAAGGAGGAAAAGAAGAAAAAAAAGAAGAACAAAGGGAAGGTCAAGTATAACAGAAAGACTGATAAGACCAGGAAAGTGAAGGAGGCTACTGCCGAGGACCGACGGTTGAAGAGGGCCCACCCCACTGTTGCATTAACTCTGGGCACGTTAAAGACATGTGTAGTTGCCAAGCTGGACTCTACTTTCGATCCCAATCTCAATCCCGAGCAACTTGCTGCAACAATTCAAGGGCTCATTCAATCATTTATTAAAATGTTGAATGAGGCACGGATTCGAGCTTTCTGGGCCTGCGCCTTGTGGATCGATAACCTGCTTACCACTGGGCCATCCAATCCAGCTGATCTCCCACAACTCCTAGATGAAGTTCTTGATAGCAGGGACTTTATTTACGGCCTTGCTGCGTTGTTGTATCACGGAGTGATGAGTCCATTATCTAGGTATAGCAGGGAAGTGAAGAAAAAAGGCGAAGGGAACGTAGCCAAGCCGTCCCAGCTCAAAGCATACGAATACTTCTATGCAAAGACAGGGCTTGGTCCTTTAAACCAGATCTATCCCGATTTGGTGATCAGCAAGTCGTATCGGATGGTCATGGTCCCTGTTCAAGCAGCGCTAAGGTCTCACTATCGGAATGCGCAGGAAAATATAATATTATAATATTTTGAGGTTATCTTATAATATGTTTATAGAAATGTTCCTAATCATTTCTTCAATATAATGTCTAATTTGACATAGATATTCCAGGCGATGGAAGAAGCTCCATCCAATTCTTTTTTGAGCAAAATGCAACTGCCAAAAAATATCTGGATTTCCCTACGTCTGCTTTCTCACCTTGGTCTCTCTGCCTAACGGAAGCCTGCCTCCTGGATATATTATCGTCTAACCCAACAGTTCGAGAGGAAATAGTCCAATTGTTGGAACTAAACATGAGTACCAAGGGGGCTGCTGAGGACAAGATCCTTAACCACAAGGGGATATTGTTGCAGGAGCTGTTTTCCTTGAAAGGATACAAGGACGTTGGACTGCAATCTGATGATGGCCCTAGAAGGAAACTACGGACATCGTTCTTTACAAACGGCCTTACCCTAACACTTCTTGCCTATGACACATCGAAGCAAAAAAGAGGTAGAGGTTCGCAAGCTGCCCAACCTTCGGATACTCAAAGATCTCAAGCAGTCCAGGCTTCTTCAAGTGCTCAGCAGGGGTCCTCGTTTTCAGGCCATGGTGCAGGCGATGGTGGTGATGATGGAGACGACGACGGAAATGAAGATGACGATATCTTGCTGGGTATCAGCGATATTGACTTGCTGGAAGTCGATGAACCATTCTTAGATGGCAACGAGGGAGAAGAAGCAGCTGAAGAAGGTACATCGAGCACAAATCCACTGTCCCCGGTGAGTCCCAGTCCCCAGCGTGAGATCAACTAGAAGCAGAGATCGCGTCTCCTCGAGAATGTAGAAGTTAAATATGACACTCAGGCAGCATGCCCTCCCCCCGAAAGTATTGGGATCGATCCAGGCGAGAGGTACTCGATGACAATTGCAAAGTTGGATCCAAGGAAACCTAACGAACGTGAGATCCTCCGGATTTTTAGAGCGTACCTTTACAAACCATCCAAGAAGTTTCAGGGCGAGCTAGAGAGGCGAAAGCTTAGAAGAGGAATTACAGAGATTGAAAGCAATATTCCGTCATTCTCAAGGCCTACTTTAACACAGTATTTCGCTTATATGAGCTTGCCGCCAAATCAAGCTCCATCAAGTACTGGAGGTAGTTTCTCTGGTAGTGGGGTTAGGGTCAGTAGTAGTAGTGGAGCAGAGAGATCTGGGACCAGTGACGACAATAGGGAGACTATATATAGGACGCTTGTCGATTTCTATAATGACGGGTGGTTTGTTCGGAATAGCTGGGATATTAGAAAAGCACAGAACAGATGCGTTGATTATGTGATCAAGGCAATTCTGAAGCTTGCGGGCGGAAGCAATGGAAGAAGAAGAGATGCCAATACGAATGCGGTGATCTGTATTGGGCTTGGATCATGGGATATTGATGAAGAAGCTTGTTGAAAAGGTAAAAAAAAAAAAAAAATCCCTTGATCAATGACATTTAATTTTTGAGTCTCTTTTTTAACGAGTATTAAATCTGGCTCGAGCAGGCAAAATCTCTAGACTACCCCATTGCAGGTTGTCATGAATACTACACATCTGCCAAGTGTCCACGGCCTCACTGTGACAGTATATTGGAGAATGTTCCTTTTCGATCCAAGTACTGTCGAAATTGTAAAGCATACTTTGATCGAGATGCTGTTGGTGCTGAGAACATCGCAAGGGTCTGTGAGTCGCAGATAAGAGAGCAAAAACGACCTGCAAAATATATGCCGCCGGACGGAGGAACTCAAGGCCAAGCTTCTAGCGGTAGTGGCGGCGGTGGAGGTAGTGGTGGCAGTGGTGGCAGTGGTGGCAGTGGTGGTGGTAGTAGCAGACCCACAAAAAGGAAATTTTCAGATGAAGGAGGAGGAGGAGTAGAGGGATCAAGACCACCGAAAGGACCTTTGCTGGGTCCAGGAGGAGGGGGAAAGACAAGCCGGCAACAACAGTAGGACACAATCTACTACAAACATGACTAGGTCCAGAAAGGCCTTCGTCTTAAAAAAATTGTAAGTATTGGCTTGATAATACTTTTTATTTCTTTGTTCTAATACACTTCTTCTTTTAACACTAGATGGAATGTCTCGTTTTTTAATGGGACGGACTATACAATACAAATACACAGACTATCACGATGTGGTAAAACCTAATAACCCTCAGTGTGGAACATTCCCATGAAAAGTAAGAGTAATAGCTAAAAAAAAATTGATCGCATGGCACAATCCTCAATTGCATGGTGTATCACATCAATGGTTACACCTATCTTGATTACACTACCACCTTCATGTTGCCGTTCAGATGTGAAACGGAAAATACATTAATATTAAAAAAATAGCAAGTATAAATGAAAGCTCAAGAGAAGCAGAAATAAAGAATCATCTGAGAAATGCATGTTGTTTGAGCAAAGTACCATACGTAGTACTGTTAGTGAGCATGAGAGCATTGCATTCAACAATGACAATAAATATGTTGCGCTCGGTTGTGAATATTTATTTTTGCTCAGCAAGCAAACAAAGTAACCCATTCTCATTAATTGAATTCTTCATCCAAAAAAACAATTGCAACATATTATTATTTTTTGTTCGACTCTTCCTATACGTCTCGACCAAACTATTCTAAAGACAAGTAGATCTTCACTCATCTCAAAATGAGTCAGCGATCTCAAGCACACGCATCAACTTCCACATTAGGATCCGATGAATGTACGAAGCTAAAGCCACTTCCACCAGCGCACGCACCGCAAGCGTGTGAGGACCCGTCCAAGGCTACACCATTTGACATGTCTATCCTAACTATATCTCACCGCAAAGATGTCAATTCCATTAAAGCCTTGATTGTGGGTGGTGGTATCGCTGGTCTCTCTCTCGCCATTATGATGGATTTAGCAGGTATTGAATATGAGATTTTGGAGCGTTGTAGCGAAGACGAAGCTGGGAGAGGGGCAGCTCTTGCTCTGGGCCCGCCCGTACTGCGGTTATTGGATCAAATGGGCCTTCTAGAACAAATTGAAAGGGCGTCGAAGCCAATCTCAGGCTTGAGTGTTGTCGATAGCGAGTGTCGAAAGCTAGGTCGAATTGAAAGTCCTGAGAAAGAGAGATATGGATATCCATTTCGGATCATGACTCGACCTGCGTTTTACAAGATTTTGCTGTCAAGGGTTCCTCCAACAAATTTACATCGAGGCAAGGTTGTGGTAGAAACGCTTCAAAATCCTAATGGCGTTTCTTGCAAGTGTTCAGATGGATCAACCTATTATGGTGACATTGTGGTCGGCGCCGATGGCGCCCAAAGTCTGACTCGCCAATGCATGTTTAAACAATTAGCAGATCAAGGGAAATTGCCTGATGCTGATATGGTACCATCCACCTACGAACACATTTGCATCACCGGCCTCTCAGATCCACTTAGCCAGAGTAACTATCCCACTGTGTCGGATGAATGTTCAGAATTCAGAGTGATCTATACAAAGGAACAACCTTACTCTGTAGGTGAAGCGAGATAAGGACATGAGCTGCACGCTCTAGCGCTCTTTTTTTTTTTTTTTTTTTTTTTTTTTTTTTTCGCTTTCTTTCGATGCATTCAACAACAATCATATTAATACCTTATTTCTATACACATGTATAATTATTTGTCTCTTTCTAGTTCTGGTACACGCCAGTGCCTGGTGACCGTGTCGCTTGGGGTATCAATGGATTGCTGCCATCATCTAAACAACGATCGTCCAATTATGGCAACAACGATGATACGCCTTCACCACAGCCTAAAATCTACGATGACTGGCTCGCTCCTGCGCCAGATTTTGAAGAGCAATTTCAAGAACTCTTCAACGCACGCTGTGCAATGGGCGTGGGGAGCGTACGTGATTTTTTGAGTCATACACCACGGAAGCATATCACCCGAATCGATATAGAGGAACGCCTTTACAAGACTTGGCATCATGGTCGCATTGTTCTTGTAGGCGATGCGTGCCATCAGCAACTGGTGTTTGGAGGCCAAGGAGCGATCCAATGTCTATTGGATAATGTGTGTTTAGTCAACCTACTCTATGACATGGAACACAACACTCCGAACGAGATCAACAAAACATTTAAAAAGTATCAGATGAAGCGAAGCACAGTGGTCAAGATGTCTATCGACGACACCAACCACTTGGACAAAGTTCTTCACAGCCAAGGATTCCTTGCGGGCATGATGCGCAAGCTAATCTTCAGTGCTGCCTTGGGTCTCAACGCAGCTAATGACAAATTTAACAATAACCGACCACAACTTTCTTTCCTCCCATTTGTTGAGGACAGAGCTACAAGCAAGGCTTACAAGCAAAAGATTTCAGCTAGGCTTTACAAAAGTCAACAGGAAGACACTTTCATGTAATCATAAACCCATAAACCCATAAACCCATAATCATGACTAATCATTTCTACATATCCTTTTAAAAATTAATAAATACTCATACGCATTTCTACAAGAAACAAAAACACGGGGTTTTAGATTGCATGCATGGGCGCAGAAATCATTTTATTACAAACATCTCACGCGGTCCGTGCAAAGCTCCACGGTACCGAAAAAGAAATATTTTCCTTTAAAGATCCTTCTTCAAGGTGCCTTGGAATTGCTGACGCTCATCGCGGGTCTGGAAGCGACCGTGACCGAACTTGGAGGAGGTATCGATGAACTTGAGCTGAACGTTCTCCAAAGCAGAGCGCTTTGTGTGGACCAAAAGAGATTTGCGGAGAGTAACGACGCGCTTCTTGGTACCAGCGCAGCATCCCTTGATCATGACGTAGTCCTCGTTGACAATACCGTAGTGAGGGAAGCCACCGAGAGGAGTGATGGCCTTCTCAGTCAAATCGTAGTCAGTCTTAGCATTGGACTTGTCCTCGCCCTTGCCAATGCGGTAGATCTTCTTATTGACCTCAGTACGGTGATGGTAACCGTTCTGACCAGCACGGGGAACAGAGAACATAACACGGGAAGGATGCCAAGCTCCGATACAAGCAACCTTACGAAGACCTTTGTGGGTCTTGCGAGGAAGCTTCTTGGTACCCCAACGGTGAGTAACACCCTCGAAACCGTGACCCTTGGTAACAGCAATGACATCAATCATCTCATCCTGCTCCAATACAGAGCTAACGTCAACGGTCTTCTCAAAGTGCTCGTAGGCAAACTTAACCTTATCAGCGACGGAGCCTCCGTTCAACTGAACCTCCATGACATGGGCCTTCTTCTGACCAATCTTGACCTTTCGGACCTGAGTGTGGACAATGACACGAACGACTGAGCAGTATTTCTTGATACGCTCGAGCTCACGGAGAATGGGCTTGGCACCGTTGGCGTGCTGCTTAGCGTACTTGGTGAAGGCCTTTTTCTTGGAGCGATACCAGTTCTTGTAGAAGCGGCGCTTGAGCTCCTCAGACAAGTGCTCAGCCCAGACGGTGGTCAAAGAGCGGAGACCACGAGGAGTCTCGACGTAACCGACAACACCAACAACAACCATAGGAGGGGTTTCGATGATAGTGACGGCCTCGACAATCTCCTTCTTGTGCATCTTGGAGCCGGGACGATCCAAGTCACGGACAACGTGGGTCATGCCGGCCTTGTAACCCATGAAGGCGGTCAAGTGCACGGGCTTGGAAGGATCATCCTTAGGGAAGGACTTGGCTTTTCCTCTGTGGCGAGCGGCGCGCTTGCGAGGCAAGAATCCAAGGGAACCGTGACGAGGTCTCTCAAACTTACGGTGAGACTAATTATATGAAATGCCGTATATACACACAGAAAGAAAAAAAACATCCAGGTCTTAGGTCAGCCAATGCGCTTCAATAGAAATATACTATGCAGTTTCGATATTGCTGGCGTCCGAATGATTGATAGAAAAGGATCCCTAAGGCCATAATAATATATCAAGCAGATTGGTGGGATGTATCGACTTAACGTTCATGCCTCTAGGATCAATACTCAAATGTAACAAGGTTGCTGGCCATGCATTGCTCGTTAAAAGAAGTTTTCCATTCTGATTTAGTCGGTCTATCCAGATATTATTGTGGTAAAGCGAAAATGTCATGATCCGTCCCAAATTGCTCCATGAACTGAATGTGAATGAGAAACCATCAATGATAGGTATTGCACATATAACTGTGAATCCAATGTAATGTAATGCAGTGTATTGGAATGCTATCCATCATCTAATACATAACCAACCGTGAATGGATGGATGGATGGATGGATGGATGGATGGATAGATAAAGAATGGATGGATGTGTCCCAATCGTTTTTTTATCTTTATACCATTGTAGCCGAGAATGATTTAGAGAAGGAGCAAACCACAAATGGCTTACAGCAGACTCAAATACACACACATTGATTCTTGAATTTGGTCAAGTCACGTGGATATGGCCTAAATAAGCCACTTAGCATAAGCAAGCTGGCATTTGGGTTCTTGAAATGTTCAAGCGTTCATGGCTGTGTCCTTCAGCCTTTGTCCTTCGGCCTGTGCGTTTGCGTGTGCCGATATTGTTGTCGTTGTCGTTGTTTCCGTGCTTACAATATTACAATACGATAAACACAGACCTTTGAAAATACGCAGGACCAAAGGGCTAATGGTCTCTACTAATAGGTCTTAGTTACTATTTTTTTCTTAGTGTTGCACCTGCACCCCTTGAATGTTTAAAGGCTAGGAATTCTTCCTTTTCCCTTTAACCTATTGATGATATGGCGCTAGTGTAAAACACTCTTTATTCGCAAATATATATTTTGTAATGTATTCTTCCACAGATATAAATGAAGTCTACTTTTGCCGCACCATCGCTGTTACCGGGTAATTGTCATAGAGGAAAGAGAAAAAGGAAAAGGAAGAAACCTTATGTTATGAAAAATGCTCTCAATGCTCATTATTGGAATTGATGAAATATACCCACACACCACACAATACCACAATATTTCTTTTTCTTTTGGCAACGACCATGTTGGTGTGTGTACGTTTATCTTAGCTAACCTCTGTTAAAAAAAAGGTAGGGCAAGACAAGACAAGGCAAGGCAAGGCAAGGCATAGGATTCTCAAGAAGAATGATTAAAGAGGGGTGCGAGAGTGAACAGGCGCTAGCCGGGGCAGTGTGGGGAACAGGGAGGGTGGGTCACAACTAAAAAAAAAAAAAAAAAGCCTTTCACAAACAATGGATGTGTTCATTATTTTTCTTCCCAGTTTGATAAGTCGGTTAGTCAGTTGAATTGTGCATTTGCATATTCATTCATGAATGTATTTTTTCTATTCTTAGGGCTATTTTCCAGACAGTAAAAGGCCTCTCTTGGCCACCCCACTTTTTGTTTGATAATGCAACAATTAAAATAAAAGGGACCGTTCGACCAAACTCAGCTCAACATCAAAGATCCTTTCAAAAGATTGAAGATTTAAGCGCTTGTTTGAGTTTTTTTTTTTTTTTTCTCTTTCTTTCTTTTCTTCACCCGCCAGTTTATTCCTTCTTCACCTTTACCTTCTCTCTCAATCCTACAAAACGCAAACAGCGGGTCTCCTGTCTGAACACACACTGATATAATAATTCTACCCTTTCATCCCATTTCATCACATCCACATTAACCTTGTGCTCAGTTACGAAGTAGCTCTAAACATCATGAAGGCCGTTTTCTCTACTGTGGCATTTGCCATCCTAGCTACTGCCGCCACAGCTCAATTCAACCCTACAGATTTCCCTCCTGTCAATGAAGTGCCCCCAATCGACTCGCCTCAAATGAAGCAGTGGCTCAAGGATATTTCCTTTGCTGATGTCCCCACCTTCCCTACGCACACTGGAAATCCACCTATATGCCCTACAATCGATAAAATCCCTGCTGACCAGTGCTGGTGGACATGTCAAACTTGCCCCGCTGATGATATTGAATCTTGTCCCACGCCTGGGACATGGGGTCTTACTTTTGATGATGGTAAGACAGTACAGTTGTTATTATTGAGCCTTTGTATTTTCTTTTTCCTGTCCTCGCTCTTGCTTAATGATATCTTTGAGCACGCTTGAATAAGCATCATCTCAGTGTGGTGTACATCAGCAGTTGTGAATGTCAGTTACAGTGATGGCCAACGTCTTTGTTTGACATTCATATGCCCCCTGCATCCTGTTTTGGTGATTCATATTAATTACTTAACTTCTCTTATTAACGACTAACAGGCCCAACTCCTGAAACACCACCTCTGTTGGATTTCCTTAAGACTAACAATATCAAGGCCTCATTCTTTGTCATGGGAAGTAACGTCGTCCGCAATGCAGAAGTATTGAGGCGGGAGGTTGCTGAAGGTCACCATATTGCCTCTCATACCTGGTCCCATCACGCTCTAACCACCCTCTCCAACCAGCAAATCGTCGCGGAGTTGAAGTGGACTGAGAAAGCCGTTTTTGATATCACTGGTCTGCGCATGAAGTACATGCGTCCTCCATATGGCGATATTGACAATCGTGTCCGTGCTATTGTCAAGAAGCTGGGTTACATTGTTGTTGATTGGTATGTGTTTTCGTTTTGTTTTGCGTCTTTTCGTCTTTTACTCCAGCTGTCGGCTCATTCATGCCATGGTAAGAGAATGTCCGGAAAAACAAAGACAGGCTTCCTTATCATTAACATACCACGTCTATTGTTCTTACAGGACAAGCGACGATTATGATTCTAGGGACGTTGCCTTGAATGCCAATCCCTCAGGCCTTGATGCAGCTCTTCGTAGGATGACCAACAATCTCATGACCTATGGTGCAAACCCTGGTGCCAAAGGTATCATCACCCTTGAGCATGATCTTTACCCAGTCACCATCAAATTTGCCCAGGCTATTGTTCCTGTGGGTGCTCAGGCAAAGCTCAAGGTTACCTCTGTTGCTGACTGCCTCGGTGATGCTAATCCCTACCAGAACAGCGTCAACCTCCCTACCAACACCACCAAGACACATGGTTCGCCTAGTGGAACCGGCAAACCTTCTGGTCCTTCTGTCCTTCCCCCCGGTGGTGGTGCCAATGCTCTTACGATGAACAGTGGTGTTTTGATGGCGATTGTGGCTATTGCTGGCACTGTCCTCGCCGCCTTCTAAACATGGAAAGAGACATCTATAGACAAGATCGCTAGGGGTCATGGTGGTCGTCCCTCGTGAGCTGTTCTTTGACATGAACCACTTTAGAATTTTATAAAAATATTTATTATTAAAAGTCCTGTTTACTTGAGGAGACTGCGGCATGCTCATTGACACATCCAGTTTCTCACTATCATGCTGTGCTGCATTTGCAATTATTTCACAGCTTGTAGACATTACTCCATTATTACAAAAGATATAGTTTGGTTGATGTTTCCTTGAAGCTTGAATCATGTTCAAACAACACAGTTACTTATGGGTCATGAAGCAGTTAATAATCAGCTGTAATAACACCTAATCTAGTCTTCGCGATCAATTTGAAAAGTGTGTTATCGGGCCCAAAATATGTGTATGTATAATATACACCCATCATGATGTCGCCCGTACGCACAGACCAGATGGCACCCTCATGTGACAATGGCTTCTCAACTGCTGGGATAGTTTATTTGTACCCAAGTGAGTCATTTGTATATGCACTTTTTCACAAATCGTCAGTTTGAGATAACATGCTGTCATTCACAATCATTTCTTGATCATTCTTCATCTCATACATTCACTCATCCATCTATCCATCGTTCTCTTCTTCTTTCCATTCCTTACTCATTTTCTTCTGTTTCCCTACTTTTTTTTCCCTGGCGACATACTTGTGTCTTTTTAGGATATTTTGATCATCAACACTATGCCGCCGCTACCCCCTCCACAAGCCCCAGCGCCTAAGTTACCACACTCACGTCAAGTAGTAGCCAGATTAGCCCCCGAGATAACCCTCCATATTCTCTCTTTCTTACCTTACCATGACCATCCAAGTGTCCTTTGGCCCATCCTGACTCTCTGCAAGTCCTGGGCTCGCCTTGCTCTCGAACTCCTCTATGAGCAGCCTGTTTTGTCTCGTAGCTCAATCGATGCTTTCATTACAACCCTTTCACTCCAAGATAGACTCAACGGCGAAACAATCTTCTGGGATACACAACCGCCTGTTCCTCATGCGCGTCACAACCTTGGCATTGACTATCGCTCTCTTATTAAAAAACCTTGCCGCATCATTGGCCCCGACGACTTTGTCAAGGAGGACTTGATCCAACTTTGGGATCTACAGGCACTTCTCTGGACAGCGCCTGCTTTCTCAAGGATTGGCTTTTCTTCGTCCTCCTCTGCTTCGGCTTTGTTGAGCCCAACTGGTCCAAAAACATCTATTTTGCCTTTATCTAACATAACAGCTTCTACAACTCCTTCTGAATCATTGAATATTACTACATCTACACATCCACCAACCTCTACTAAGCCTGTCCTACAACGGCGAAAGAAAAGGTCATTACCGCCACCAGGGCCTGTTGTTATGCTACTGGATGTATCCAGAGTCATTTCAGATCCAATTCATGAGATTCTTCGCGAAGTCCCTGGGATGAAATTGCAACGGCTCTACTACAAGTGGCTTTTAAAAGTTCCACTCCTGGAGCTTCTTGAAATGAATCTGCCATATCTTCAAGAGCTGACATTTTCGCGTCCACCTACAAGGCATAACGAGTTTATGGCTGTAGCTGAGATTCTTGGCCGGGCCAAGCAACTTAGGTCCTTAACACTCGACCACTGTCAGGCAGCAGGTAATACTGTTCTTACACAGCTTGCTCGATCTTGTGGATCGTCATTAAGGACACTGGAGATCCGCCAGCCTATCACGATCAGGCCCATGGGTAATCACTCGCTCTTTCCTGTCGATGGTCCTGCGGACTGGGATAATGGTAGCAATCAGAATTATAGCAATAATAATGCCGGTAATAATTATGATAATGCGGAAATGGAGGGATCATGTCACATCTGTTCACAATGCTTCAGCCTCAGTACTGTGGATACAGCAGAAGGATCAGCAGAGAGCAATGTCAGCGAGCTTAGCGTACCAGAAGCACCAGTAATAACTCCTTCGGCGACGGTTGCACTGGGCAGTAACATCTCAGTGCAAGTAGATGTTGAATCCAGGACTGATTTAGCACTCAAAGAGCTTAGCCACCACTGTGCACATTTAGCACGCCTTCGGTTGCAACATCTTACTTGGCTCTCGGACGACTCATTGGCCGACTTTCAACCTTGCTGGGACGGTAGCGAGAAGAGAGAAGGATTGGTGGAGATTGAGCTTCTGGATTCGTACTATGGATCACAGGTGACAGTGGAGGGTCTACTGGATCTATGCGGGCCTAGACTAAAGGTTTTCGTTGTGGACAGGAAATCCTGTTGGCGTACAAGGACCAACCTCAAGGCGGAAAAGCACCCGTCATCTAGGCTTAGCAGAGCTTGTTCTCGCTGTCAAGAAATAGGTCAGAGCATGGTCATATCAACAGGCGATCGACTTGTATCAGGACTAATGCACAGAGAGAACAACACGAAGAGGATACGTTGGTTGGAGACACTAGTGTTGATCGAGCACTGGGTATCCCTACCTATACTTAAAGCTGCCTTAGAGTGCTGGTTTTTAACCTTGCGAGTCTTGAACGTCCGTTTGTTTAAATGCTCCATGGAGGTAATATGTTTTTCAATCAGTCCAACAGCAATGGCGTTTTTTTTCTTTATGAATGAAGTGCTAATAAGCTAGTTTGGTTGGAACCCATTATGATGGTATAGAATCTATCAAATGCATTGAATCCTGTGACATCTGAAATATGCTCAAGTGCACTAGAGAACATTACACTAGGTCTCCCGTGGGTAGATGTTGGTAGCGACGATGTTTCAGAGCTAGTGAGAAGGACTTTTGCGACCCACATGAGTCTAAGTTGTCTCGAGATTAACAAGCATATCTGGCAAAGGAAAGATGTCGGTGTTTCAGAAGGTCCTGCTTCGTCAAGTTGAAGCCTCAAAAACTTGTGTGCAACACAGAAAAATATATATGGCGGGGACATTTCATGATACGGATTGTCTCTTTTCATCGATCAGTCAACCATTACCGGCATTATTGGCTAAACTAAAAGTTCCATGGCTCAACTTTCGATCGTTGAAAAAAATTGGACAATCGGCAGAACCACCTTTTCTCCTTATTTTCGTCTATCCCCTGGATGGCCCTTTTTTTTATTTTATTTTATTTTATCAAAAATTGGTATAAACTCCTTTCGCCTTTTTGTTTTCCAATACAACTAGGCATTGGAATATGGAGGCATATGTGTTATATGTCATAATGCGACAGATTTTAGCGGTCTGTTCGCCTTCTTCCTGTCGGGACACAACCTTATCGAAAGACTTCCTTCCGAGCTTCGAAGGTTGCGGGAAAAAATAAAATAAAATATGTCATCTTGTCACTTTTTTCCCATTCACTTCTGTGCTAATATTTACTTCCAGGTATTGTTTGTAGTAGGATTATATGTATCACTTTTTTTTTTTTTTTTATTTTTTATTTTTTTTGGCGGGAAAAAATAAAGACCATAAAAATGACCATAAAAGGATACATTTGCGTAAAAGTGAATTTGCCCCTGAATTGACCATTGCTCCCCCGTCCCTGTTCAAATCCAAGGCCAATGATACCTGTCATTAAAGCCTCAGTCATCTTTTGCCGTTAGTCAACTGTCTATATTCATACATGTTAGTCATTCTGGACCCAAAACACACTTTCCACATTTTGTGTTTAAAAAAAGTACATGCACCACCAACAACCACTGGTTAGTATTTTTGTTCTTTCAATTTACCCCTTTTTCTCTCTTCTTCCTCTTCCTCTTCCTCTTCCTCCTGATCCTTATCCCTGCCCCTTTTTTTTTTCCTTTTCTTATTCACTCATTTCCAATTCCACCAACTATAGCATTTTCATCAGCATCGGTATCAAGGGCATTTATTATTGGTGTCAGCATTAAGACCTCTATCGCGTGAATATCTTCACTCTTCAAAAGCATTCCAGATAGACACAGGGATCTGCCGAAAAGGAAAAAAACTCCTGTTCGTTCGTCATCGTACAAAAAAACCACACAGAAAAACACTCGCACATAAATCTTTTTGGTAGGACCATGGCCATGTAAACTTCTGTAGCCACATCCAACTGTTGAACCAGTTTTTTTTTTATTATTATTTTTGGAGGAAGAAAGAAGGAGGTGTGCCAGTCTATTCACGGTAGTAGACAATTGATCTTTTGGAAAGCTGATCGATTGATTTTCACATTTCTTTCTTTACAGTTCGCTTCATAATAACATCACATCAGTAACCACTACAGCAACAAGAACACAATAGCTAACAATATGCCTGCATCAATAATACCAATAATACCGACTGTCCACATTTCCGAGATAGTCACATCCGAACGTGATCCAGAAATGGGTATGCAGGTATCAGACCAACAGTACATGTCTATTGAGTGCATCGAATACATCTACAATGATACCATCCAACAGGAACAACATCTTACCCAATCTGTAGAGGCGACCGATCATTGCAGTCTCTTGGAAGGGATATTTAATAACATTGCAATAGAGGAAGAACAAGATTTTGATACACATATTGGCGATTTATCATTACAGGAGCCTTCGCCTGCACTGCATGACACAAATCCGGAACTCGAAGTTGTCTCGTCGCTCCTACAACAATGTACACACCAACAAGGGCAACAAGGAGGGCAGGAACAACAGCAAGTACAAGAAGTTAATTATATGCAGCCACTCCTACCTCCAAATCGTGGAAGTTCACAACTACTTTCAAGGCCTAGTCGATTAGCTGTTCCTAAGGCTGCATCATATTGTACACAGCAAGTGGATAGAGACGCGAGTCGTTCTCAATCACATACTCTCAACCGTCTTGAAATTGAAAACGCATTTCTTTTAAATCAAAATAATTCACTTAATAAGGATATCCAGCACTGTCGGCAAACTGTGCAGGCACTGAAGCATATCTTGGCGCAAAAGGAGAAAACGATTGAGTGCATGAACGAAGAGTTTCGGCAGGTTTGCTTGAAAACGAAGTTCATGGAAAGTGTCCTTGCAGAACAACAAAAGTTTAACTTCGAAATGGCCCTCAACGCCTTTCAACCATTGGAAAGTTCAACGGGTTCCCTACATGACTTTTCAAATCAGGAAGAAAAGCGACTTGGAGTAAGAAGAGTCTTGCAAGACGACGATAGCAATGGTAGTGAATCTGTTGGTGACTCTGAATCCGATGATGTAGAGGATGAAAACATTGAAGATGATGAATTCAGCGACGATGATGATGCGAGATTCCTTTCTGTCTCCAATCTTCGTTTTCAAGGAATGGGTCTCGATCACATTTTACAAGCATCCCAAACAATATCGGAGTCATTCAATACAGCTACCGACCTTACTGAGTCGAATAATGCCATGATTGTGAATTTAGAAGAAATATCATCAACCTCCCCTCAGCAAGTGCTGAGGAGGCGTCCGCGTTTTCATCTGGGTTATGCGGCGGCGGAGCCAACTCTGTCGACAACTTCTCTACATACCAGTCCATTTATGGCATCAAAATCTATCTTTTTCGAAGACCCTGAGCGTAGCTCCTCTTCCTCTTCCTTATCTACTCGAGCGGATAGCACAATAGAAAACGATCAGGCAGAAAGCAACACTATTACCTTCGCAACACGAGAAAAGGAAAAAGCAATAGTTTTGAGAGACAGCGGACATTTTCCGACAGAAGTGTTTTCTGTTGAAACAAAGTCTATTTTTTCCAATGCTGCACAGCAGTGCATTATTGACGCTGAAGGTGGAAGTACGCTACCATTGAAGCCTCAACCATTCGACGAATGTCTCAACCTCCCTTTGAGGCCTATTAGTCGCCTGTATCTTGGATCTAGTCCAGCAACATCCCCATTAGTCATATTGGATCAAAACTATATTGAAGCAAGCGCCTCTTCTGCAACAATAAGTACAAAGCCAACACTGATAGCATCGTTTGAGAGCGCTATCCATCCAAGTCACGCAGACGTTGAGCGAGGAGAATCTAAACCTTCTGCACCAGAAGAAGCCAACGAATCCCGTTCATACCATGATGAATCAGATGGAGAGATGGATGAAAATCGCTCCCATTCATCAATATCCACCATTATGGCACCTGCGGAGGATGACTCGGAACAAGTAAATACCCCTGAAGTTTCGAAATCGCTGACGGACGGTGCTCTTTCTCTATCAACACTACTTAAAGAAGAGACTGGAGCTGTTCACAAGTATGAAGAATCTCAACCTTCAGCTCAAAAGGAAGCAAACGAGGGTACGCGGCCTCATGTCTCCAGCTCACGCGGAACACGCTCATCACCCATTATGTTCCGCATATCTTCCAAAATCAGAGGAAAAGGTCGGCTGAGGAAGAGCAAGAGTCGAGATATGATGACTTACAAAGGCAAAGAGAAAGCATCAATAAGCACATCTGACATGGGAGCGAAGTTTAAGGCGTCTAAAAACAATATGACGTTAGGTACTTCTAAATTAGCAATAGCAATGGCTACAACTACAAATAGCCCTCAGGCAGCTGCAACGTCATCTATAACAAGGTCAGCCTCCATGACAGACGGATCAAAGTCGACGACTACGCTATTGTCACGGATATGGGGTGGGTTTGGTAAACAGACTTCAGGTCTGTTTGCTGGCCGATTATCCACAGATCGTATAAAAACAGAAACAAAGAGTCCACCCGTCGAGACTATCACAACAACAGGAATCGTTTCAGAAGCAGGCGAGGAATTGGATTTTGGTAGAAGTTCAAGCCCGACGCTGTGTGGAGAGGTAGGATCAAGGGGTGGAGTACGTGTAATAAATAAAGAGTGCAGAGATCCGGCGCCTTGGCTTGCGGATTCAATCGAGGTCACGAATAACATCACCTGTATTAGTTATTGTGACTGATGAGATATCACAGGCCGCACCATTGATATTTTCCCAATAAACACATGTAAAATATTTTTTCATTGGACAGGAAGGGACATGTCTGGCTTGGTCAGGCACACTGGGCCAATTAAATCCGCATCGAACGTTCAGTTCCACGTCAACACTTCATCCGACAAGAAAAAGAGAGCTTCGGGAGTTTAATTGATCTCTTCCTGATCTTTCACTCTCGTTCTCGCCATCATGTTCGCTTCTATTCGTACTTCTACCATTGCCTCTGCTACTGTTCGTCGCTCATTGGTCTCATCCTCTGTACAGACCAATGGCCGTCGTTTATTCAATGTCAATGCTATTCAGCGTGCTACCTATAGCAGCAACAGCAAGGCCACCTCTGCTTCTCAGGGGTCAAGCTGGCTTACTATCACCGCATTGACAGCTCTTGCTGCAACTTCAGGATACTACCTCTTCAGCCCAGTCGAAGGTTGGTGTTTATAGTTGTTATGTCTCGGCATGTCATTTTTGTTCGTAAATTCTGCTCTTTTTCCTTCGACCATGGGATGACACGCGCCATTTCTGACACGGGTGCATTGCCTGACCTCTTTGTAAACCCCCAATCTCGAAATCTCGTTGAAAGTTTTCCCACCTGACTTAATTAGGGGGAATTGGTCAAGATAAAAAGCCGTTGTTCTCCTCTCATTTCATCGATATCCCCTTTTTACTCTTACTTGCAACATTATATCTATCTATTACTCTTTTTTGACTTGACATCTTTCTAATTCCTTTTTCTCCCCATTTTATGAACAACCATGAATTTATTACGCAAATTATTAGGCAAGATCACCGCCAAGAAGGATTCTACTTCTACTAAGTCAACGCGTGCTCCCGAGCAGCCGTCTACTCCTGAAATCATTGCCGCAGAGAATAAGAAGAAGCTTCAGGACGCGACCGTTATTTTCGTCCTTGGTAAAAAAAAAGTCTACTTGTTAAAATGTTAAAATACCCTTTGATAAAAAATAACTAATTGCTATTCCCTCTCTCTTGTTTGAATGAATGAACGGATAAATGATAGGGGGACCCGGTGTTGGAAAAGGAACACAGTGTGCTAATCTGGTCCGTGACTTCGGATTTGTGCACTTGTCAGGTAAGCAAAAACATAAAAGCTTGAAAAAAAGATATATTTGTACAAATAGCTTACTGACAAATATGTTCATTTACAACGAATTCATTATCGTTAGCTGGAGATTTGCTTCGTGCTGAGCAAGAACGTCCAGGCTCGCAGTATGGCGATTTGATCAGGAGCTATATCAAAGAAGGCAAGATTGTTCCCATGGAAGTTACTATTGCCTTACTTGAGAACGCCATGCTTGCTAGCGGTCAGACTAGATTTTTGATTGATGGTTTCCCACGCAAGATGGATCAAGCATTGAAATTTGAGGAATCTGTATGTAAAAAAAAAAAAAAAAAAAAAAAAGGGACTCGTATTGCACTATCAAAGAAAATATTTCTAATAGAAACAAAACACGTTTACGAATTCTACTTTAAATAGGTCGTGCCAAGCAAGTTCACGCTCTATTTTGAATGTCCTGAGGAGGTTATGTTGCAGCGTCTGATTAAGCGAGGAGAAACGAGTGGGCGTGATGACGACAACATTGAATCGATCAAGAAACGCTTCAAGACATTCACGGAGACAAGCTACCCTGTAGTTGAGTACTATAGCAAGAAGGGCAAGGTGCATACGGTGTCATGTGTGGAGGCACCTGATGTCGTCTATGGCAAAGTCAAGGTCATTTTCGACAAATTGTTTAGCGAAAACAATTAAAAACCAGACAGTGTAAAAAAAAAAAAAAAAAAAAAAAAGCAAGCAGGATATTTCTCTGCTACTCATCATGGATCGCACCTATTTCTTTCCTAAAACAGCCCCCAATCTAGATTATATTTTTTTATGTTTGTCTCAGCAAAGCTCATCGCGGCAAAGCTTTTTTTTACCAGAAAATATGATATCAACAATACAACAGCGACAATATAGATATGACAAAATCAAATGTGTTTTTTATCCTCAAAATATGTTTATGTAGTTCTTGCAACTCATATGTGAGCAGCCGCAATGAAGGTAAAAAGTCTAAAAATGCTATATGTACAGGTGAGTAAATAACAAAAATTAAAAATTAAAAAAGCCAATGGATCACCAAGTTTCCTCAGCAATGTCCTCCATCGTCGTGTCTAACCCATCTAAAGGCGAATTGAAGTAGCTCGAAGTATCTGAATGCATATCAAGACCAAGGGTATCATCGCTCCGTCCTTCAGACATCTGTCTATGCAAGAGTTGCTGTTGATGTATATCCGGCTCTGTCTTGAGTATCGGCACTGGTAGTGTCATATCGGATAGAGGGCTCGCACTGGCACTGGTATTCCTTAAAGGACTCTGTTTGCCTTCATTGTTGATTCCATTCTCCATCACAGAAAGTGTTTTTTGGTAGACCTGGTTCACGAGATCTTGTGAAAACTGGAATGGTTCCTGTTTGATAAACATCTGCGAAGCATCTTGCTGACTTTGACCAGACGTTTGAGAAAAGAGAGGTGAGTGTTGTTGCTGCTGCTGCTGCTGCTGTTGTTGTTGGCGCTGTTCCTGTTCACGCTGTTGCTGTGTTTGAAAAACAAAATTGTGGCCCATCATAGTGCTGGGATTTCCAAAAGTAGTTCCAAAACTTGTTCCAGTGGCTCCGACACCAAAACCGGAAAAGTCAATCCCATTCGCGGCTCCTAGAGCATCAAGGTAACCAGCCTCTAATGAACCCAGGCTATTGTTGCCACCCAAATATTCCGTCGGCCCACCCACAGAACTCTTATAAGATACATGTTCCTGAGCTGTCATCAATTGTTGATTCCAACCATCCATGCCTCCCAATGAGTTGGCTTGCGCGTTCCAATAGGCATTATCTTCCTCTTCGTTTGCACTATGGGGTAGTTCAAATCCAAGAATTGCGCCTAAAGAAGTCTGGTCCAGTGGTGAAACTCGACCATTATCAAACGTAATTGTTGGGTTTTGGCTATAAATATCAGAAAGCAGTGCTTGAGATTCGGGAGTAGGCTCAGATGAACAGTTGACCGCCGTGCGAAAGTTTGAAGTATTCATGCCTGCAGATAGTCTGGAAGTCCTCTCCCCTTCTGGCTTGATTAACGGACTTCCGATATTTGTTGGCGTATTCGCCAAACTGGTTGCTACACTATTGCTATGGGAGAGTTGCCAAGCGTGGGGTGATCGCGTCCTGGATGTTAAAACGCTCTCATGAGTCGGAGCAGGTGAAGAGGGAATGCAGAGAGAAGGAAAGCTTGATCCAGATGACGAATTAGGCCCTAGTCTTGGACTTGATGGAGTTGACTCTGAACGAAGGTACGGATGGTGCAGGTGATGAAGAACATGGTGATGGTCTGGATGCTTGACCTCGCGCATGATTGTTGTCTGGTTGGGCGACGATACCGAGACTGAAGACGCAGCCGAAGGTGTAGACTGACCTAATGAGGGACTTGGACTATCTTCTTGCTGTCTTGCTACTTGCCAATTGTAGATATTGTCCATAACATCCGAACTCTTCTTGACGCCTTCAAATGCATAGTGCTGAGAGTATGCCTTGATGACACTGAGGGTTGAGATAAACTGCGACTTGGACTTCAAACTCTGATAAGATGTCGTGTTGGCAGTGTTGGTGAGATGCATTATAGCAGCGTGTAAAATGGCATAGCACTGGGTTCCGAAGTTAAGCCCGTACTGCGGCTGGAAACAAAGAGAGCGGGACAAACTCGTAATCATGGAGGCTGCCAATGTACATCGCTCCAAAGAAGGAGACGACTTTGGCATGTCATTCGTGGCACGAGGATTAGAGGAGTCCATATATGGGTTATGAAGTGTATGAAGGATCGAGTAAAAATACAGGTGTAATGCAGCAACATACGGTGATGGCAAGGTCTTTGTTGTGAGAGAGTCAGGGCCTGGGTTGTACTGCAGATGATCGGGTAGTGAGGCAAGCCAAGTAAACAGCGATTCATCCAAGGCTGTAAGCGCTAACTCATGCGCATCTGGACTACGATATCGCTTGTTGGCTACTTTGGTGAAATGCTTAAGAACGCCACCTACAATCTTACTTAGCAACAGTAACTGATGAAAGAGTTGAGGTGGCGAATAGTAATGGGAAAGCGATACTGAATTGTTTCCGGGACCATCATAGATATGTTCTTGGAAGGGTAAATCAATGTTGCAATCACCATCATGGATAATCGCCGGCTTTCGGGTCGAAAGCGCCAACAGGCGATCATTCATGTAGCAGGTCCACCAAATGCAGCGACGAGTCTCCCTTTCATCGTCAGGAAGGCCCATGTGTTGACAACTTTTATGGAGATCGAGCAATTGAGCCATCCGAACAGCCATACTGTGATAAGTATGTCGCTGAGTTGCATTATCCTCAAGTTGAGCTAAAAAGAGCAAAGCTTGGACTGTTGAAAGTCTAGGGGCCATCAAGAAAGCTGGGAGCATGGTTTGTGCACGTTCCAGAAACAGCTGGCCTGCTGTCTCTGGCTTATCTGGATCGGATCGAAGGACCTGCCAGGACGAGTAGCGTGATGCATATGCAAACAATGCATTCAGGAGCAGTAGTGATGGGGTGCTATTAGGATCATGCAGCTGACTCAAAAAAATGGTCTTGTGAATAATAGGCCAGATAGGATATCGATAAGTAAAATAGGTGTCCACAAGGTGGTCCCTAATCTCGATACTGGGAAGGTCAGTAGAACGCGTAGGCAAGGTCAATTCTGATGGAAGAGATATCTCAGGTGGTGGCACTGAGTTGGGATCCTCAGACTTTTTCTCAACGACGAGATCATAAGCTTTTCTGCCGGCCTGATTGTTATTGTCATTAAGCTTGAGGGACTCCATGATATAAACCAGAGTATTATGGGTATGTTTGCTCTCGAGATCGTCAATACAGGTATTGATGTCTTGAATCGAGTTTGAGGGCGGAGACTGAACCAAAAGTGGGGTCTGACTTTGGCTTTGGCTTTGGCTTTGGCTTTGAGGTTGACTCTGTTGTTGATGTTGGTGGAGATGCTGCTGCAGCTGCTGTTGGCGCAGTTGCTCCTGCAAGAACTGCTGGTGATGTTGTTGGAGTAATATATCCTGGGGCATAGGGGCCTGCAGGAAGTTTTGGAAAATGGGCATTTGCATTGGCGATGCTTGCAGTGTGTGGGCCATAGGACCTAATGGCCCCAGCGGCGTCTGCTGCGGCTGCTTTGTGTTCGGGCTTGAATGAGAAGTGCCTATGTGAGAAAAAGCAGGACACATCCAAACAGAAACAAATATTTTATGCTCTTATTAATATCTCTCTTCCAATGTACAAATCACAATGTGTGTCTCGTATTGTGATTTTGTCACTCGGACACACGCACACCACAAGCCATTCAGAAGATAGACAGACAGACAGACAGGGATCCGATGCATACGGAGTAGTGGGTCAATGTCCTTCCTCCCCGATTTCCGCCGTGCTGTGACGCACTGTCTTCGATCACTGAATATGGCTGTGCTTCTCACCCCAGCCAAAACCGCTCCCTTATCCTCGTAACCATCAGTAATCCTTTACACATTCTCACAGAGATTTGAGGGAAGGTGAATAAAGATTTACAGGCAAGGACTTTTTATTGAAATATATCAGGGTCGACGCTGTCGACTATATCAATCACCTTGGTTGCGCTCCGCTTCGGATGGATCAGACAAATACCGCAGTGCTCTTTTTATTTTATTATTAATTTGCAGCCCCAAGGCCCACTTTCGCCCCATCACCTCATTCACCCATTGTTGGCTATGACTTGCGCCCTCAGCGTTCTCCCACGGTACCTTTTTTTTTATAAAAATAATTTACATCCCTAATATCAATTAAACTCTTGGGCAGGGTTACAAAGGTGTTGACTTACTTGTTTTCCTGCCAGGGCTCGAAGTGGTTGACGATTCGTCTTGTTTTTGCCACTCGTCTAAAGGAACTCCGTACTTGCCAATATCTTTGACATGCATTTTATTGGCCTTGCTTTCACTATTATGATCGTGGCCCTTGCGGTCATGCTTAGAGTCCTTCCGGAGAGGCGATGGTTTAACATGGTCTACAGGCTCTTGTTTGACATGGCCATCCTTTGAATGATGAATGTGCTGAACATGAGAATGATTTCGATGAACAGTATGTTGATGTTTAGAGTAAGGGTGAGAAGAGTGTGGATGGGCTGAGGAGGAGGAGGAGGATTGTCCATGCTGTTGGTTATAATCAGTTGAATTGGTTGCATTCGATGCCTCAGGGCCTGTAACGCTTGTGGAAGCAGAGACCGAAGCGCCAGACGTGGATGGGCTCATATGATCGTCCTTGGATGCATTTTCATGGTGATCATCTTTGTTTGCGGGCGAAGCACTACCAGACGCATGGGCCGCGGCATTGTAGACGCAATTGCGGTCGCTTTTTTTACAGGATTTGCAAGGTTTTTGACCATCGCATTTTATTTTCTGGCGGCGACATTCCGAGCAGGCTTGCTGAATTCTGACCCGCTGACGTTTCTTCCAAGGGTCCTCCGAATACAAATTCACGAAGGACACTTGAGGTAGAGACGGTGTCGCAGGTGCTGTAGGCATTATGATGATGAGTTACAACTGGAACTTAAAAAAAAAGAGCGTGGTCTTGAATTAGGGTTGAATGAAAACATGTAACCGCACCGGCACACACGAATTAAGATAACCAGTAAGTTTTAAGAGGGGAAGAATAATGGACGGAATCAATTGAGTGGTCAATAGGATCAACAGAGCCAAAAAAAAAAAAAAAAAAAAAAAAGTTTGTATGATGTGAAAAGAGGGAGTCCAACCTTCTGTTATTGAATACAATCACTAATTGGTTCTCATACGCATCACGTGAATCGTAGCACATTATTTTGTGGCGTAAATCAAGTGACACACAATTAATCAGGAAATACATGTTGTTACTTCGCCCTCAATTGATTGGCCCATTCCTTTCTACTTCGCCCGTCTTCCTTCCTTTGAGTCAATTGTCAAATTCTTAACACCTTGATGTTGCTGGAAGTTAAAATAGGAATATACTAGATACAGATCCAGTAAGCTCAGTTAGATCATTATGCTGTTGAACATTCCACTCTTGGTATTACGTAAATCAATCCAACGGAAGATAATATCACTGTACCCCTGAAGTTACCATATTTTGTAATAAAGATATGGGTTGAATGGAAGCTCTTGCATTCGATTCACTCTTTTACAATCCCAAGTTTTATGTTTTTTATAATTTTGAATTAGTGGCGGCATGTACCAAGAAGAGAGAGCATGTTCTTATTTGACAGTAGTTAAGCTTAAAATCATATTTCATTTGAACCCATGGTGGGTTGGATACGCATATTATTCTTTCGTTATCGGCGTCATGACTGATGTATTTATTGTACACATTAGGCAGGTTAAGCAGTAATAAGCAAGGGGTGTAGTGGGATAGATTACACGTTTTTTGTGCCTGCCAAAGTGCTTATTAAGACAGCAGAAGCTAATAAAGAAAATAGTTTAGGCGGCGGATAAAACCTACAGCTCAGTTTGCATAAATATGAGCCGGGACTCGAATTTGGCGCAAGCTACAGTATTTGGACACACAGATCTGATATAAGTGCATACGCTGAAATAAGGCCAATGGCATGAGCATGGCACTCGCCCAAAAGTGGTATGCTTTTTACTTTTTACTATGATACACTTCGAACCTTTCTATCTTCTTTTTCTTTTTTGCACTTTTTATTTCGTTTCTTTTCCTTTTGATAAACCATTTACTTCTTTCCTTCTTTTTCTTCTCTCCTTTCTTCTTGACTTCTTATCTGTCTTCCAGCTTTCCATCATCCTCTGTTCTTTCCTCTCTCCTTTGCTATTTTCATCCTTTGTAAACGTCAAAGTAGTCTAAAGAAAAAGATCCTTTTTGGTATAGTTTTTCCCGATTGCAAATGACAAACTACGAAGTGAATGCAGATGCTTCCTCATCAGGAAGTACCATGCAAGAGAAAGAGCTTTCACACCCCCATACCCCTACTCTTCCACACCTTCATAACGACCCTGTGGTGATGACAACTGTGGAGCCTGAAGTCAACCCTGACAATAAAAGCGCTAAGATCGAGGCGAACAGTCAGATCCTATCGGCTGCGCCACATGTCTCAGCCACATCTGATAAAGTAAAGGCCCAAAAGGGTTACTGGAAGCAACGACTAGTGATCCGCCCAAGATTTGAGGGTGACCCTCGTGATGAACTCTCACACTTTCGCAAGGCCATTATCCTCGCAGTTGTCTCTCAGGCTGGCTCTCTTGGCGGATTTTCAAGCACTATTTACGTATGTATTTATGCTTTTAACATCTTGACAATAACACTACACGATGTAATGTTTCAGCGTTAAACTGGATCAAGATTCAGCGAGCCAAGTTGCTGATCGCATGTCTTATTTTATGTCTATATCCTATAGTTTCCATCCTTAGTGCAGATTACGCATGATCTTCAGGCCTCTCAGACTGCTATCAATGCATCGGTATCTCTCTTTATTCTATTCATGGGTATCAGTCCTCTTGTTAGCTCAACCCTTTCAGACAGATATAAGATCCGTCGCGCCCTCTACATCGGTTTCACCCTCATTTTTGCCCTGGCCTCCCTTGGAGGTGGCTTTTCGAACTCTGCGGCTACACTCATTATTGCCCGAATCTTCCAGTCAATTGGTTCTGGTGGAGCGTCTATCCTCGGAGCTGGAACCGTTGCTGATATTTATGTAAGTGAACAGCTGAGTGGAATACATCAATACCATAGAGTATTTCATCCTAATAGCCTTGTCTTTGCTTTTGATGAAATATAGCCGCCAGAGGAGCAAGGCACTTCTATGGGTTTAATGTTTTTAGGTCAATTCCTTGGTCCTGTTCTAGGACCTCCTATTGGTGGTCTCCTCGCACAAGCCTTCGGTTGGCAGTCAACCTTCTTTTTCATGGCTATTGCATCTGCCATTATCATTCTTGAGCTCTTCTTCTTGCTGCCCGAGACATATCGCGAAGAACCTAAGGACATGCTAGAAGCTCTTGAAGAAAAATGTGGAAGTGTCGGGGATGATAGTCAAGCCGTTACATCCAAGACCCGTTTCAATCCTTTCCAGGCTGTGTTGCTTTTGAGGCACTCGGTAGTCATGCTTGCATCCATTGAAACTGGCATGGTTTTTGCTCTCATGTTCTCAAGTATGCTCTTTTTTTTTTAATGGAATTAGACGAACAGGCATGACTACAAGTAAATCGCGTAAATATCATCACAAAAATTAATTTTTTTTTTCTTCTTAGTCGAAACTATTGTACCTCTGCTTTTCACAGAGTTTTACCATTTGAATGAATCCAAGGTTGGATTGACCTATCTTGGTGCTGGTGGAGGTAGTATTCTTGGCTCTGTGCTTGGAGGCAAACTTTCTGACTTATCCTTGATGCGTGCCAAGGAAAAAAATGGTGGTAAACTTGTACTCGAAGACCGTCTTTCAGCCAACATGTGGATCGCTGGATTTGCAATTGTACCCTTTGGGTCCCTGCTCTTTGGATGGGGTGCGGAGAAGCACCTTAGTATTGCTCTTCCTATTGTCGGGTTCGCTCTCTACAACTTTGGTATGGCTCAAGTCTTAGCTGCTGGTGCTGCTTACTTAGTTAACTGCATTCCTGGACAAGGCTCCTCTGCCACGGCTGCTGCAAACTTTTTGCGCATGATCTTCGCTTGTATCGCCTCTCTGATTGCTCAGATTGTAGTAGACAAAATTGGTTATGGCTACTATGGTGTTATCCTAGCAGTCCTCAACATTTTTTGTATGGCACTCTTTCTTCTAGTTAGATGGAAGGGCGCTAGTATGCGTGAAGCGGCAATCAGAAAGGAACAAGCGACTTAATTGGACATTTTCCTATACCACTAATATCTAATAATGCATTTCGTCTTCATTTTATTAAAAGCATTTCTAAGCAATGACAATAAGTTGTGCTCGTGGCGTCAATTTTGCTTCATCAAGCGTCTGCTGTAAATTTTCGTCCTTGTAAACACTAAAAAAGAGTTAGAGGGTGCATTTTTTTTTTTTAAAAAAAAAAAATCGTGTCTGATATTATTGTGTAATAGAACTTACGTTTTAGGGAAATTGGTCATCAGTGCAAACCCTGGAGCTTTGATGCCTCTAGCATCCATATTGGCTTGCACAAACTCTCGTACACGCTCCAATGTGTGGTCTGGTGCAAAATCGCCACGGATTGAGGACCCATCTAGCATTCTCACCTGGATTTGGCAGTTACCTCCTGGTCCCTCAACTGTTTTCACTTCTTTAGGTGATGACATGCTATCGCCAATAAGACCAGTCTTTGCGGAGCCGGCTACAAATGCAAGACTCTGTAGACAGCGTGCACAAAAGTTGAGAATACCAGAGGACAGGTGGCCAACAGCAGTCCACAATCGGACATGGTAAGGTGTATTATCAATATGAGTTTTCCTAAAGCCAGAAGAGGTGCTCGAAGAATTGTTTCTGGCTGTCTTTCTGCTGCCGTCTAGAGTCTGACCTGCTCCACTGAAAGCTGTTCCGTCCTCATATGTCTTAATGAGGGATTGGATCTTTCCAACATTTGAACCAACGACACGTCCAACCTCTGAACGGTTTTTAAAGAAGAGAATAGTGGGCATAGCAGAGACGTTGTATTGCCTTGCACAATCCTGTGCCTTATCCACATCTATCTTTGCAAAGATTGTAGTAGTGTGCTTGCGTTCCAAGCCCTCAAGAATTGGAGCTAGTGTTTTGCATGGTCCGCACCTAGTTGGATGATAGGAACGTTGAATGGGATTGAGAAAGCTTTTTTTTTTTTTTTTTTTTTTTTTTTTCAAAGAGGTCTTGTCTGCTAATTCGATCATATCTTGCGTTACCAGGTGGCGAAAAAGTCGACAACAACCTAACATGACCATTATATGCATTATATGCATTATATAAGTATCGTGTTTTGTCATTGTGCGGACCGTTTTTTAGTCATTCGTTTTGCTATCCATACCAGACGTGATCCTGCAGAGGAGAGCTGGCTATTAAGTTCGTCTTGTGAACTGATAGTTTTCATGATTGAAAGACAACAATGTTCTGGAAGAAAGAAATGAGCAAATGTGTACAGAGCAATTGATGGACAAAAAATGGTAAAAGAGAAAAAGACTGGGTAAAATTCATACTGACATAAAATTTTGATTGACATGAACAATATTAGCTCATTACCCTCATTCCAATTTATCCGTTCCCATCAATGCTGTCAATAACACAAAGATTGTAAGGCATTGTTTGTATGATTTATATTTATTATTAAAAAACAATTGCATACAAGCGCCACTAAGTGGGAGATCTATTTTGGTACTCCCATTTTTTTTAAATCAAACAGCCATCGCTCTCTTCCACGTTTCTTCTCATTCCTACAATCCGATTGTTTTTCTCCCAACGCTATGCCACCCAGGCTCATCGGTTAGTGTGTGTACCTGTAATAAGCTGTTTTATAAAAGACATTTTACGTGGCTGACTGTATCAACGTGTAGATATCGGCATCAATCTCACGGACCCCATGTTTCGTGGCGTCTATCACGGTAAACAGACTCATGAAGGTAATGGTTACTGCAGAACTGTATAACTCAGGGTAGAGCTTGGGTATATATAATAAAAAGGATACTAATTTGAAGCTGACATCTATTGTCATAGATGATTTGCAGCATGTGCTTTCTCGTGCAAAACGTGCCGGTGTAGATCGTATGATTGTCACTACCGGAAACCTAAGCGACTGCCATGAAGCGATGGACCTTGTTAAAAGCCATGGTACCTTATTCATAAATATCTGTAGAAAAAAATATACGCCCAGCTGACCGGCGTATGGGTATTATTGTTATATTAATACACCCCTTGTGTTGCCTTTCTAGATGACCTCTTTATGACAGTAGGTTGTCATCCGACGCGCTGTTCAGAATTTGAAGCACATGAAAGCGGTCCTGAGGCATACTTCAACGCCCTAAAGACGATACTGGATAATCCTGAAGCGCGGTCAAAAATTGTTGCCATCGGCGAATGTGGACTTGGTAAGAGACCATATATCATACCTTTCCATAGTGATATTACCTTGTTGTCCGTGCCGTCTTTGCCTATAGCTTAGCCATGCATGCAAACCTCACCATTAGATTACGATCGACTTCAGTTTTGTCCTAAGGAAACGCAGCGCAAATACTTTGAGCGTCAATTTGAATTAGCAGAGGCAACTCGTCTGCCCATGTTTTTGCATAACAGAAATACAGAAGGCGATTTTGGAAAGCTCATATCAGAAAACCGATCCAGGTTTACACATGGCGTCGTGCATTCTTTCACTGGCACTTTGGAAGAAATGCAGCAGTACCTTGATTTAGGACTGTATATTGGAATCAATGGATGGTGCGTCTCCTGCTTTTAAAAAGTCACTATGACAGAGATTATAACGGGGCCAAAGGTTAAATTATTACGTATTTATCTCGATCTAGCTCCCTCAAAACTGAAGATAACTTGAAAGTGGCCGCGAGCGTCCCTTTAGACAGACTCATGCTGGAGACAGATGGGCCATGGTGTGATATTCGACCAACGCATGCATCCCACAAGCATCTCTCTAGCATGACGCATGAGCAGCAGGCAATTTACAATCCACCTGCAAAGAAAAAAGAGCGATTTGAAGCTGGATCAATGGTCAAGAACAGGAATGAACCTTGTACCATGGGGTAAGGTCTATTTTATTATAGTTTAAGCGCGGAAGGATGTCTGAAAACGTCCATAAACTATGGTAGTTAATTTTTTTATGGTCTGTCAAATTTATTTTGATCCAGGCAAGTTCTTCATGTTATAGCATCCTTGCATAGTATGGAAACCGAGAAGCTAGCTGATGTTGTTTATCGAAACACTACCATGGTCTTTTTTCCTAATCAATCTAATCTGAATGGATCATAGTGGCTCTTTCAATAAAATAGTGTCCAACAGTGTCACAAAATACGCACCCACTATTTTGCTGGGTCTAATTATATTTCAGTCTACTACTTCCAGAGGTGCTTGTTTTGGGGATAAAGAGATTTTCGTAAAAGTCCCTGTCTATCAAGCCTTTTCTTTACGCGTAGTACCTTGGTTAGACGGGAGTGAGGCGAACCCGATATTTGTCATTTAACACGCAAGTTCAGTGCTGATCTGAGAAGATCCTTATTCAAGCTGAACTCCTCGTGCAAATAGAGAACAATATATTGCTCTGAAGACTCAGGTACAGTTAATTCCGCGATGCAAATCCAATGGATAGTGTGAACGGCAATCAAGCTATTCTTTCCATCTTATTCAATTCAGTTCAAATGTTCCAAAAAATCGGAGATTTTCAATTTGTTAAACTCGAGGACGATCTGATAGAATTAAAGCCTGCAATAAAGCTGTGACATTTTTTTTTATATTTTTTGGAATTATGAGAGGCTGACATTCTCTTTTTTGTTTTTTCTACCTTTTGTTCATTAGAAAAGATTCATTCAAGGCACCGGGGAAGGGCATCGGACAACAAGAAAGCGATTCCTTACATTCATAAGAAGCAACAAATTATTCATCAGCTTCAATAGAAAAATATACATCAGTTATGGACAGCTTTCAGATCTTCACTACATCCACCAGCTTGGTAGACAGTGTTGACAGTACGTTCAGTTTAATGAAGGCTTAGTCATATGTTATTTCTTCTTTGTTTCAATATCAATCACCCCATGCATTCGCAGCAGGAGCAGTAAGAATAATAGGAATACATCGCCTGAAAAGTTCAAAAACACAAAACTTACAACAATACCTGTACATGGCCTGTTAGAGAAATTGCTAGTCGTGTTAAGAGATGGACGAAAGTTGATAGGCATCCTGCGTTCCTTTGACCAGTTTGGTATGGGAAGGTTTTGCTTTTTGCTTCTGAGAAGATTGGATGTCGCGTTTTTGATTGAGTGCTCAAACTTATCTAAACTTCATTCTTTGTGTCTCTTCTTATAACAATGCGACAAAACAAAACTTCAATAGCAAATCTAGTTCTCCAAGATACCATTGAGAGGATATATATAGGCGATACATACGGTGATATTCCACGTGGGATCTTCATCATAAGAGGAGAAAATGTGGTCCTGTTAGGTGAAATAGTAAGCTATCAAAAAACTGTTTTTTTTTTTTTTTTTTTTTTTTTGGAGATTAACTGACATCAAAATTTCGAAAATGAAAATGCTATCATAATATTAGGACGAAGACAAGGAGGATGAACTACCATTGCGCGAAGTACCAGTGGAAGAAGTGCTTCAGGTTCAGCGTGAGGAAATGGAGGCTAAAGTTAAACGAGAAAAGACAAAGCATAGAATGCTTAGCGAGCAAGGATTTTCGGTGGATACAGCAGAATTTGGAGAGCTCTATTAGAAACCCTAGCATTTTTTTTTTTTTTTTTTTAGCTCTCGTTGTCCCGTGTGTTGCTTGCTACTCATCTTACCACAATAAAATGTTGGACAAAAAGACAAAGCAATGTTTGAGAAGCAGCAGGCCACTCTGGCCACTGAGGATAGCCACGGATACAAAAGAGCTGTGGTGTGCTAAATAAACGGTATTTCCATGCCAAACGCCTAAACTGCTAAGACAGATGAGGCCGTATGTGTGCGTTTGAGGGTGCATAAACTGAATCAACAATAGATATTCGAATGCTCGGTAGGGATGTTGCTTCATACCCTACAGAACAGCCGTGCCAGGGCTAGACATATAAATATACTTTGAAAAAAAGGCTATCATCCATTTTTTTTTTAGGTTAATAAAAGAAACTGAACCAGTCCAGTGCTGTAAGAAACCTTCGCTCTGGACAAGAACATTGTGAGGTGGAATGCTCAGCATGTCATTTGAGCTATTAGAGCTTATTAAACGAATATTTCCTGAAAAACAATGGTTTTAATAAAGCGCAGCGAGCAACGCAGGAGTCTTTTTCTTCTTCTACCTTTATTAGAAATATCATCATTGACAGTCATTGATGATTTCTTTTCCCTCGGCTTGCTTTATTATTTTCTTTCCTGCTACCTATGCGGCTACGATGGCTTCATTATCATCTTTTCGCTTGCATTCCTGGGGAAGTTGGGTGCAGAGCCGCGTGTTGGGATGAGTGGAAGCCATGCGATTTGGGGACGATATGCACTCTTTTGCGTCTGTCCAACCATGCACCCAAGGTGGGATGTAGTTCATCATCACCTGACGCAATAACCCTTCCTTCCATGTCTAATAGTAGGTGAAGCGAGCCCATGATTGTAATGCCAAGCGGATGGTCAATAATAATGACCAGGTTTTCTTAGCATAGCATGGTGTACATTTTAACATGTGTTATTGCATACCTGACCGTAGGAAGCTTGAGACCATGTGGAGCTTCTCTGAAATGCGTTCAGTGCGCGGAAGTGACGTTGGCGATAGTAGTCCTGGAAGGCAGCTGTAATGCTTTTGAGGCTGCTATCTTCCATGTTGTAGATACAGTTAGCAAGCACAACCGTATCATGCATCGCATTCACTGCACCTGTAGTAGCATGAAGAAAACGTCAATGAGCACCTTATTCATAAAACAGGACGAACATAAACGAGATATGAAATACATTCTTTTGTCTTTTCCTTCTTTTAACATGCCTAAACCAGCTCCTGGAAGCATCTACAAATAATCAAAGCATGAAAAAAAAAAAAAAAAAAAAAAAAAAAAAAGATTAGAGGACAAGATATGATATCGTCACCAATAAAGCTCCAAAAAGTAATCCCACCTTATGGCACGCTATTCGCGAGGAGCAGGAGGAAACATGTTTATAAATGAAAATATAGTCAATACAACATATTGTTTACTTGCATAAAAAGGCAACTTTTTTTTTTTTACCATCGACAAGGTGAACAGTTCGACCATGGAACCAAGTTTGGAAAACTTTTTCCTCCAGAAAGACCTTCAAGATCAAGTTCCTGGGCGTTGCATGAATGATCTCACCCATGGTTCCTCCCCATGGACAGGAAACATTCTCAAATTCCTTGATCATGCTATCGTTATGCCCATGATATTAAAAAAAAAAAAAGGAGTGGTGTTAATTGCAATTTATGCTTTTAAAGAAAAGAAAGAAGCCTTTGTTACATGTAATGTGTTACAACCGTTTTTTACCTCTTCCGACCATCTAGTTTAAGGGAGCCAAAGGACTCTCGGTTTGCTGAGTAGAAGTCAAGCGCATAACATGGATATGAAATCTTTTGAATCTCATTCAACAACCCAAGCTGCTCAAAAACTGGTAGTATATTTGCTGAGAATGTCATAGTGGATCCTAGCGACAACAATGATAGTGAAGAAAAAAAAAAAGTCGCAAGAATAAAAACATGCCACTCTAAATTTTTGTAGTGAGTTATATACTACATTTATTCTTTTCAACCCTTTACCTAATGGTCGCAATTCTGTAGCTCGCTCAAAAATATGGTATGGATATCCGAGGGTTTCCAAGAGTGTGCCGAGAAGCAAGCCACCGATACCAGTGCTGACAATTAACACCCCTGGGATATGTTCTGATGAGGTGATGCCAGTTGTGGATGCTGGTGGCGAGGACAAGAGGACTAAATAGACAAATAGAAAGAAAAACAGATTAAAGGAAGAAGAAAGAGGAAAGAGGAAGGGAAGAAAAGAATTTCATGTCAATCCCAACTGACAGCTTATATATTTGTTAATGACTTGCTTAATCTTAATTCTTGGCCTGCCCGTCTGCGCTCCTCCAAGGATTACAATTGAAGACGAAATGCAACATGAGGACAGAGAAGAAAATAAGCATGCAAATCATGCATCTGATGCGATTTTTTCTAAAAGACGTTAGCAAAAGCTTCGGGTTTTTTCGTCGTTGACCATTATCAATGAGTTTAATTTCATTTCTTTCCTGTCGACAGTGCATTTAGTCAAAGATTCATTTGATGATATACATCCTCATTGATTAAAATGGGTGAATTGTTACAATTCAAGAAGGAGAATGCATAAAAAAATTATATTAGCTACCTTAACTAATAAAGTGAAGTTAGTTTCCTATAGTTCTCTCTCCATGGAAGCAAGCAAAGCAATGTTCGCGCTTTGTGTATTGTGTTTTACTTGTTGTTATTTTGCCGCTATTCCACCTTTCGCAGGGTCCTGCGTTAACACTTTCAAAGAGTCTATGTTTGACCTGTTCAGGTCCATGTTTTTGCATGGGAAAGAAATGAGTTAGACATCGCCAAATAAACTAAGTTGCTCAAAAATTGGGAGGATATTTGGATCAGAGGCCGCAGCGGGCCCTTATGGCAATAGAATTGCTACGTTTTTATATATATCACCGATTGATCTCGATCTCGTTTTTTTTATTAGGTGCTCAAGCTTCTAAAGCTCACTCGAAAATGTACCATTCGAGCCCAAGACGTTCTAGGAACAGCACTAGAAAATAGCTACCTAGGCCTGCACCAGCAATCGTAGCTTCTATTTGAAAAGCGCTAGCGGAAGCTCCTATGTTCATTTCTATAAGTGATATAGACTGATCAGTGAACGCTATGGGAGATAATGATATGTTTAATTTTGGATGATATAAATTATCAAACTCAATTGCATTGAGTTCAGACATGTATAAATATATTGTGCCTCAAATATTCAAACAATAATCTTAGGCAACAACAAAGAGCGAAATATTGGAAAAGAGGTAACAACCTCTAGAAATCAACTTCTAAACATAACGACACTTATTCATCATATGGTCAAATTGCTTCGCTACCAGCGCGCATTGTCAACTGCTGGATTTTTTTTTTTCTTGAGAGAGAAGTGAGAATATGTATGTGAACAAAAATAATATCCACGGACATTCAGTCTTATTTTTAATGTTTCTTTTTCCTGATATACGCATTCCTATGGCGGAAAGACTAGTGATCTATAGACGATATATTCTATCCTATGGTCAAAAGACCCAGTGAAAACAATCAACTCCCAGCGGTGTTTTTCTTTTTTCAGAGGAATGAAAGACAAGACTATCAAGTGTAGGTTACATGTGCGTGTGGGGGGCTCTCATCAACGGTTGCGCAGAAGGCATGTTGTCCAGAAAATTCACAGGAAAAAATTGGCCATGGGCTCAGATTTAGTCCTTTCGCACAGCAGCTTTTCAACTTGGGTTACAGATAATAATAAAAGACCATCGATTATCAACCATCATGTAAATATTCCTGTAGTAGACTTTGCACACCTCTGAACTAGATCCTTTATTTCTTTTTTCTTTTAGTAATTATACAGCTACGGCAGTCTTCTTATCTTCTACTCGTTTGCATTCCTGGGGAAGCATGGCTAGAGAGCCACGGGCAGGGATGAGTGGAAGCCATGCGATTTGGGGACGATATGCAGCGTCCTTTGCCTCTGCTCGTTGGTGCACCCAGGATGGGATGCAGTTCATCATCACTTGGCGCATCAAACGCTCCTTCCATGTCTAATAATAGTTTGTAAACCAGGGAGATGATCAGCAAAAAATGACCAGATTTCTAGTGCACCAAATCCACATACAAAACCTATATTTTTGCATACCAGACCGTAGGAAACTTGAGACCATGTAGCACTTTTCTGGAATGATTGCACTGCGCGAGAGTAACGTTGGCGATAGTAGTCCTGGAAGGCAGCTGTAATGCTTTTGAGGCTGTTATCTTCCATGTTGTAGATACAGTTGGCTAGCACAATCGCATCTTGCATCGCATTCACTGCGCCTGTTGTAGCATAAAAAGAAGGAAGAGAATGTCAATAAACACACAAGAGAAATAGCGAAAGAGCATATACGGACGATGAAATGTAGTCTTTTTCTTTTTTTTTTTTTTTTTTTTTTTTTTTAACATGCCTAGACCAGCTCCTGGAAGCATCTATTAATTGGCACATAGGACATAAAAAAATGTGGTCAGAGGATGAGCTACAGCGTTACAGTAAAGCATTTCCATTTTTCAAAGAGTTTTTTCTCACCTTATGGCATGCTATTCGCCCAATGTCGTGCGGTGAAAGGAAAAAAAAAAAAAAAAAAAAAAAAACAAGTACAAAGTATCAGTACAACATTGTTACCTATAAACAATAAAATGTGCACTATTTCTTTCTTTTTTTTTACCATCGCCGAGGAGGACAGTTCGACCATGGAACCAAGTTTGGAAAACCTTTTCTTCCAAAAAGACCTTCGAGATCAAGTTTCTGGGGGTTGCGCGAATGATCTCACCCATATTTCCCCCCCATGGACAGGAAACATTCTCAAACTCTTTGATCATACTATCGATCGATTCAGGACCCCATTCTGTGTTTCGGAACTTTTGGGTCTTGGCTTCAGCTGCTGTGAGCTGCTTGTTCAGGTACCAGCATACACGTTTTCCAGGAACACTCACCACACTGCACTTTTTTTTATAAAAAAAAAAAAAAAAAAAAAAAAAAATTAAAGTGTTATTCATCATTTCTCATACCGCAATATATCGATTGTTCTTTCTGCTTTTTGGGAAAGATACATACCACACCCTTGCTTCCAAAGGTTGTTGAGAAATGTGAAAACTCATCCTTGAGTATAGTATACTTTGCAGGGTTTTGTGGCTCTGATACTCCGACCATACAGAGGTTGGCAATTGTAAAGTCCTCTGAATCACCTTTTGGAAGACTAATACCTTGTTCCTCTAAACGCTTATATAGGCTTTGGCGGACTCCACTGTAAGCGCCATCTGCACCTACAAGGATATCGCCTTCCCATGTAGTCCCATCTCCACAATGCACCGACACTCTTCCGCCTATTTCCTCGGTCCGGAGCACTCGTTTACCAAGGCTGATTTTGTGCTCTGGGATCTGTTTTCGTAGGAGCTCGTGCAGTTCTGGGCGAGAGAAGATGTAGGTATCATATCCTGTATAGCTTTATTTTTTAACCATTGAATTGTATCCATTGTTGTTCAAGTATTATGTCCATGGTATTTAATGAAAGGATAAGCATAGGGTCAGTAATATTGTTTTATGCTATCAAAAAAATAAAAAATAAAAAATAAAAAATCTTCATGCTTCACCGCCGCTTTTATTATTACCCTTTCCGAGTCTCCATATTGATGGCGCCGTAGAAACCTCGGTTGGAGGTGTAAAAGTCAAGCAAGTAACAAGGGAATGAAATCTTTTTCAGTTCCTCCAACAGTCCGAGCTGTTCAAAGACTGGCAACACACTTGCCGATAATGTCATGGCAGATCCTAACGACATTTATAATAACGAAAAGTTGCGATAGTGAGATTTAACAATCTTTTTTTATTTTTATTTTTTTTAACCTTGTTAAGCGCTTTACCTAGTGATCGCATTTCTGTAGCCCGTTCGAGAATACGATACGGATATCCGAGCCTTTCTAAGATTGTACCGAGCAACAAGCCTCCGATACCAGCACCGACAATTATCACCCCCGGAATATGTTCTGGTGAGGTGGCGATGGCTACAGGTTCAGACATGATGATGAGGAGAAGGGTGGAGGCAGGGACAACTAGTCTTTAGGATTAGGATGTAAGTAAAACAGGAAGTCAATAAAGGTGTGAGTGGAGTAAATGATTAAAAAGTAAAGGAAAGAAGAAGAAATTGGAGGAGGAGGAGAAGAGAGGGAAAGAAAGAAGACGCAACATGAGGGTAGGGAAAAAGATAAGCCTACTAAAGTAATTCTTTCTAAAAGTATGGGCTGCAAGTCTTTAATGTTGCTGACTATTATCAATTTAATCAACCCAATGAGATGAATTCCAATTCCCCTCTGTTGTCAACGGCTCCCTTCATGTGTGTGGTTAAAATATGGGATGGTAGTGGAGAGAGGAGGTGAGAGCAATGGCACAGAGAGGATGTAATGTTACACTTCAGGAAAGAGCATACATGTACATGCGGACATGGTTCATGTAAATGTGGTGAATTCCAATTGTGTGGATGATTCGTGTTTGTAGGACATCTTTATACATGTGCCTTTAAACACTCTCTTGTGCGCACACAAGCGCCGCCTCACGACCTTCAACGAGCGGAAGCCAAGAAATCTGAGGATGATAAGCGAAGTATCTGAAATGAGTCCGAAGAACAGCCAGTTTGGTATTATATATTCACCATGTTGTGTCGAGCAATCTTTGCTGCGGGTGTGTAAATAAGATAAATAAAGTAAACTTTAAAATTCAATATTCTGTTATTTCATGTGAATTATCAGTTTTAAAATACACATCTTTTTTAAAGACATTCATTGCCTGTTCAAAATGGCTATGGACTATTCTTTAAGGGTGCCAAACTATTGAGCTGATTGATGATGCTGTTGCGGATAGTGCTCCCTAAATGCTGCAATAACACTCCTGGTTCTGGTATTAGCAATGTTGAAGATGCTGCATGGTGTTGACAGTATCGGTTGAAATATATTTATACTGTATACATTTTTTTCTTTTTTTTTTCTCATTTCATTTCCTGACAAACATGCATGGCAATTGCACAGACGTGCAGTTTATCGTATTCAATGTTAACTTTAATTTAACATCTCTCTTTTTTCAGATTGTGCTTGAGATACCACATTCCATGATCAGAGGCCGTAGCGGAAGCAATCATTCCAATTACTTCAACCTGAAGAAAAATAAAGAGCAATTAAAAAAAGTAAAATATCGAAAATCCAAGGAAGTGAGAAAAATAGAGATGGAGGGCAAGAATGATTGAAAGCTAGAAATATAACATGCATATATATATTATATATATATATATATAGCCCGTTTCATTTGGTCACGATACCTTATATTTTTTAAATTGATTGAATAGACTCAAGCGAAAATTGAATTGTATTGAATAGCAACTCTAAATCCGATGTCGTTCGCTACTTGCAAGCTTGGCTCGCTGTCCTCTATTTGCACGCCGAGCGACGGAAGAGGTCAGTGGCTTTGACGTTGAATAACTGTTATGCGTCACTATGTTTTGCTTCCTTACCTTCACTCTAGCTCTCACGCAACACAATCAAACATGATGATCGTCAAATTCACAGAGTTCCATCAAGTAAGTAATAGACTATCTTTTTTTTATCATTTACCTGCGCTTCCTAATTATTTGTGAGTAATCTCTGGTTTCTTACGATGAATAGACGCGGAATCTTTCGATCCAATGAGAACATCGCAGCTTCCTTCTCCCTTTTCTTTTTTTTGACCTTGGAGGTCGTTACAAGGAGACGCCAGATGTTCTGCTGATTCGAACTGGCCACTACCCATAGTGGGGAAACTTTTTGAGCAGGTCTTTGACCTTGTGCAAAAGTTTCAGCCCTCCGGTTTTAAAAAGATTCTGTCAAGCATCTGAGTCTTTTCTTTTTTTTATATTTTCTTTTTCTTTTTCTATGGCTGCTGAGGGATATACGAAGGGACGCCGGATGCTCTGCTGATTCGAACTGGCCACTACCCATAGTGGGGAAACTTTTTGAGCAGGTCTTTGACCTTGTGCAAAAGTTTCAGCCCTCCGGTTTTAAAAAGATTCTGTCAAGCATCTGAGTCTTTTCTTTTTTTTATATTTTCTTTTTCTTTTTCTATGGCTGCTGAGGGATATACGAAGAGACGCCAGACATCTCACTGATTCGTTAACTGCCCACTATTTATAGTGATGGAAACTCTTGGTCTTTGACCCTGGTTTCAGCAACCCAGTCGTATCGAATCTCAAGGGTTCTGGCTCTATTTCTTTTTTTTTTCTATTTTTTTTTTCCCCCTCCAAGACATGGTTCCGCCTTGGTTCTTGCTATCTCCTGCCAGCTCGCCAGGTCTGACCACAAGTTGCCGTCTGTTCTCCGTCGCGGAAAATGGATAATATGATTATTTTTTTGCATGGTATTACAAACGCAAGGCCTTTATTCAAACCTACAACATGCAACTCGACATCGAGACCAATTTTAACCATCATATATACTCTGAAGTAATATTAGGCCAACCAAGATTTTACCCATTCGCACACTCGGATTCTTAGCAGCTGTCGGGCCGCGGTTTTTGTCGAGGCGTGGATGAGGATATCGTGGGCAAGACTCTCAACAATGTTTATATTTCGTTGGAATAACAAAAAGCATCAAGCATTAAAGTCGAATAACAAAAAGCACCAATCATTATACTCGAATTGCGCAACAAGAATTATCAGGCAATAAAGCTGCATATTTTCGATAAACCCTTAATATTTATTTATATATATCATGTATTATGCAAAACTTGACTGCAATTATGCCAGCTAATGGCACACATGTCTGCGTGATCATGGTAAGAAAGGCTATATCTTCTGTATGCCATCGATAGCGTTTTCTTCACAAAGCTGCTGAAGTATTCAATTTCTTGCTGTTGTAGATCTCGATCATTAGACTAGGTCATACACTGAAGGCCTAACATTAGTGACGGCTATGGCGGGGTTCAATAAAGGGCTCCCTCTTGACAACAAATAATAAACAACTTTTTATCTTCCTTCACATTCCAGCAAAATTTTTACAATGTCTTCAGCACAATTTTCTTTAATCCCCACAGAACTTAGTGCGGAACAGGCAAGCCGGAGAAGCGAGTCTTTTATTTATGAAGAGTCCAACCAATCCATGTTTTCTCAAGAACATGAGAATGATAATCCCTTCCTCATCAGCATGGATGAAGGTGGTCTTCATGCACCGCCACGACTTAGTAAGACAACCGTAGCGGAGGAGGAATACCGCCTAATCGCACATATCTACGCAAAGCTCAGCAATGCGCCGCCAGAGTTTCAAAAATGGATGAGACAATCGTTTGGCATGAAAGAGTGTGTGCAGATGGCTAAGCTTACCGGGGTAAATGCACATTCCTGTCTAGCAGCTATCAACTACTCAAGGACAGGGGTATTGAAGTTGCCCAACAAGGGTGTGGGACGTGGCCGTAAAGCACAAGCAAAAGATAAAGTGCTCCAGGGACATATCACGGATATCATCAGGAGAACTAATCTGGGAGGTATCCCGAATACACTTGGACGAGTGGTGAATGAGCTCAGAAATGAGCATGGTATCAGGACGTCAAGGTCAACAGTTCATCGATACCTACATGCAAGTAACTTTTACTGGGGAAAGGGGGTTCGAAGGAACTTTATGCACGATGCACCTCACATTGTGCAATACCGACTGAAATACCTCACAGAGCGTTTCAAGAACCTGGTGGAGCTTGACGATGGTTTAATCCCTATGATGCCAGAGGTATTTCTTGATGAGTCCTATTGTCACCTGGACCATTCCTCAAAAAATCGATGGGTAGAACGGGACGGAGGCATTGTGTGTGAATCATCTCGGCAACCACTTCTCGTCATGTTCGCTGCATTTGTCATCTATTACGACCGTGACGAACAGAAGGTGTGGGGGAAGTTTGTTGAGAACATGTTCACATCTGGGCGGCGAACAGCAAGCATCTCTTCAGGGAAACGCCGATCATATGCAGCCCAATAGTCAGATTCTTGCAAATGATCATGACTATCATGGTCATTTTAACCACGAGGTGTTCGAAGAGCTGTTTACGACGGTTTGCCAAAGTCTGGTAAAGATGAATCTCGGTCCTTGTAAAATACACATGGATGGTGCCAGGTACCATTTCCATTGCCCTGATAGGAAGCCAACGGCCGCCAATAAGAAATCGGAGATAATGGAATGGCTTATATCTCATCAATTTGGAATTCCACCCGGTTCTAACGGTGATCGAACGCCAAGCAAGTCAGAACTACTTGCTTATATAAGGACCCTTGATTACCAGCCACGGTACACGGTCTGGGACATCGCATTAGAGAATGGGGGCCACTGGATTATTAGGACACCTCCTTATCATTGCGAACTCCAGCCCATTGAATTAATCTGGGGCGTTATAAAAAACAGCGTAGCTTACATGATATCCGGATCGATGGCTGCCGATCAACTTATCCAGATGCTGAAGGAACTCTTCCGAAATGTTCAAGTTAAAACTTTCGTTTCTGCCTGGAAAAAAACCCTTAGTTTTGCCTACAGATACATGCAGGAAATTCGTGGCCAGACATTCGAGACGGCCGAGGTGCAGGAAGAGTTGGAACAAATTTTTCATTCGATTGATTTTTCCGAGGCCACATTCAACAGGCTTTTTGGGATTGGTGCTGCCAGAGGCCGATACAATGTCTTAATTGAGCCCATGGAAGATGGTGATATTGGTGATGAAGTTGATGAAGTTGAAGAAGACGTTGATCTTATCCCGACATCTCGATCCTTGGCTCCTGATGAATTGGAGGAAGACGATAATTCAATGCCGGCTTCACCTTCAGCCCGTTTTTACCGCCACTAAGTTAATAAAAAGCATGTGCTGGTGGTCCACCTCAGTCTTAAAGCATTGATTTCCTACTCTGTTGATTCCATCCATGTTGCTTATTCATTTAGCACAGTCGTTACAAATGTTCCTGATTTCATCTGGTAAGCTTGGTCCACTTATTCCCAGAGGCGGGGCATTGTCTCATGTTGCACAAAGGAGTTAGGAGTTATATTTTTGTCGCTTTCACAGATAAAAAGAGGTCTCTGAACTTCTTCGCAATACTAATAAACTCTTCACAAAACTCTTCACAAAGCTTCACACAAACTTCTTCACAAACCTCATAATACCTCACCAAACAAAAATGGCCACCA